TGTTGCGCGCTGCAGGAAATTTAGTCTTGTCTGACATCAGGACGGTGCAGGAGTTTAAAAGCCAGATCTGACGCTCGCCTGGTCTGGTGGAGTCACTTCCACGTTATGCAATATTCGGTAAGCAAGTGGGAAACCAGAGACAGAGACACTAGAAGATCTATGACTGAAGGGCTTCATGTTGCATTACAGAATGGAGAGCTGCGTTATTTCACCTGTAAGTGTCATTTTTTAACCAATTGAACATTTATGTAGATAGATGGACGGACGGATGGCAGGCAAGCAGACAGACAAGTAGACGGATAAAAGAATAGATAGATAGATAGATAGATAGATAGATAGATAGATAGATAGATAGATAGACAGATAGATAGACAGATAGATAGACAGATAGATAGACAGATTTTAAATAGTTTGACAAACCAGTTAGTGACAATTTCTACTTCTTATTATTTGAACCTAAAGTCTATTGAAAAATGAGTTGAAGTCAGAATTATTCGCCCCCTTTTGATTTTTATTTTCATTTTTTAATATTTCCCAAATGATTTTTAACAGATTCAGGAAATTTTCACAGTATGTCTGATAATATTTTTTCTTCTGGAGAAAGTCTTATTTGTTTTATTTCGGCTAGAATAAAAGCAGTTATTAATTTTTTAAAAACCATTTTTGGGACAAAATTATTAGCCCCTTTAAGCTATTTATTTATTTTTTTTGATAGTCTACAAAAACCATCGTTATACAATAACTTGCCTAATTACCCTAACTAGCTTAGTTAACCCAATAAACCTAGTGAAGCCTTTAAATGTCACTTTAAGCTGTATAGAAGTGTCTTGAAGAATATCTAGTCTAATATTATTTACTGTCATCATGACAAAGATAAAATAAATCCGTTGTTAGAAATAAGTTTTTAAAACTATTATGCTTAGAAATGTGCTGAAACAATCTTCCCAGAACAGAAATTGGGGGGGGCGCTAATAATTCTGACTTCAACTGTAGATAGATAGATAGATAGATAGATAGATAGATAGATAGATAGATAGATAGATAGATAGATAGATAGATAGATAGATAGATAGAATTTTAAATAGTTTGACAAACCGATTAACGACACAATTTCTACTTTTTAGGTATCATTTGAACCTAAAGTCTATTTAAAAATTAGTTGAAGTCAAAATTATTAGCACCCCTGTTTCTTTTTATCCCCAATTTCTGTTTAATGGAGAAGTTAAAATTTCTAATCAAAATAGTTTTAATAACTCATCTCTAATAGCTGATTTATTTACTCTGTCATGATAACAGTAAATAATAGTAGCCTAGATATTCTTCAAGACACTTCTATACAGCTTACAGTGACATTTAAAGGCTTCACTAGGTTATTAGGGTAATTAGGCAAGTTATTGTATAACGATAGTTTGTTCTGGATACTATTGGGAAAATATAGCTTAAGGGGGCTAATAATATTGACCTTAAAATGTTTATTAATAAAATAATAGCTGCTTTTATTCTAACCGAAATAAAACAAATAAAACCTTCTCCAGTAGAACAAATAATATTGGAAATACAAATGCTGTGAAAACTTCCTGAATATGTTAAACTAGGGGCGAATAATTCTGACTTCACCTGTATATTTATTATGTGTATGTAGTACAAAACTACACATATTTTTAAATTTATGTGTATTTTTTTCATATATACGTATATTTTATATCTAAATATAAATAAAAAGTCAAAACAAACATTTATTCGGGCTCGGCACTAAACGTATCCCCAAATAATTTCTGTAGATTTTGTGTGGTAAAAACATGCTTTAGTGAGTTTTGTGTAAGAAAAATGAACGCAAATAGAAGAGTCATACAGATTAAAAATGAAATATTTAAGAAAATAATTAGTATTAACACTTCTAAAATCATTTGAACATCTAATATACAAAACAAGAAATCCAAAATAAGTATTAAAGTATGATGAGCGACAATTGGACATTAATTAATTAAATTAATTAAACTAATTTAACTAATTAAACAAACGAATTAAACATTTTAACATTTAATTTTTACAAAAGCAAAAACGTCACCCGCTTTGAGCGTTTTTAAAAGTTAATCAATTAATATTTTTTATTATTATTATTTATTATTTATTAATATTTTTTATTTTTTAGTTGTGCTGCCGCCTGCATGAATATTTGTACAAAGTCAGTTGAAAAGTTGATTACAGTAGGCACTTTGGGTTTTTTGTAAATGATATATAAATCTAATAGATTCATGTATTTATTTTTAGTTGTCAGAAGAGATCATTCCATATGAACACGAGGCTCGGCCCATATACGACTTCTACCCGTATCTCAGCACTGATCCAGAGACTCATCCAGGTAAGAAACAACTAATGTCAGTTTTACCATCCATATATCTGATCAATTGAATTAATTATCAGTCTGAAGATATATTAAAGAAAAAAAGTCTTGTATAAAAATATTATGGTTATATCCAGTGTTGGGGGAAAGTATTTAAAGCAGAGTTAGACGATTAGAAGACTTTTTTTCAAGTATTTACACTCTAAAGGTGCGCGAGCTGTCACTGAGATGGTACCTTTTTAAAAGTTTGTACCTGAAAAGTCCATATTTACACCTCAAGGGTACATAATAGTACCTAAAAAGTACAAAAGTGTTCCGGTCCCACTTTATATTAAGTGTCCTTAACTACTATGTACTTACATCAATAAATAAATACAATGTACTTACGGTGTTCCTAATGTATTTCAGAAAACTTGTGGTGCTTTTGAGTTGGGATAGAGGTTGGGTTATGGACAGGTTTGGTGGTGTGGGTAGGTTTAAGGGTGGGTTAAGGTGTAAGGGATGGTCAACAGTGTATTTACAAATGTAATTACAAAAGTTATTTACAGATGTAAATACATGTATTTAATCAAGCATAAGTACTCAATAAATACATGTATTTACACAATAAGTACATTGTAACAAACTATTAATTCCTGTGTAAGTACATATTAGTTAAGGCCACTTAATATAAAGTGGGACCAGTGTTCCTCTTAAATTTGAGAGTAACTAAAAAATAGTTTTGAGGTACCAATATGGACCCTTCAAGTACAAATGTGTAGCTTTTGAAAAGGTACCAGCTTTATTTCCGAGAGTGAAGTAAAGTAATTCATTACTTGTTTAAGTAACAAGTTCCTCATTTTTTATGTATTGACTGTCAGCTCTCCAGCCTCTGCATTTCGTACCATGTTTAAACATGATTTGACTGTGCACTCTCAGAAAAAAAGGTACACGGTGGTACAGAGAATGTTCCTTAAGCAACAGTATTGTACCTTTGTAAAAGTTGTATCTTATATAGTACAGTAAAGACCTCTTATGATACTGTTCTGTGCCTTTTATGGTATTGAATTGAAGGTACATATTTGTTCTCATTTAAAAGGTACATAAGTGTTGGACAACTCCTTCTGTATCACAATATCTATGAAAATTAATAAATATGACTGTAGGCAAGGGGATTTAGGAATAATTTAGAATCATATATATATATATATATATATATATATATATATATATATATATATATATATATAATTTAAAAGCATGTTTAAAGACACGCAAAAACACTAATTATTAAGCTCTTTAATACAAATCAACTGGTAAACTAAACTAAACATTTAAGGCATTTGAATAAACATTTGGTAAGCATTTATAAATATTCAGTTGATGTTGAATTATTCTCCCCCTTTGATTTTTCTTCTTTTAAAATATTTCCCAAATGATGTTGAACAGATTCAGGAAATTTTCACAGCATGTCTGATTATATTTTTTCTTCTGGAGAAAGCCTTATTTGTTTTATTTTGGTGAGAATTACAGCAGTTTAAAATTTTTTAAAAGCCATTTTAAGGTCAATATTATTAGCCCCTTTAAGCTATATATTTTTCCAACAGTCTACAAAACAAACCATCGATATACAATGACTTGCCTAATTACCCTAACCTGCCTAGTTAACCTAATTAACCTAGTTAAGCCTTTAAATGTCACTTTAAGCTGTATAGAAGTGTCTTGAACAATATCTAGTCAAATATTATTTACTGTCATTATGACAAAGGGAAAATAAATCAGTTATTGGAGATGAGTTATTAAAACTATTATGTTTAAAAATGTGCTGAAAAAGTTGGCGCCATCATCCTAGTGGTACTGCGCACTGACATATGGAACTACCGTGCCCACAGCGAACCGAGTTCGATTCCCGGCTTGAGGTCTTTTGCCGATCCTTGCCCTCTCTCTGCTCCCAATGCTTTCCTGTCTGAATTCTCTACTGTCCTGTCATAATAAAGGTGTAAACCCCTAAAAAATAATTATTAAAAAAAATGTGTTGAAAAAAATCTGCCCTCCGTTACACAAAAATTGGGAAAAATAAACAAAAAGCAAATAACTCTGACTTCAACTGTATAATAGATAAAATAAGTACGTATAAGTATAGCCAAGTATGTCACCCTTAAATAATGTAATCAATAATAATAATTATTACTTCTTATTTTTGGGTGACCTGTCCCTTTAAATCAAGGCAGTGTTATCTACAGCAGTGGATCTCAAACTTTATTCATCAAGTAAAACCTCAGAAAAAAAAATGCGTCTCCATTTACCACCACAACGACGAGGCAGATTAGTTATTGGAGTTTGTGTTAACCGCACACAGAGTCTAAAGCAGGTCGCACACCAGAAGCGCCGCTCGGCGGCGCGCCGCGCAGCGCCACGCAGCGCCACGCAGCGCCATGTATTTTAGAATTCTAAACATAGGTTTCTATCAGGATACACACACCGGCGCCGCAAGTCGGCGGCTGTCGGCGGCCCCCGGCGACGGCTCAGGACGCAGTTCATTTTTCAGCCGCGCCACAGAGCGCCATCTGATTAGTTTCATGTTAAATATCATTCGAATGTGCGCGTCTGGTGTGTGATACTTTAAACTGTCATGTACGCGCCGTGTCGCGGCGCCGAGCGGCGCTTCTGGTGTGCGACCTGCTTAAGGCTGCTTTCACACCTGTGAATCAATTCAGTTGTTCTGAAACAGAGTACAAATGTTACATTGTTGCTCTTTGCTCTTGGAGCGGTTCGCTTTCACACAAGTTTCTAAACGGACCAAAAGAGCTAAAACAAGTCACGTGTGAGTAAACTCTCCTCACATTGGTCAGAGTGTCAGGGTTTATTTAGCAGAGTCCCGCTTAGTTGTCGGTGGGGGTTTTGTGGTGTTTGAAAAGCGGCGCGCGATGTGTCTGAAGAGCGAGGAGAGATGCGGTGGGAAGGGTGTGCGACATATTTGAGGACCGGGAGGGAGACGCGCGATTTCCGGCATATTATCACTCGTTTGCAGGCATCCGGGAGTCTCTGTGCATTTGCGGAAGACTCCCGAAACTTCCAGGAGTCTTGGGATGTCTGGAATGATCTCCCGCCCTACTCATAACTCTCTCTTCATATAGCCGTATGCCTGTTACATATCCACAAAACACTGTGATTTAGCCGGGCTCGGATCATATCGCTTTCTCACTGCCATCGATCCGCTCCAGACTTAGTTTCATTCGAGGCGAGACCACCTCATTCAGGCGATCTCAGAGCGATTATTTTGGCATGGATCCAAGTGCGATTGCTGGATTCACATGTCCCAAACGAACCGCGCTAACAAGGCAAACGACACAGGTTCCCAAACAAAAGACTAGGTATGAAAGCACCCTAACTTTAATTAATCTAGCTCCAAGCATGGCAAAGTTCGCCGAGTCTACATGTGTCCTGCGACATGTGAATCACATCCAGATTAATTAGCCTAAATCTGAGGTAGCAAATGAACCGAAAGCCACTTGGTTAACAAAACAAATAACATATGGAAAACATGCATTATCACAAACACACATTTCTTTAACACATCTGTGATATTTATTCTACCAATGGTGCAGCGTGGGGAGATTCCTGAGTTTGTAGTAACTGAAATGCCAACACAACAGCACTGGTCTGCAAAAGCGATTCTCTAGCGCGCATCTGCTCCGCAATCGCCGCTGCCGCACGCCTTATTTTTAGCATCTGATGACGCGATTAACTAAAGTAAACATTCTAAGCACACTGATGTGATCATACGCTTCAGGGAACAGCCAATGCTAATCACTTAATTGTTCGTGTCAAAGGGTTAAAAGTGTATTTTTTCCGCATACCACTTGAAGGAAGCCCACAGTTTGAGAACCACAGATCTGCAGCATTGTGCCAGATATCCAGTAACGGAGTGTGTGATGTGTTTGTCTGTGTGAGAGAGCGGATGTGAATACAGCAGTGTTTACGGGCATCACAGCGAGTTCGAGCCTCCTCCTGGAAGCCACTTCACTGAGCTGCACACCAGCACGTATCGCTATGGGGACATGGAGGCCTTTCATCCCGGCGTAGACGCCGCCATGGGGACCATTCTACCTGTAGTTCCTCCACAGGTGAGTCGCTGACATCCGGTAACAGTTGTGCATTTTTTTATTTGTTGTTTGACGGAATGTCAACCATTAGGGTGGAACAGAGTAGCTCCTCCCCTTTTAATAAACAGCCAATAGCGTTTTGTTTCATCACAGCTCTGCCGGAGAGAGTCATTGAGCTCAAGTGAAAAGCCAATGAGAAAAAGGGGGCGGGGCTAGTCAGACACTAGAGTGCATTTGATTGGTCAGGAGATTTGATAAGAAGCTGAAGCATGACAACAGCTGATCCATTTAGGTAGAAGTGACAAACTACAAGCTCTGCATGTTTAGATCAGGTTTATATCTTCTAAACGTGAATTTTGTCACTGTTTTGGAGCTAATCGATATCCTTAAAGCTAACAATACTGATACTAACATCTAACAAAACTTCATGGAATCTTTAAACTTGCTCGTTTATTCCTTTGCTAATGCACTTTGTTTTAATTTTATTTCATATTTCAGCACTTTTATCATTAATATACTGTAAAAAAAAAATAAGTTGAATATTTGTACTTTCAGAATGTTTTCTGCAGTAATTTGTCCTGTATATGTTTTTGACGGTGTACTGTTACTGTTACGCATGTTTTACACTTCAGACAAGATTATTTACTCTTGGTAAACACACACACACACACACAGACAAACACAGACAAACACACAGACACACACACACAGACAGAGAGACGCACGCACGCACGCACGCACGCACACACACACACACACACACACACACACACGAGCGATGTCATCATTTGGTGCTAATTGTAGCTGAATGTATGATTCAATCAAAAAAAGATTAAAAAAAAAGTCTTTAAGCTATTTTATTTTCAAGACAAAATGTCCGCAGTGTGGTGTGTATCGGGTTCGCAGAAAGTAAAAGCGCATTCGGTGTGAACAGCCTCTAAAGAGACTTTATTTAATTTGTGTAATTATTATAAGGTTTATCTTGCCCGCAATACAAGAGTATACACATATACACTCACCGGCCTCTTTATTAGATACAGCTTACTAGTATCGAGTTGGACCACTTTTGCCTTCAGAACTGCCTTAATCCTTCATGGCAGAGATTCGACAAGGTACTGGAAATATTCCTCAGAGATTTTGCTCCATGATGGCATCACGCAGTTGCTGATTTGGTGTTGACACGATGCTCACTTGGTACTAGTGGACCCAAAGTGCCAAGAAAATCTCCCCCACACCATTACACCACCACCACCAGCCTGAACCGCTGATACAAGGCAGGATGATCCATGCTTTCATGTTGTTGAGGCCAAATTGTGACCCGAGCATCTGAATGTGTGAGCAGAAATGGAGACTCATCAGAGCAGCAACGTTTCTCCAATCTTCTATTGTCCAGTTTTGGTGAGTCTGTGAATTGTAGCCTCAGTTTCCTGTTCTTAGCTGACCGGAGCGGCACCCGGGGTGGTTATTTGTGCTTATTTGAGTTACTGTTGCTTTTCTATCAGCTGGAGCCAGTCTGGCCATTCTCCTCTGACCTCCGGCATCAACAAGGCATTTGCGCCCACAGAACTGCCGCTCACTGGATATTTCCTCTTTGTCGGAGCATTCTCTGTAAAGCCTAGAGATGGTTGTGCGTGAAAATCCCAGTAGATCAGCAGTTTCTGAAATACTCAGAGGAGCTCGGCAGGCACTAAAAACCATGCCACGTTCAAAGTCACTTAAATCCCCTTTCTTTCCCATTCTGATGCTCAGTTTCAGCAGCAGATCGTCTCGACCATGTCTACATGCTTAAATGCATTGAGCTGCTGCCATGTGATTGGCTGATTAGAAATTTGCGTTAACGAGCTGTTGGACAGGTGTACCTAATAAAGTGGCCGGTGAGAGTACATTAGTAAAATTGAACAATGAACGACTGTATTTTGATTAACTAACATGAACAAATATTGTAATAAATGTACTGTTCATTGTTTGTTCATGCATTAACTCACATTAACCAAAGCAAACTTACTGTAGTGTGAACAACTCGTGTTATTCAAAACAGATGCAAAGCTATTGATGGATGGAGATAGATAGACGGATGGATGGAGATGGATAGATAGATGGATAGAGATAGATGTCTGTTTATTGATTAATATCTCATTGAAATTTTTCTAACGACGATAAATTTGTGATTTTTCATCTTAGTTCAGAGAAGAAAACGCCAGAAAGACACAATATAAAGCCACAATTACAATAAGTAAATTAAAAAAAAGTCGTAATTCTTGACATAATTCAGATTTTATTTCTCAGAATGAAGAGTTTCTCAGTACTGTGGGTTTTTTGAATTTCGTGTGATTCAGCCCACTCACAATTCTGAGTATGAAGCAAGTCAAATCCAAGGCAACTCAGAGAAGAAAAGTTTCTGAAACAAACTCGCTGTATATATTCTACTTATAAATGGCATATAAATGCAAAAAGGAGGGCTAATTCTGACTAATGATTAATCAAAACCTAATTTTTCGTTGCCATTATATAATATCAGTCCCTAAATGTACAGTTGAGGTCAGAATTATTAGCCCCTGTATATTTTTCCCCAATTTCTGTTTAACAGAGGGATTCCTTCAGCACATTTCTAAACAAATAACTCTTCTTTAATATCTGATTTATTTTATCTTTGCCATGATGACAGCACATAATATTAGACTAGATATTCTTCAAGACACTTCTATACAGCTTAAAGAGACATTTAAAGGCTTCACTAGGGTAAAGTTAGGGTAATTAGGCAAGCCATTATATAACAGTGGTTTGTTCTGGAGACAATCAAAACTAATATTGCTGAAGGGGGCTAATAATATTGACATTAAAATGGCTTTAAAACTATTAAAAGCTGCTTTTATTCTAGCCGAAATAAAGCAAAACAGACTTTCTCCAGAAGAAAAAATATTATAGGAATTACTGTGAAAATTTCCTGAATCTGTTCAACATCGTTTGGGAAATATCTGAAAAAGAAATAACAACTGTGACCGTACGCAGATGCAGGAAATGGGATTTAAATCAGTAACATTTCCCCTGTTTTGCACCCCCCTCCTTCATTTCTCAAACCAAAGTTGCACACCCTTGAGCTAGAAAAGGAAAGCGAGATGTGCAGGATGTGCGCGAGAAAACACAGACGGATTTCTCAACACTCTTTTCCTGACTGAAGACTGTTGCTGCTACACACCACATGCACGCGTTTACACAATACATGATGCGCGTTAAACACACAATCACAGTCAAACCTCGGCAAATGACTGACGCCCATTGTTCAAAAAGCTGAATGGGTTAGCAAGCATAAAAAATGCTTTAAGCTATAAATAAAAACAGCATCTACTCAGCACAATAGCTCTAAATCAAGCACACAATACATCGCTTCAGCATTGATATCCACATGTGCGAATATGCAATAGTCACATCGCCGAATCTGCAATTTTGACTTGTCATTATAATTAACAAGGAAACAGTTCAGAACACAAGCGAAGTTCAGCACTACTACAGTGAACGCTACTCTTTTTAAAGGCATGTGATTGTGTAAGATTTCAAGCTGATTTAGAGCATTTGGCACAACAGGTTATAAATAAAAACAGAGATTTATTATTACAACACCAAATCAGAAAAAGTTTAGGACAGTGTGATAAATGCAAACCAAAAAAAGAGAGGTGATGTGAAACAGGTGATTGTGGTTATGATTTGGTACAAAAGCAGCTTCCAAAGAAAGGTCTAGTGCTTTAGTAGCAAAGATGTGCCGAGGATCGGCAGTTTGCCAACAAATACAATAGAAAATCATTGAAATGTTTTAAAACAAAGTTCCTCAAGGAAAGAGAGGAATACAGTTGGATATTTCACCTTCAGCAGTGCAGAACATCATTAAACTATTTCATTGATATACACATTAGACGTCGCCTGGCCTATTGTTGTCTATTGGACGGAATGCGTCAATAGCGCCGCCATCTTGCTACAGGGTAGCGCTCCTTTGAAATGAATGCGGGACCAAGGTACAGTGGAGGACTGTGGCCATGCAAAGCCAGAGATATACACATATATCTATGATCGGGAGTTTTCCAGGATGTTAGTATGCAAATTTTTTTTTTCTAATTATGAAAATTATAATTTTACATCACTTTTCTACATTGATGGATCAGTGACCGCACGGCCATTCCTGACTAAAAGCTTGTGTTTGTGTGTACTGAAATGTACTATTCACCCTCCCTGTTAAATTTGATCTAATCATGTCCTGAAACACAGCTCCTCTCCTGCTTTCACTGCTCATACTGACGGAGGGAGCGATTCGTTTGTGAATGAATCTCCATTATGAACGACTCTTTCACTAACGTTAGCCAACAATAATAAAGTTTCTGGCAGCGCAGCATCTCGTTGTCATATTTCTTTTGCATTGTTTGCTGATTTTATTCAACAAAACTAGCATAAGCCGAGTGTTTAGTGCGAGTTGGAGCTGCTTTGCCGTATGGTGAATGCTATCATCAATAACGTTACCTGATTAGCACAAAAGTTCAGAACATACAAAAACAGAAAAAAAACTTAATCTTACCTATGAAATGTTCTGCCTTTGTGCTTTGTTTTCTTTGTTTGCTCGTCACTACACCCGTAGACAGCGCTAAAGTCCCGCATCTTCACGTAATAACACTGTCTTGACTAGTGCGGTTGAATGACATTTGTCCTGGGAGCACTGTACCAATGTGGCGGCGCTATTGACGCATGCTCAGGGTCCCTATGCGATATCTAGTGTATATATCTATAAAACGATTTAAAGAATCTGGAGGATTTTCAGTGCGTAAAGGACAAGGAACTGTGATCTCCGATCCCACAGGGGGCGCTGCATCAAGAATCCACATTCATCAATAAGTCATATCACCACATGGGCTCAGGACTATTACAACAAACCCTTGTCAAGTACCTCAATACATAGTTACATCCACAAAAGCCAGTTAAAAAAAAAACTGTGCTGTGCCAAAAGGAAGCCCTATGTTAACAGTGTCCAGAAGCATTGTCGTCTTCTCAGGGCTCGGAGGCATCTAGGATGAACCATCACACAGTGGAAACATGTACTGTGGTCAGAGGAAAATACTTCAGGTATTTTTTTGAGAGAAATGGACGCTGTGTGCTCCGGACCAAAGAAGAAAAAGATCACTGTTACCAGAACAAGTCCAAGAGCCAGGGTCCGTCATGTTATGGGGTTGTGTCATGGTAACTTGCACTTGTTCGATGCACTATTAATGCTTAAAAGTACATAGAGATTTTAGAGCACAATATGCTGCCCAAAACCACATTCTGCACACATTACAGAATCCTGGCTGCAGAGGAAGGGGATACAGGATTTTGACTGGCCTGCCTGCAGTCCTGACCTGCATCCAATAGAGAATGTGTGGCACATTTGAAAAACACTGTTGCCCACCTTAAGACTTGTTTGCAGGAAAAATGGGACAAACTTTATGTGGACGACTATCATTATTGTCAGGGATTTGTGATGTCACAAAGCGAGGTCTCTACATTATGATTAAAATAAATCCTGAATCATTTTTTAATAATTTGATAACAGTTGAATACTGCACAATCTACAATGTTGGGTTGCACTCACCCTTTGAAAAATGAGTGTGAAAGTGACTTATGTTCACCAGTTAAAAGCTGCCCAATGCAATGCGGAAGTTTTGTGATTGTTTTAGAACTTCCAATTCATTTGCCTATAGAGGAAATGACTAGAAATAACACACGGCAAACTACCTAAAGCCATTGTGCTCATGGCAATAACAAAAACACAAATAATGCAATTCAAATATACCAGTTTACAAAATCAAGCAGAAAAGGAAACGTAGCTTTCTGTAAACCTCAGGTCTAGATTCCTACACATATGACTGTTATTAATACTCTACCACAAAACTTATTATTAACATGATTATTATTTATACTAATAAATATGACTATTAATATACTATTATTAATATTCTTCCAAAAATATGACTATTAATATGACTATTATTAATACTCTCCTAAAAATGACCATTAATATATCTATTATTAATACTCTCCTAAAAATATGACTATTAATGTGACTATTATTAATACTCTACAACAAATATGACTATTAATGTGACTAATATTAATATGCTCCTAAAAATATGACTATTAATGTGACATTAATACGCTCCTAAAAATATGACTATTAATATATCTATTATTAATACTCTACAACAAATATGACTATTGATACTCTTCTAATAATATGACTATTAATATGACTGATTAATACGCTCCTAAAAATATGACTATTAATGTGACTATTATTAATACTCTACAACAAATATGACTATTGATACTCTTCTAGTAATATGACTATTATTAATACTCTCCTAAAATATGACTATTAATGTGAATAATATTAATACGTCCCTAATAATATGACTATTAATGTGACTAACATTAATACGCTCCTAAAAATATGAATATTAATATGACTATTATTAATACTCTCCTAAAATGACTATTATTATATCTATTATTAATACTCTCATAAACATAGGAATATTAATATGACTATTATTAATACTCTCCAACAAATATGACTATTAATGTGACTATTATTAATACTCTCCAACATACAGTATATGACTATTATTATTAATAATAATATTAATAATAATAATAATAATAATAATAATAATACGCTCCTAAAAATATGACTATTAATGTGACTATTATTAATACTCTACAACAAATATGACTATTGATACTCTTCTAAAAAATATGACTAATATGACTATTATTAATACTCTTCTAAAATATGACTATTAATATGACTATTATTATTTCTCTCCTAAAATATGACTATTAATATATATATATATATATATATATATATATATATATATATATATATATATATATATATATATATATATATATATATAAATACTCTCATAAAAATAGGAATATTAATATGACTATTATTAATACTCTCCAACAAATATGACTATTAATGTGACTATTATTAATACTCTCCTAAAAATATGACTATTAATATATCTATTATTTATACTCTCCTAAAAATATAAATATCAATATGACTATTATTAATACTCTCCGAAAGATATTACTATTAATGTGACTAATATTAATAATAACAGTCATATTTGTTGGAGAGTATTAATAAAAGTATTATTTATACTCTACAACAAATATGACTATTAATATGACTATTATTAATACTCTTCTACAAAAACACTATTATTATGATTATTAATAATACTCTTCTACAAATATTACTATTAATGTGACTATTATTAATACTCTCCTACAAATATGACTATTAATGTAAGTATTATTTATACTATACAACAAATAGGACTATTAATATGACTTATTAATACTCTACAACAAATGACTTATTAATACTATTCTACCAATATGACTATTACTATGACTATTATTAATACTTTCCAATAAATATGACAATTAATAATAATGAAAACAGGTCGTATACAGTGTGACTCAATAAGTGTGTGGCAGAATTGTGCTGATAGAAATGAAACTTTGTGGCTCTCCGGGACGATCTGGAAGCAAAACGTGATGCACACTTGATTTGTAAATCTGCGACCGCACCATTGTGTGTCCCTTTCTGTTGACGCCGAGTTTTTCTACTTCCTCTTTCAATGTAAAGTAATTCTGTGGTTTCCAAGTATTAAGGCCCACTGATGCACGATCATGCCAAAGCAGCATTTCCAGACTGATCATAAGAAACGGGGGAATGTACGACGGCTAAACTAAATAGAAAACTTTTTGTTTTTATTTTGCTTTAACTAATATCCCATCTCTACCTTTTAAAATGACTTTCACGTGTATGAAATATAAAACATTTCAAAAGCAATGACATCATATTTGACAGGTTTATATGAATAAAAGACAGACGTGCCAGGCTTATGGAGGCGAGAGTGCTGATTTTGGGTCTGTTTCTACAGTATACTTACATCTCCCATCCGCTGTACCAACGGTCCCCAGTCCCCCACTGCAGCACTGATGAGGAGGAGCCTGGGGGACGCAGCCCACCGTTTGAGGTGTCAGAGGGCGAGGAGGACCATGATGGACATCCCAGCACCTCCAGCACTCTGTCAGGTCAGATACAAAGATCAGTGATCCTCAAATGACGCTCTTCCCCACCGCTCTGCATATTCTGTAGGCTTCTCTTGTCGCTTCACACATTTGTTCTGATCGGATTGTGAAGTCATCGCTATTTTTCAAACTCAAAGAACAAAATAAAATGACAAATTGGAAAAATCAGGCAAGTTAATTTTGAGCTCTTTTTGGCAAATTAAAACAGCTCGCCAAAGTGAATTTGTTTTGCTCGCCAAGGAGTTTGTTTTGGCTCCTAAACACCTTTGAGCTGGTTTTAGTCTGAGCTGTCAAAACTTAAGACTCAACCCTATTCTAAATTTGGTCTTGACTTGTACTGGTCTTTCTTCAGATCTCTATTTTGACAGACTTGACCCTTTTCTCTATATGGACTTGATCTGAGCCCTCTTCAGGTCTCAATCCCAACAGACTCACCTAGATTTGGTCTTGAATTGAACTGTACACTCGTCATGTCTTGGTCATGGGTCAGACTTGACCAGTTTCTAGATTTTGAACTTGGCCTTCAGGTCTCTATCTTGACATAGACTCAACCCTCTTCTAAATTTGATCTTCAACTGAATTGAAGCCTTGTCAGGTCTCCGTGTTGACCCTTTTCTAGATTTGGTCTTGACATGATCTTGGCCTTCAGGTCTCTATCGTGACACAAACTCAACCGTCTTCTAGATTTGGTCTCAACATGAACTGTAGCTTCTTTAGGTCTTAGTCATTGTTCAGACTTTATATTTCTAGATTTAATCTTGCCATGAACTTGCCCTTCATGTCTCTACCTTGTCACAGCCCAAACCTTCTTCTAGATTTGTTCTGAACCTGAACTTGACCTTCTTCAGGTGTCGGTCATGGCACAGACTTGATCTTTTTCTAGATTTTACCTTGATTAGAACTTAGCCTTCAGGTCTCTATCATGACACCAACTTAACCCTCTTCTAGATTTGGTCTTGACATGAACTTGGCCTTCTTCAGGTCTTGGTCATGGCTCAGACTTGATCTTTCTAGATTTGTTCTTGACATGAACTTGGTCTTTTCAGGTCTCAGTCATGGCTCAGATTTTATATTTTTCTAGATTTGATCTTGTCCTTAAGTTCTCTATCTTGACAGACTCAACCCTCTTCTAGATTTGGTCTAGACATGAACCATACCTTCTTAAGGTCTTGGTCATGGTTCAGAATGAACCCTTTTCTAGATTTGATCTCGGCCTTGATGCCTCTATTTTGACAGACTCAACACTCTTCTAGATTTGGTCTTGGCATGAACTGTACCTTCTTCAGGTCTTGGTCTTGGCTCAGACTTTCTCTTTTTCTAGATTTGGTCTTGGCATGAACTGTACCTTCTTCAGGTGTCGGTCATGGCTCAGACTTTCTCTTTCTCTAGATTTGGTCTTGGCATGAACTGTACCTTTTTCAGGACTTGGTCTTGGCTCAGACTTTCTCTTTTTCTAGATTTGGTCTTGACGAACTTTACCTTCGTCCGGTCTTGATCGTGGCTCAGATTTTTTCTTTTTCTAGATTTGGTCTTGACTTGAACTTGGCCTTCAGGTCTCTATCTTTGACACAGACTCAACGCTCAACCCTGGATTTGGTCTTCAACAGATATGAACCCTCTTCAGGTCTCCATGTTGACCCTTTTCTAGATTTTGGTCTTGACATGAACCATACCTTCTTAAGGTCTTTGTCATGGTTCAGAATCAACCCTTCTCTAGATTTGATCTCGACTTGAACTTGGCCTTCAGGTCTCTTATTTTGACACAAACTCAACCCTCTTCTAGATTTGGTCTTGCCATAAACTGTACCTGTTCACATCTTGGTCATGGCCAAGACTTGATCTTTTTCTAGATTTGGTCTTGACATGAACTTGGTTTTCAGGTCTCTTATCCTGACACAGACACAACCCTGTTCTAGATTTGGCCTTCATCTGAAATGAATCCTCTTCGTGTTGAGCCTTTTCTAGATTTAGTCTTGTCAACTTGAACTGGGTCTTCTTTAAGTGTCCTATAAACTCAGACTTTGGGAATTTGGTGCTATAAATTGAATTTTTACTACAGAAATAAGAGTACTATGGTTATGACCACCGTTACCAAAACTGAATACAAAAAGCTAATTTCTGTTTTTGTCATAGAAAGGTCCAGTATTAGTGCAGTACTGCACATAAACGTATATGAAAACAGCAGTTCACTAATGCAGTGTTTCCAAACCCTGTTCCTGGAGGCACTCCAACAGATTTTGGACATCTCCCTTATCTGAACCGTTCATTTCAGAGTTTGGGGTCTCTTTTAATGTCTTGGCGAGTTGATTCAGGTGTGTTTGATTAGGAAGACATTGACAATGTGTACTGTTGCTGTGCCTTCAGGAGCAGGGTTGGGAAACACTGCTCTAGCGCCATCTAGAGATCTCAAATTGCATGCAACCCTTCAAAGTTTGTTTTTGACAGTAATATTTGGCATGACTTTAAAACCAATGTCAATTTCTACAGGAAACAAAAGGAAGGTGCGTCTTTACCAGTTCCTCCTGGACCTCCTTCAGGACGGAGACATGAGGGACTGCATCTGGTGGGTGGACAGAGAGCGAGGCGTCTTTCAGTTCTCCTCCAAACACAAGGAGACACTCGCCAGCCGCTGGGGCCAGCAAAAGGGCAACCGCAAGAGAATGACCTACCAAAAGATGGCAAGAGCCCTCCGCAACTACGGCAAGACCGGGGAGGTCAAAAAGGTCAAGAAGAAACTCACCTACCAGTTCAGCGGAGATGTCCTGAGGAGGGTGACTATGGAGAGACGGCAGTATCATCACTGACACTCCGGACACAGTGCATCCTACCTATAATAGCAATATTCACAGATAATCTCAAACGTAATCTCAGGGATATGACATGCATGTTATTTGAGTGCTTTACCATGGACAACAAGGTCAAACATTGCATATTTGTATGCTTTAACTGATCAGGGTGACACTTGTACTTAATTAACCCTCATCCTACCCATACAGTAAGTAAATGTAGTTCATTATTATTACTCAGTAGTTTACACTGTAACAAGGACGCCTTAATATACAGTGACCATTTCGACTACTACTTATACATCACTATTACTACAGCTATTGATTTTACATGCAGTGGACTTTAATATTCAACGCAGTCAACTATGAACATGGTGTATATTAACAATGTTTTTTCTCTTTTTTTAATTTTAGAGAGAGAGAGGCACTTAACATGTCACACTGAATGACATTATAATACTTTTAGTGATTGTGTATAGTATGCTTCATCAACTAGGACATGATTAAATAGCCTCATGTTGGGTTCTTATTTGTTTGCAAAACCGTCTAAAGCAGGGGTGTCAAACTCAATTCCTGGAGGGCCGAAGCCCTGCACAGTTTAGTTCCAACCCTGCTCCAACACACTTACCTGCAGGTTTCAAACAAACCTGAAGGACTCAATTAGTTTGATCAGGTGTGTTTAATTAGGGTTGGAACTAAACTGTGCAGAGCTGCGGCTCTTTTGGAACTGAATTTGACACCTGCGGTCTAAAGGCTAACTCAATAGCTATATTGTGTATTTTAAAGGCTTTAATTTGACATGTGCAGCATGTTTAAGTAAAACAGCAAGTCACGTTTAATTGCTCTGATTAATCATATATCTGTATCTGATTATGCACAACATTGTCAATTCTATTCAGCCTGTGTCATATTGATAATTTCACATTTGAATTCTATTAGGCTCTGTGTATTAGTAATAATAAGTTCCTTCTATGAACTGACAAATCGAAAACTAATATTTCGTTTATTCATTTATTTTCTTTTCGGCTTAGTCCCTTTATTGATCTGGGATCGCCACAGTGGAATGAACCACCAACTTATCCAGCATATGTTTTGCGCAGCAGATGCCCTTCCAGCTGCAACCCATCACTGGGAAATAATAACAATGTCTAACTGTAATGTACTGTAGCTCAATGCTGCCACCAAGAGGAGCACAACAACATGAGCCTTGTTGACAACAAAACACATGAATTCACAGGCCTTGGGACTTCATGGCTTTTAAGGGGATTTATTTTGATGTTTGTCATGTTATGATTTGTTTTTGAAGGATTGTTTCTGTTTTAAACGAGGGGAAACACTGTAAATGCTGGGCAGAGGAAAATAAAAAGCAAAAGAGAAACCAGCCTTCTGAATCATAAGCAAACCAAAACGGGACTCGAGTGTGACAAATACATGAACACACTTCATTAAACGTACACATTGACATCACCTACTGTTGAATACACCTCAGAATTATTAGCCAACCTGAATTATTAGCCCCCCTGTTTATTTCTTTAACCAAATTCCATTTAAGGGAGAGCAGAGTGGGAGAAAAGGGTTGCATTGACAATCCAACACAACGGGCAGCACATTGAACAAATTTTAAGTGGTCAGAAACTTGTAAATAACTCATGAAGGAATAAAGTTGCGTTAAAACCAAGCACACCATTGCTTTTCTTGTGAAATTCCCAATGAGTTTGATGTGTCACATGACCCTCTTCCTATTGAAAAAGCTAAAGTTGGATCCAAGATGGCCGACTTTAAAATGGCCACCACCCATCTTGAAAAGTTTGCCCCCTCACATAGGCTGTTTCTCAATATGCGTTCTTGGAATTGAGACACGGCCATATACTAACTGGACGTTAATATCACCAACCATTCCCATTTTAATAAGGTGTATCCATGTAAATGGCCCACCCTGTGAATTAAAAAAACAGTAAAAAAAGAAATATAAAACACCAAAGACCATATTAGACTGCTCAGAGAATGTGTGCAACTTTGTTCAGATTTATTTTCACATTGTTTTTGTTCAGTTCTTAAGTTAACAGTAAAACCTATACACTAAATACACACAGAGGCCTGTGCTGTAGAATTGAATGTCATGGTTAAAACCGAGGAAATACCACACGCGTGTGTGATATTAGTGTGCTAGAAATTGTCCTGCTGAAAAAGAGGACGCATGTCGTACTGTAGGTGTATTACGCACCAAAAATACTAAAATTCGACATGTTTAAGGTTTACATAATCGTGTACGCTTCCCTTATACGTTTCACACACAGCCCATAAAGCAATAATAATAATAATCACCCACTAGCGTCTTCATAAGTATATTTATATTATCCTTAGTCAGATAGAAATATTATCAATCACCAGAGATTGAGAATAGGCTCCACTATATGTTAGTGTATCTGTTTTTTTATCCTAATAACACTTTCATATCTCTCTGCTTTATACAGAGAAAAAAAATTGGTGGAAGAAAAAAAAAAAAGTGATATGAAAACATTGTTTTTTTTTTTTGCGTTCCCACGCGAAGATGTTTTACATTGTCTCGAAGATGTTTAGCATTATCTCGCGAAGATGTTTAGCGTTCTCGCGAAGATGGTTTGCGTTCTCATGCGAAGATGTTTTACGTTGTCTCGCGAAGATGTTTAGCATTATCTCACGAAGATGTTTATGGTTATCTAGCAAAGATGGTTTGCGTTCTCTCACGAAAATGGTTTGCGTTCTCTCATGAAGATGGTTTGCGTTCTCACGCGAAGATGTTTTACGTTGTCTCGCGAAGATGTTTAGCATTATCTCACGAAGATGTTTAGCGTTATCTCGTGAAGATGGTTTGCGTTCTCTCAAGACGATGGTTTGCATTGTCTCGCGAAGATGTTTAGCATTATCTCGAAGATGTTTATGGTTCTCGCGAAGATGTTTATGGTTCTCGCGAAGATAGTTTGCGTTCTCTCACGAAGATGGTTTGCATTCTCTCACGAAGATGGTTTGTCTTCTCTTACGAAGATGGTTTGCCTTCTCTCACGAAGATGGTTTGTCTTCTCTTACGAAGATGGTTTGCCTTCTCTCACGAAGATGTTTAGCCTTCTCTCACGAAGATGTTTAGCATTATCTTGAGAAGATGGTTTTCGTTCTCTCAAGAAGATGTTTAGCATTATGTCGAGAAGATGGTTTGCGTTATCTTGCGAAGATGGTTTGCGTTTTCTCAGGAAGATGGTTTGCGTTCTCTCGGGAAGACTGTTTGCGTTCTCGCGAAGATGGTTTGCGTTCTCGCGAAGATGGTTTGCGTTCTCGCGAAGATGGTTTGCGTTCTCGCGAAGATGGTTTGCGTTCTCGCGAAGATGGTTTGCGTTCTCGCGAAGATGGTTTGCGTTCTCGCGAAGATGGTTTGCGTTCTCGCGAAGATGGTTTGCGTTCTCGCGAAGATGGTTTGCGTTCTCGCGAAGATGGTTTGCGTTCTCGCGAAGATGGTTTGCGTTCTCGCGAAGATGTTTTACATTATTTCGCGAAGATGTTTTGCGTTAACTCGTGAAATTTTTTTTCGTTATATCGCGAAGATGTTTTGCCGATGTTTTGTTTTTGCCGAAATTCTCCCGTACTTTACCATTCTATCCCACTTTCTTTACATTAAAGCTGTGCGTCGATCGTCGCCTTTCATATGCAACCTCTGAACCAGTAAATGCATAAGCACTGTGACAGACGCACTCCGTACAATAAACTGATCCCAGATCAGCTTCTGTACACGTCATTTAAAGTGACACCTCTGTTATCAAACAAGTGAAGAGCAGCAAATGAATCTCTCGTTTTGTTTGTTTGATAACAGAGGTGTCTCTGTAAGAATACACAGATCAATAATGAAAGCATTCCATTACTTTAGAAACTGTTTGTGCTTATTTAAGAGAAAATAAAAGCGTGCAGGACGGAGATGTTTACATAATATTCAGTGTATTTGTCTGTTTAAACATACAACCCAATCCAAACGTGTCCTGCACTTTTGCTCCTCTGTAAATGGCCTGTAGCTGATCTGGGATCAGTTTATTGTATGGAGTGCTGGTTCAGAGGTTGCATATGGACTGGTTCAGAGGTTGCATATGAAAGGCGACGATCGACACACAGCTTTAACGTAAAGAAAGTGGATGCTGACATTTTAATATCAATTTCAGTGTGCCTTCAAGATTAAACATATCTCAGAAATATGGGAAAATACTTAATGATAGGATGATAGTGGGATAGAATAGTAAAATACGGGAGAATTTTGGCAAAAACGGAAGGGTTTACATGAATGAAGAGAACAGGAAGTGTTTGTGGAGAATTGCAAGAGAACAATAAAAAAATGTAAAAATATGCTTTCCTATCACCCATTTTTTTTTCCCCACCATCACGTCCCTTCCGGGTCTCCGTAGCTTTAGGTTATGAAATGCTAAAACAGTCGTTCATTGATCTGTCATTTAAAATAATCTACAAACACTGCTGTCTGTTTAGGTCTGGATGGATCCGCTCCATATTGATGGCATTTTGCGGTCTTAAGCATTCAGTTATTGGCGGCATCAGCATGTCTCGGCCAGTTATCTTCTTCAAACTCTTCCTCGGTCTCTTTGGGATGAGTTCTGGATCACCAAAAAAACACAAAACACACAAGGGTTAAAGTTAACGTGGGCCTCCAGACTCAAAAATCATTAGTCCCTGTGGCGAGTTTTTACTTTAGGGAACCAAACAGTTTCACACAATCTCTAATTATAGACTGTGCAGAGGCCCTGTCATATCTGCTTCAGATTAGTAGGTGTTTGGATCATTTCTGTTCTTCTTTCCAGGAACTTTTTCTGAAAAATTCCCACTGTTGTTTTTTATGAAGCAGTGACTTATTATTCATCTGTTTTACTCGTCCCTCATTGGGGATTATAGGAAATACTCTCTTCTTTACACGTGTACAACATCAAAGTTTGATCATTTGAGGGATTCTTTGGGTAGCAAATACAAAGTCATGAGCTAGCCATGAGCATACCTCAAGGTTCAGTTCTCTTTTTGACGTTCATAGTATTGCTGGGACAGTTTTCTGACCTTTTTAACTCATTGCTGCCTTTCGACTTCACTGTGTATGAAGCACTCCTAAAGAGCCCCTGTTATGGGTTTTTGAGAATGATCTTCATGCAGTGTGTAACAGCAGCTCTGAGTGAATGAAAACGTCCAGCTGAGGTCTACATCAAAAAGTGCAGCATGTTTAACACTTTTTAGCTCACCCTTGCTTAACCCTTAAAGACCTAGAGGTATTTTGTGGGCACCTAATGGGCCTATATTATTGCAGTTGTATTGTTATTTTAGCAGTCAGCCTCAAGTGTCATATATTCTTTTAATCAGGAGAACCTGAGGCTTCAATCTGTATCATTTAAAGATCCAGTTTAAAACTTTTTTTGGTCCAAAAACATATGAACAGACAGAAAATATTCCAGAATTTTAAGAAAAAGGGTTTTTAAAAAGTGGCATTTACTAGTTATTACAAACAAAACCTCCTGAAGTTTGTTTTTTATTCTTTAGAAATGCACGCTATGGTGTTTTATACTTCCAAAATAAATTGTCTACATCCACCATTCCCTGAGCAAGTTATAGCAATTTATTTCAATGTTATTCTAAGGCACAGGTGTCAAACTCAGTTCCAAAAGGGCCGCAGCTCTGCACAGTTTAGTTCCAACCCTAATTAAACACACCTGATCAAACTAATCGAGTCCTTCAGGCTTGTTTGAAACCTACAGGTAAGTGTGTTGGAGCAGGGTTGGAACTAAACTGTGCAGGGCTTCGGCCCTCCGGGAATTGAGTTTGACACCCCTGCTGTAAGGCGTTTTTCAGTGGGGAAAAAACTAGTGCATTTATTTACTGACAATGTATCTGCCCAAAAGTTCTGGGAATGAACTAAACAGAAAACAATGTTACAAAATAACAGAACACTGAAGCAAGACTGACTTTTTCCAAATAATATATTTTCAGTTACAATAAACAACACCACTTACAATGAACAAATAAAAAATAAGGAAATAAGAAATAATGCGTCAAAGTCCAAATAAACATGGTGCAAATCCTCAGTAAAAATTAGATATAAATATTTACTATACTATAAATAGTTACACAACTAAACTAGATTCAATATGGATCATCCTTAGGTTTTATGTGCCAGCATATGCTGCTTCTCAACTTTTGCGTTGCAGACGAACAGCCGCACCGTCATTTGCGTCCTTTGAAAACAGCAAGACACTCACTTCGTCTTTGCTGTGTCACTGTTTTGTTGTGTTTTTGTGCTGTTGTGTATGCACAAGTGCTTAGTATGAGAGTAAATTCATGCAAAAAAAATAATTAAAAAAATTAAATAAATAAATAAATAAATAAATATATATATATATATATATATATATATATTTTTTTTTTTTTTTGTGTGTGTGTGTGTGTGTGTGTGTGTGTGTTTTATTTAGCCGTGATTAAATGTACAGCCTATTTCTCATTTCGGGTTGTTCAAATTGTTGATTGCTGGTCCACAAAGTGAAACCTATGCTTATTGGTTGAGAGAGAGCGCGCGAGTTTCAACCAATCTGGGCATGGAGGAGGGACAATGCATCAACACATCATGTCTGGTTTGTTCAAAAACACAAGCCACGAGCGTTCCTTTGTCAAATCAGCGTTGTCAAAATGCGACGACGTAACCACACTGATTCCAGAGCCTCTGAAGGTCCATGAATGTAATGTTTTCGATTGATGGAAAGCTGAGACTCTCTTCTGTATGCCAATCTTTGAATTGTGTGGATCAAATCTGCGTATTAAACATTTAAGAACAAAACTTATTTTTAGCCGCGGGCAGCTATTTCGGTCTTTAAGGGTTAACAACCTAAACGTGTATATTTAACAAATCTTATAGATCCACAAACAGATCTGAAGATCTATAAGTAATTCAGAGGGTTGTTATTTTCCGTAATTGGTTTTCAGAAACATTGAGACGGACATCTGCATGAGGTGTTCCTTTAATACCAAACGCAAGTGTAAAGGTTTGCTCTACCTTATGTAGCGTGGTTCACACTTGCCCTGGACAACGTCCTTGTTAAGTTCCACAGCGATGATGTCAGACTGAGGCACCTCAAACATCGGCTCTAGCAAGAGCTTCTCCTGAAGAGCATCACAACATCAGAGACACAACCCAAGAACGTTTAGGATTCATATTCACATGAATGAGCATTTACCATGATTGAGCGGAGACCTCTGGCTCCCGTCTTCCGTTCCAGAGCCAAACGTGCGATTGCCCTTAATGCATCCGAGGTTACATTCAGCTCACACTGGAACAAATTCACAAATACGAGAAATAACTAGATCTACTAGAGGCCTGATAAACACTCTGAACTATTTAAAAGACATCACAATGCAAGTTGTTGAACTTCAGAGATGTACAATCCAGCTCTTGAGGAGCCTTGTCATTTAGAGTTTAGCTCAACACTAACTTAAACATCCAAACAAACAAAAGGAGCTTCAGGGGTAAATATAGCCGTGCTCTTTGGATTTGGGAATCTTTAAGGAAGGGGTTTTCAAACTGTGGGTCGCACAGTGAACAAAGGTGGGTCGCGCAACAACACATAGCTGCAGCTGTATTTACATTGCGGTGAATTAAAACCAATACGATTGACTCAAAATAACTCAAAATAACTCAAAAACCTCTAACCCTAAAAATGTCTAAAGTGTGTTTCCTACAAAAAGACAAAGCTGGTTATGTTTCACAGCTGTCTTATTTTACTAATTTTCTCTTAAATGAGCACAAACAGTTACTAAAGTAGTCGAATGCTTCATTATAGATCTGTGCATTCGTACATTAACACCAATCAAACAAAGCACAATGAGAGATTCATTTGCTGCTCTTCACTAAATAACTACAGTAACTTTAATCAACATGCAAATACAATTAAAAGTGAAGTAGATTTTACAGCTTTATTTAATTTCTGGATAGGAAATTGATTTTAATAGGCGAAACCTTTTATTTTATTGTCAATATTTTCTAATGTTTGCTATGTGTTCTATCATTTGAAGCTATTTGTTGTCCAATATTTTTTACATCCCAACGTTGACAGATTGCTAATCAATAAATAGCTCTAGTGCTATCTGTTAGTTTTAACGTCAGCTGATGTTATGGAAGGGCATAGATGTTATGGAAAACAGTAATAGTAATGTAAATACCCCCATCATTCCCTCCTCAAGCAAATGTGTAAATATTAGATCAATTCAGCAATAATGTTAACTGCATTGGCATATTTATCTGACGTTTTCCCAGCTTGTAGTAGTCAAGTCAAAGTCAGCTTTATTGTATAGTCGATCAAAAAGCTGTTTAAATTCTTATGACTACACTAGCAGTGGAATTTACAGCGATGTGACTGTGCTTCATCATAATCAAGGAGCTTGATCAAAGGTTGATCATATTCTCTTCTATAAAAAAAAAAATATAAAAAAAGTGTGTCTCTTTCAACAAAAAAAATGATCACAAATACAGCCAGCATCCCACAAAAAGCACTTCCAGCCTCATTTTGTGCATTTCTAAAAAAAATAATAATAAATAATAATAATAATAATAATAATAATAAAAAATATATAAAATAAAAAGTGTCTTTCAACAAAAAAATGATCACAAATACAGCCAGCATCCCACAAAAAGCACTTACAGCCTCATTTTGTGCATTTCTAAAAAAAAAAAATAAATAAAAAAATAAAATAAATAATAATAATAATAAAAAATATAAAATAAAAAAGTGTCTCTTTCAACAAAAAAATGATCACAAATACAGCCAGCATCCCACAAAAAGCACTTCCAGCCTCATTTTGTGCATTTCTAAAAAAAATAAAAAAAAAAAAATAATAATAATAATAATAATAATAATAATAATAATAATAATAAAAAATATATATAAAATAAAAAAAGTGTCTCTTTCAACAAAAAAATGATCACAAATACAGCCAGCATCCCACAAAAAGCACTTCCAGCCTCATTTTGTGCATTTCTAAAAAAAAAATAAATAAAAAAATAAAAAAATAAAATAAATAATAATAAAAAATATAAAATAAAAAAAGTGTCTCTTTCAACAAAAAAATGATCACAAATACAGCCAGCATCCCACAAAAAGCACTTCATGCCTCATTTTGTGCATTTCCAAAAAAATAATAAAAAAATAATAATAATAATAAAAAAAAATAAAAAATAAAAAACGCAAAATCCAAAAAGCCACATACTATATATATATATATATATATATATATATATATATATTTTAACCCATTTTTCCATATTAAAATATTATGCTGGGTCTTAAGATTGAATTACTTTCCTAGGAGGGTCCCGGAATAAAAATGTTTGGGAATCCCTGCTTTAAGGTATGCAAAGAAATCATTAGTCCAATGCACTAGTGAGTAGTAAACAAAATGTACAAACCCTTTATTCTAGCCAATATATAGGCTAGCAAATGAATCATTGTGTGCTTCTCAAATTGACTACCCTTTCATTATGTTCGGGGCTGTTTTTGCCCCACTGATTGCCATTATAATGACACTTGATTGCAAAGCCATGACACCAAATAATCATGCATTCTTGAGTTTTCATCAGGGTGACGACCACTACCTGTAGTTCTGGAGCTAACTAAACACACCTGAACCAGATAATCAACATTTGAAGGATCACCAGGAACACTTCAAGAGTAGGATTGGACCCCCTGATTCATGTGTTGTGCGATTGTCATACTTTATCCATGCTGAAGAGAGCCTGATATTGAGGGACGACCGCATTACGAGGCTCTGTAAGGATCTGCACCAGCATTTCCTCATCCAGACTGTGCAGTGGGACGACCACCGGTAGACGGCCCACGAACTCCGGGATCATGCCGAACTCGATGAGGTCCCGCGCTTCAACGATCCGGAGTAGTCTGTCCTTTTCCTCAATCTCGGCCATTGCATCCATTTCGGTCCCTGAAGTGTTGGCTAGATCCGCAGCTGCTGCGGCTCTGCGCCCTTTGCCGAGGTTGGAGGGCGTCCCAAAACCCAGATACTGTAGGGGACAGTAGAGATGGAGAAACGTTGCACACTTCAAACACTCTGACCTAATCAAGAGTTTCATTTCTAGCAAAATCTAAATCAGTTGTGGGGCGACAATACCTACTGACAAACTTCTCAGGTTGTAAACATCTCCTATTTAGATTTGGTGCAGTATAGACGCAGTCATTAACTGTACTGTACAATACTCACCTTTTCATTCTTCCTACGGCTGATGATCCTGTCCAGCCCATTAAAAGCACCGGATGCCACAAACAGAATGTTGGTTGTGTCCACTTGCACCGTCTCTCCTCTCAGCTTCCTGCTGTTCTTCTCAGGAACATTAACGATGGTTCCCTCCAGCAGTTTCAGCAAACCCTGTGCACAAACGCAAACATCAACGAGGACTGCGGGGTGTTTGATTATGAGGGATGTAGTGCACCAGCACGATCCTTTTTATCTACTTTAGATGCTCTTTATCATGGTGTCTTAAGATTTATTACAGATATTAAATATTACACATTGTAAACCTAGTCCATATTGTGATTGGTATTCTCTAGTGGCTCGTTTCCACTGAGTGGTACGGTCCGGTTTGGTACGCTTTTATGGCCGTTTTCACTGTCAAAAGGCGTACCGAACCAAACCGTACCACTTATTCGGGACTCTTTCGAAAGGGTCCCAAACACAAGAAAGAGTACCAAAAGGCGGAGCTAAACGCACAGCTGAACGCTATTGGTTTACAGAAGAGATACGTCATTCACTTACAACAAGCCAGAATGTAAACAAAGGACCCGCCATGTTTGAAATACACCGCGAGAGATTACAGCGGAATTATATATTCATATATCATCGTCCTGATGAACAGCCACACAGCCATGGAGTAGAGCAGAATCTACCCTGTGCCTCGCAGTTTAACGAGCCAGTCTGACACGCGAGCGTTTTCGATTTCTTCCTTGCGCTCCTCGCGCGTCTATATCTGAAATAACAAACTTCGAGCTGATAATAATAACGCACGCTTGATTATTGACGTGCTTTGGAAACCCGATCCCGTGAGAAGCTGACAAACGCGAGAATGACACATTCAGAAAGAAATGGACAAACGTGTGGAGTGCAGAAAAAAACAGAGCACGTTATTTCTTCAGCAAACGTGAACAAACTGCCTTGTTTTAAATATTATCATCACCTTTTGGACTAATATGAACTGGGAATGATGGAATGACTCTGTAATCTTCAGCAGCACATATCGTGTAGCCTCTGTTAGAGACACAGATGAGAGGTTTGCACTGGCTGTAGGCTATACTTTGTGTTGTTTTGAGCCTAATTAAGAGCGAGATGTATGATGTGTGTAGTTCTTCTGTAGTTAGTAACATATCTGAGACTGTAAGGGGCTGTATGTGTTCATACATGTTCATTTATTTATTTTATATAATTACAGACGTTACAGTAGGCTATTTTGCACTGTCATTGATCAGCAATTATAATCTATTTCTGTTTATAGAAAAGTTAGTAATAAACATTTATACACAAGTATTTATGCGTGTAAAGCGTCTGTTTTGTGAGAAGTGCTTTTCATATGATATGTGAACGACCTGTGCAGCTTTACTGTAGACATTTCCTTGAGCGAGAATGGTGTGACTGAAACTGTCTTACACCACGCCCACCAAAAGGGTACCCTTTATAGTGGAAACACAAGCCTGATAAAGGTGACCCGAACCGTACCGTACTGTACCAGTCAGTGGAAACGAGCCATAGTTGTCCCAAGGAAATTGCATTGGCACTGGATGATTTACAATGCAATTCTGGGTTTGTTAACACCATAATAACCACTAAATATTCATTGCAATCCCAGTCTTATTTTAATTTGCATGTAACCTTACTTTCTCAAACTTTTGCGGAGGTAAATAAAGGTTTGGTTCTTGGGTTTTTGTGACAGTAAATTGTCGGATTCTTCCGTTTATCCTTCTCAGCAAAGAGCATAAGTGACAAAGAAGTACCTTGAGGTTTGATTTTTGTGAATTATCTGATTCTACCGTTTATCCTACTCCGCAATGTCCATTAGTGACAAACGAGTACCTCAAGGTTTGGTTTTTGGTCCACTTTTTACAATATACACAACTGGTTTAAAACGGACAAACACAAGCTCAATAATGTTCACTTCTGGTGACTGGGCTGGCCATTCCTGGAGCAGCTTGACCTTCTTTGCTTTCAGGAGCTTTGATGTGGAGGCTGAACTATGAGAAGGAGCGCTATCCTGCTGGAGAATCTGCCCTCTCCTGTGGTTTGTGATGTAATGGGCAGCACAAATGTCTTGATACCTCAGGCTGTTGATCTCTCGCACGCCCCTACACTGAATGCAACCCCAAACTATGATTTTTCCTTCACCACACTTGACTGATTTCTCTGAGAATACTGGGTCCATGCAGGTTCTAGTTGGTCTAATGCAGTATCTGTGATGCAGTTCAACACATCAAATCGACCGTCTGCCACCTTTCCTAATGATCAACTAGAAGGCCTAGTTAGTATTTGTTGCTCCTACACTGGAATCCACGACAAGACTTTAAGGTAGGGTAGTTAAGTAGGCCAGTAACTCTGTAGTCCGCATCGTAAATCTTAGGGAAAGATGAATGTGACCAAAATATATTAACAGATCTGTTCATTTCCCTCTGTGCAGTACTTGAGTCATACTGAATACACATCGGTGTACCTCAAGGTTCAGTTCTGGGTCCACTTATCTTTTAAAAATGCTGCGGGTAGTTACTCTTAATACTCTTTCCAGGCATTTTAGCTCAACTTAAACTCAGTGTGATCAAGCCTTGCATTTTACGATTATGTTTTGCTACCACTGTGATTTACATGAACACAATGTGACTATGATTAACAGAACTATTCAACAACCAATTAAAAACAACAAGTCAGAAAATTATCTAAAATTTATGGTATTATTTACATATTAGTAACTGTAAAACAAAGTATTATGTCCTATCTACTGTATATTCCTGACTGAACTCTAACAGATTTACAGCAGCGTGATATCGTTCAGTAGGCCAGTGACTGTGTATTGGCAGCATCATAAAGCGCCTGTAGAGATAAACGTGGTTGAAACAATCACAGACCTGCTGAACTCCTTCCCCCCCGACATCTCTCAGCTGATGAATTCCTGGCACACTGCCAATCTTATCCACCTCATCCAGAAACACTATGCCTGCAGGAGAAATATGAAGCACAATTCAGAGAACTCTGAAAGGAGAACATTCAGTTTTATTAAAATAGAAAGAGGAATCAGTATATTTTACTGAAATGCTCAAAGGTCAAGCGTGGAGGCGTTTCATATTAATCAACTGCTGTTACTTTGAAATAAAGTAGATTAGTGTTAAATTAAGTTGTTAAATATAAGTTTTAATGGCTTGATTCAGAGGAATGCAGAAGACATATAAAAATTTGTTTGTAAGTCTGAACATCTAAAACTATTACTATTTTAAAGAATAAAAGACTAAGCTAAAAAATGAAACCAAAACTAAAACTATTGGTCAAAAACCATTTTTGTAAACTGAAAAAATTAAATAAATAAAATTAACATTGAAAGAAATAGAAAAAATTAACTAAATAAATGTAACAGAAAAAGAAAGAAAAAAGAAATCCGACAAATGAAATAATAATAATAATAATAATAATAATAATAATAATAATAATAATAATTTCACTTAAACGAAATAATAATTTTTTAAAAATATTAATGATTTTCACAACTTCTTTCAGAAAGAAAAACTGGCTAGGTTGTTATTTAAGGGATAGAATAAAATTAAAAGAATTAAATAAAAATAAAAATAAAAATAAATAATTTAAAAAATAAATAAAATAAATAAAAAATAAATCAAAATAAAAAATACAAAAAATACAAATTAAATAAAATAAAAATAAAATTAAAGTTAAATAAAATAAAAAAACAATAAAACACAAATAAAATGACAAAAAGAAATACAATTAAATGAAAACAAAATTGAAATAAATTAAAAATTAAATAATAAAAAAATAAAATAAAAATATAAACAGGGTTTAAATGTTAACAATATTTTTTTAACTGATTAACAAATAATGTCAAATATTTACGACATCAATGAGTTTCTCTGAATGTTTCACAATTTTTACACTTTTAAGTTTCTGTTTGTATGCTCATAGTTGTTTTACTATTATTTTATTTTCCTAAATATACAACAGTTAAAACCATGCAGACATTAAACTTTGCTCTGGCCTGCACTTAAAGTGTCTCATTAACTAAACCACAATTACTGAAACTAAAAGAAAACCAAATAGAAATGTAGACACCCAAAAAGCCTTATTAATTCACAATAAAAACTACAAGAAAATGAACAGAACTATGAATACAAATTGCCTTGAAAAATTTGACTGAAATTTATAGTGAATTTAAAAATTATATTGAAAAGCTCCTTTTAAAATAAGAAACTATAATATCTTTGGATACTCCACTGAAATGTGGGTTATGGCAAACATCAGTGACACTTGCAGGTTAACTATGCCTGTATATAATAACTTAATTTGATTGTAATGCATTAATGTGCACCTTCTGTAAACAATAATCATTGTAAAAAGCCCTACACAAATAAACTTACACTGAATTGAACTTGATGTATGAGATCACATTAAAATGCAATGAGTTTTTGTCCAGTACCAATACTTCATGTATTCTTCTAAATCAGAGGTGTCCAAACTCGGTCCTAGAAAGTTTTGCTTCAACCCTAATCAAACACACCCGAACCAGCTGATCAAGCTTTTACTAGATATAGTAGAAACATTCTGGCAGGTGTGTTGAAGCAGGTTGGAGCTAAACGCAGTAGGACACCGCCCCTTCAGGACCGAGTTTGGACACCCCTGTTCTAAATCATTATAATCAGCTTTTATTTAATCCCATGTCAGCAACAACAGCTATTTTCACGGTAAAAAAGTTTGAAAATACTGTCTACATATTAATAAAAATCCACAAACTAATAAATTAGACACAATTTTAACGTTAATATTTGATTAAAACAACTGTAAGATCCTGGGAACACTTTTTTTCTGAGAAGTGTGCGAGTGGTGAAATGTTTGAGTCTGACCTTGCTGGGCTTTCTCCACGGAGTAGTTTGCGTCCTGCAGGAGCTTGGCGATAACAGACTCGATGTCTTCGCCCACATATCCAGCCTGGGTGAGGGTGGTGCAGTCGCAGATGGCGAAGGGAACGTCTAAACATTTGGCCAGTGTTTGGGCCAGGAGAGTTTTACCTGCAGAGCATCAATGCCAACAACATCATGCCAGGATCAACAGCATGTGAAACAACTGAATTACCAAAAATAATCTGAGTTTTATATCATAATCATTATAATCATCATTTTTTAGACCAAAAAAAAAAATATGAACATTGATTAGAATTTAATACATTAATTCAAAATCACCATCATTTTCTCTTTCTTTTTTGTTGACAATTTCATTTTTGTGGTTTTCTTGTATTACGAGTGTGACTAGGTCTGGCATTATACAATGAGTGGCATAATATGGTCCTAAAATGACAATAATATCACTTACTGCAATATATTTTGGTGCAATATATCCTGCAACAATATATAGATATCGTGACGGGCCTAAGTATGACACTTGATTTTGAATTTGTTTGTATTTTCTGTTTTAAAAATACTTATGTTTATTAAAATTTGTGCATAGCATTATGTAGGATGCAAAAAGTATAACAAATATCAAGTTATTCCTATTTTAACAATAATAATAATAATAATAATAATAGAAAAAAAATTGAATAAAACTAACACACTATACACACTCACCGGCCACTTAATTAGGTACAACTTACTAGCACCGGAAATATTCCTCAGAGATTTTGCTCATTGTTGACATGATAGCATCACGCAGTTTTGTCGGCTGCACATTCATGATGCCAATCTCCCGTTCCAGCACAACCTAAAGGTGCTCTATTGGATTGAGCTCTGGTGACTGTGGAGGCCATTTGAGTACAGTGAACTCTGTCATGTTCACCAGTCTGAGATGATTCATGCTTTATGACATGGTGTGTTATCCTGCTGGAAGTAGCCATCAGAAGATGGAGACACTGTGCTCATAAAGGGATGAACATGGTCAGCAGCAATACTCAGGTAGGCTGTGGCGTTGATGCTCAATTGGTACTAAATGGACCCAAAGTGTGCCAAGAAAATCTCCCCCACACCATTACACCACCACCACCAGCCTGAACCGCTGATACAAGGCATGATGGATCCATGCTTTCATGTTGTTGATGCCAAATTCTGAGTCGAGCATCTGAATGCTGCAGCAGAAATGGAGACTCAGAGCAGCAACGTTTCTCCAATCTTCTATTGTGCAGTTTTGGTGAGTCTGTGTGAATTGTAGCCTCAGTTTCCTGTTCTTAGCTGACAGGAGCGGCACCCGGTGTGCTCTTCTGCTGCTGTAGCCCATCCGCCTCAAGGTTGGACGTGTTGTGTGTTCAGAGATGCTCTTCTGCAGACCTCGGTTGTATCGAGTGCTTATTTGAGTTACTGTTGCCTTTCTATCAGCTGGAACCAGTCTGGCCATTCTCCTCTGACCTCATCAACAAGGCATTTGCGTCCACAGAACTGCCGCTCACTGGATATTTCCTCTGTCGGTTCATTTCCTGTAAACCCTAGAGATGGTTGTGCGTGAAAACCCCAGTAGATCAGCAGCTTATGAAATACTCAGAGCAACCCGTCTGGCACCAGGAACCATGCCACGTTTAAAGTCACTTAAATCCCCATTCTGATGCTCAGTTTGAACTGCAGCAGATTGTCTTGATCATGTCTACGTGCCTAAACGCATTGAGCTGCTGCCATGTGATTGGCTGATTAGAAATTTGCGTTAACAAGCAGTTGGACAGGTGTACCTAATAAAGTGGCCGGTGAGTGTATTTTTGCAAATATAAAATCCAAAATCCTCATTGCTTTGAGGCTTTGCACCAAATGTTATTAACAAATTGTTGGTGCTATAAATAATGGAAACATAAATAAAACCAGCACCGACCTGATCCAGTGGGTCCCAGCAACACAATGTTGCTCTTCTCCAGTTTAATGTCAGTGTGGGCGGAGTCAAGCACATCCCCGCCCCTTTTGTCCTGCTGAGCCTGCTGATTGGTCTGCTGCTGAACGGAAGCACCCAAAGCGTTGCCATGGGGACTGATGCCAGCGATCTGAAGCAGCTCTGAAAAACAAAACAAACGCTTCATCACCATGTGCTCTTCATTTCAGCACAGCAGAGAGAAACGCGACTCCACAGGAATGTCCCTGTCGAAGCTTATTTTATCCGGAAAACCTGTGGGCTTAAATGCTCTGAAAATACCAAATAACCAAGCACAGATGTGGTGTGAGATCTGCTTTCCTTAAAGGTGAGAAACTATGCAATATAAGATGTAAAAATAGGTCTCTGATGTCGCTAGTGTGTGTGTGTGTGTGCGTGAAGTTTCAGCTTAAAATACTACACAGACAATGTAAAACTGTCCCCTATTAGGCTTTGATCCTGATTGTGTTTTGGTGACTGTCGCTTTAAATTCTAATGAGATTTTGGTCTTTTCAAAAGAGGGCGGAGCTACAGATGCCTGTGTGTCAGCATAGTGGCAGATTCAAAAACAAGACTGACGTCATATGCTAATGAGGGGGAGATGGGCACTAGTGGGCGGGGTTCACCCCCCTCTGATGACATCATAGAAAGAGAGAATGTCAATCAAAGTGTTTCTGCAGACTGTTTTCATCAAGTCTGATTATTAAACAACAAAATTAATTAACTTTCACCATTAGAAGCTGCTTATATTCACACACTGCTGACACACAACTGCGTTTAAACCCTTTATACAAGTGACTTTTGCATAATAGGTTATCTTTAAGCTCTAGTTTCAGACATTCTGGACATTTTATGAAGTATATCAAACTGTTTTCAAGGCAGGAGATAATTAGTTCGTCATTTATAATAATCCTGTTATATTTTCTCACGAGGTGTCCACAGTTTAAATGCACAGTATACATGAACTAACAATGAAAGACTAATGTTTAATTAAATAATGTCAACTAGCCTGAACAAATACTGTAATAAATGCATTGTTTATTGTTTGTTCATGCTAATAAATGCACAAGCTAATACAACATTATTGTACAAGTGCTACCTAAAAAAAATGTATTGTAATAACTCGATGAGAGCGGACCATGAGCTTTTGAGTAAAACTAAAATCAATCAAAACCTCAAAATAAATAAGTGCATGACAATAAGTTTGGCTTTAAACCAAAACAACATTTCAACCCTATAAAACTGACCCATACAGTATTTATGATTGCACATTTAACATCTAAACGCGCTTCATGCATGAGTTTACTCAAGGTCTCTGTGTTACGCAAAGTGTGATTACATCATCAGTGGCCCAGTTTGTGTGTCCAGTATGATCCAGAGCAACCGGCCTCCGACTGGCCCGAATCCACACTATAAATAACAGGAGGCCCAGTGTGAAGTCTGAATGGACATTTGAGCACACGCAGAAACTGGGTCATTGTGACACTTTACCCAACTTGATGAACCCGATGGCAAGCAACCGCAGATAGCTATAGTTAACAGCTGAAGGCAAATCTTCTTTCACAGATATTTCCCAAGTGATGTTTAACTGAGAAAGGACATTTTCACAGTATTTACTACAATATTTCCTTATTTTGGGAAAAAGTCTCATCTTGGCTTCAACTGTGTCTGCACATGTAAAACACAGGGTCAAGTTGTGATAAAATAAAATAAGTAGGCCAGGATAAGTTATATATAAAAAAATGTAAAATTAAATTAAATAAAAAAGAATAAATAATAAAAGGATAATAAACAAATAAATAAATTGAGTAATTAATTAAAAAATATATGAATAAAATAGTAATAAACAAATAAATAATAAATAATTAAATAAACAAACAAATGAATAATGTATAGCTAAAAATAACATGAATAAATAATAAAACAATAATAAATAAATAATACAATAATAATTTAAGAAATATGTAAATAAAAATAAAATAATAATAAATAAAATAATGTAACAATAATAAATAAATCAATAAAATAATTAATAAATTTAAAATACATAAATAAATAAAAATTATAATAAACAAATAAATAATAATAAATAAAATTCATCGATTTAAAATGAATAAAAATTAAGCAAACAAATAAATAAATTAAAAATAAAATAATAATAAATAAAAATAAAATACAAAATTTAAAACAATTAAAAAAATATGAAAATAAAAATAAATTAATATTAAATAAACAAACATATGAATAAAAAATAAAATAAAAAATAAAAATTAAATAATAAATAAACAAATAAATAAATAAAAATTATAATTAAACAAATAAATAAAAAAAAAATAATAATAATAATAAACAAATAGATAATTAATAAATAAATACAAATTAAATTATATTAAACAAACAAATAAACAAATAAATAATTAAAAAAAAAAAAAGAAATCGAAGGCGTCTAAAGTGCATGAAACACTTACTTGTAAACCTGTATTCATCTTCCCGTCTTCTGATCTCCAACTCTGTGGACAGAAGGACAGTAAACCGACTCTCACCACCACATGTAAAAATACACCATCAGTTGTGTAACGCTTAAAGTAAGAGAAAGTCCAGTGCGCAGACACACACTTAGGCAGATTAACATTAGAGGACTGTTTTTTTTTCTACATTGTTTCTGTCATATGGTGGTTTAGAGTCAGAAGGATGTTTAAGATGTTAAAAAGTTTACTTTAAAAAACAACCTATGAACTGAATAGACTTTAAAGGCTAAATCTATTGTAAATGATTGTAGCTACATCAAAGATTGCAAAAAAATAAAAAATAAAAATAAATAAAATCACATCCAAAATAAGAGTTGGTTTTGACAACAACAAAAAATAATGACCAAGATAATGTTTGGAAATGGAAATTAATTTTGCAAACTGACATGCTTCTGAAACATATAGAAATAACAGACTTCTGTGAAAATATTAGTGGCCCAAATCTTTATGTAAATAAATTAAAAGCATTTTATATTCATAGTCAGTGCTAACACTTAACATTAAACGTCAATCAGGTAACGCATAAGACATCAAAGGCAACAAACAGCATCTCAGACAGCTGTTTTCCAGGTTAAACTCAGAAGTAAGCGCAGTGTTGATGAGCTACAGACCTCTGGGAGAAAGCGAGCTCTGCTTCTCGGATTCGGCTTGCTGTCGGCCGGCTGCGGGGAGGTTATTGTAGATCCGCTTATAATGATTATAGACGGCGACGGACAGCACCTTCTTGGCGTATGATTGGCCAACAACAAACTTGTCGAGGTAGGCATAAATCTGGAGAGAGAGAGAGAGAGAGAGAGAGAGAGAAATTCAGGCGACTCATTTAAATAATTGACACTTTATATTATTGTAATTATTAAAGCTATGGTCTGCTTTTGTTATTATTTGTTCCTCATGTACTGTATATTTTATTAATTCGAGGATGTTAATATATTACACACATCTAAAATGCTTCTTTAAATAAAGACAATTCAATAAAAAAAAATGTGGACGTAGTAAAAAGAGACTTTGTAATGTGAATGTGAATTAATATTCTCATTTTAAGAGGCATTTCCAATGATGACCGAATTGTCCGCTTTTGTGTGAGCTCTGGTGGGAAGCTGCGGTACCTTTTTGGGCGGTGGAGGAGGTTTCTGAGCTAAAGCGAATTTAACATGTTCTGAACTCTCCGTCTCCTTATTCAGGCCCTTTTTGGAGTCGGTTTCGGACAGAACCACGAAGAAATGATGGCACTTCTCACATTTGACAAACCGTGTGGAGGCTGAGAGGAGAAAAGACAAGACAATCCTTCAGTTTGACGTTTAGTTCAGTTTTTAATCGCTTATTCATGCACTGTAAAAATGTAAACGACAAAGTCAAGATAGCAAATGTTCTCTGCTGCTTTAAATTTTTTTAATAAGTTAATTCAGCTACATTTTTAAGTTAAGTTTAATGTAGTAATCTTACTCAGTTTGATTAATGTACAACCCCAAATCAGAGAAAGTTGGGACAGTATTGATAACGTGAATAAAAAAAGAAACTAGAGATTTCCAAATTGACTTTGACTTGTATTTCATTGCTGACAATATGAATACTAAATATTTCATGTTTTGTCTGGTCGACTTCATTTCATTTGTAAATATACATCCTTTCCTGTACATGTAAAACACAGGGACAAGTTACGATTAAACAAAATAAGTAGGCGGGGATAAGTTATATATAAAATTAATTAATTAAATTATATAAAAAAAGAATAAATAATAAAATGATAACAAACAAATACATAAATACAGTAATTAATTAAAAAAATATATACATAAAATAGTAATAAACAAATGAATAATAAATAATTAAATAAACAAACAAATGAATAATAAATAACTAGAAATTACAATAATAAATAAATAAAACAATAATAAATTAATTAAATAATAAATAAATAAATAAATAAATAATAAAATTATAGTAAATAAATAATAAAACAATAATAAATAAAGAAAATACATTTATTTTAAAATATATAAATAAAAATGAAATAATAATAATAATAATAATAATAATAATAATAATAAAACAAACAAATAAATAAATAAATAAATAAATAAATAAATAAATAATTAAAATAGAGATGGGTTGAAGCTGGAAGGGCATCCGCTTGGTTAAAATGTGCAGGATAAGTTGGAGGTTCATTCCGCTATGTCGACCCCGGATTAATAAAGAGACTAAGCTGAAAAGAAAATGAAAGAATGTTTTTTTTTTCTACCCCAAAAATGTAAGTGTGGAACAACGAATGAGAGATCCAAAAAGATTTGTTTTAAACTAAAATGTAATCCTTTTATTAACATTTAAAATATTTTGTGTGTAAATAAAATATATAAATGAAATAAAATGCATTAATGAATTAAATAGTTAAAATAATAAAATTGTATAAAATAAATTACAATTTTAATAATTTTATATAAAAATGTTAACTAAAATTAAAATACTTAGAAATACAAAATTCTAAATATTTTTAATAAACATCAAAAAAACATTATGCATGATATATAAAAAAGAAAAAACAAACATTTCAGCATGTCTTAAGCTACATGTTTACCACTCTTACTGCTCTGTCCTTAAACAGCAACACTGACAAAGTTGTAAATGCTGCAAAAGCCGAACACACATTTCAAAATGATCATTATTAAAAGCGCAACATTGAAACAGCAACACTTACACACAAAGGTCTCGACGTGTGTGCAGGGATCTCCACATTTGGGACATCGAAGCTGACTGCCACCTTTACCAGAGCCCCCAGCGCCAGATGCACGTTTCCCAGACTCCCCTACAGCCTTCTGGAGGACAGAACAACACTTCATCCAAACAAGCCCCCTTAGCCTGAAAACACTCATTTACAAGTGAAAACTGATGATTTCTCTAGATTCCTCAAACATCTGGAATAATGTGTGTCAGTGTTTCCCGACCCTGTTCCTGAAGGCACACCAACGGTACACATTTTCAACCTCTCCCTAATCAAACACACCTGAATAAACTCACCTGGGGTCCGTTCTTCGTACCTCGCTTAAATGATCTCAGATTATTTGGCAGATCCTGGATCTTTTAATCTTGATAACTGATCTCTCGCTAATTTGGTTCTTCAAACAAGTTCGCGAATTAGATTAGAATGTCTGGATAAACTGATCTGAGATCGCTGTGTGTGTTGTGAAGGACAGATCTATCGATCCTAGAAATCATGATTAGCAATGCAACGATTGGCTGACGGCACAGCAGCGTAATGACATCATCTGATTAATATTCAATTATCCATGTGAGCAAAATTACATCAAATTAGCAGTAAACGGTTTGTTAAATATGACACGCAATAACCTTCCACATTTGTTGTGAGCTGCAGGCTTTACACTTTTATCTGTCAAGACAAGAGTATTCATCATGTATTTCAATGCAAATCAATGTATTTAGTTCTTCATTTAGAAAATATTCTCTTTATTATAGTATCTGTTTTTTAATCGGTGTAAAGAATAACTGGATGTTTACAAAAGCATTTTCATATTGGTAAAGGTGTCTGCAACTTTTGTGAAGCATCAAATCACTGGCATATTAACTATCAAAACATGTTTATGACTGCATAAATGTATTATTGCTTTAAAAAAAAGTCACATATTGTGCATTTCTATTATACACAATTTGTACTAAAGCGATCTAAAAAGTTCATATCAATAAGTTTTCTCTTTGCACCACCAGGTGGCAGTCTTTGTTCATTTCGAGGGTGCAGATTGCATACTTTTTATTAATATGTATAACTTTATTTATTTTATTAATGACTTTAACTTTATATATATATATATATATATATATATAGTTAAAAAATATTTACTATTTTCCCAAGTGTATATAACTACTACTGTAAGAAAATATCAGAATTCGGTACATACTTTCTGTATATCTTTGCTTGAACTGAGTCAATCTAATCCTGTTTATATGAATTGAACCTGCTCCCGATCAGGTTTGACCTAGCAGAACTGTTGCCATGACAACAACTCTCGGATCAGCTTTGAAGAACGAAATGATCCTGGATCATGTCTAATCGTCAATATCCAAATCCAGCTAACTGAGTAATCCACGTACGAAGAAGAGACCTCAAACCCTGAAATGAATGGGTCAGATAAGGGAGACATTCAAACTATGTACTGTTGGTGTGCCTCCAGGAACAGGGTTGGGAAACACCGATGTGAGTACATTAGTCAGCAAAATATTAAACACTGTTCTAGTGGTTTTTGGATATCCTAATGAAAAAAATAACGTATATATTGTTCCTATTGACCTTATTCAGCAATGTGGACGTGTGCTCGCTTTCAGAACTACAGATTCAGTCGCCTATTGGAGAAATGACAAGGAATAACTGCTCGATCTTGCAGATTCGCACTCTGTAACATCAGATAGGAAGGGTCGGATCTTTCTGAACATGCAGCTCAACTCCTTGTTCAAGCTCTTGTTCTCTCCGGACTGGACTATTGCAACTCTCTACTAGCCGGGCTTCCAGCTAACTCTATCAAGCCTCTCCAGCTGCTTCAGAACGCAGCAGCACGAGTGGTCTTTAATGAACGTAAAAGAGCACGTGTCACTCTGCTGCTCATCCGTTTGCACTGGCTGCCAGTTGCTGCTCGCATCTAATTCGAGAGGGTGCTCGCTGCAGAGCCATTTGAGGAGAGCTGAGCTCCAGCGAGGGGGAGCATGAACTGTCGCTCCTCCTTCTGTAAGCTGTTTTAATGCGTACACCAACCCCACCCCTAACCCTACCCCCAGTGACATCACTCGTAGAAGTAGTGCAAAAAAGGTGGAGCTTAAGTTCCCCCTCGCTGGAGCTCAGCTCTCCTCAAATGGCTCTGCAGCGAGCACCACTTGTCTAATTCAGCTAACTATCAAACTTTACACACCTGACACTTGCCTACAGCACTTCTTCATTGTTGCTCTTAGTTGTCTAAATTGCTTCCTTGTCCTCATTTGTAAGTTGCTTTGGATAAAAAGCATCTGCTTAATGACTGAATGCAAATAACGATCGTCTACAAACAAGTGTGTTCATGACTATACATAAACGGAGAATAATCGAATAGTGGATTATCAGTTTGCAACAATCTAAAAAAAAAAAAAAAAAAAAAAAAAAAAAAAAATCAATGGAAGTGAATGAGTGAAAGTCTCCAGCTCAAAAGATTCCAACAGCTGCGGCCGCTCATATGTGAAGAATAAGGTCAATGAGCGGGCTTATACAAAGTCTACAAACATTAAAAAGAAAACAGAGCAATGTGCTGAACAGAAAGAGGAATTGTGCATAACACTAGAGCAGGGGTGTCCAAACTCGGTCCTGGAGAGTTTAGCTGCGTCCCAAATCGCATACTTGTGCACTATTCTACGCCATTTTGAAGTATAAATAGTGTAAGTAGTGCGTTCACACTGAAAACTTTAAAAACATTAAGTGCACTTTAATTACCCGGATGATGCACTCATTCAGCTGCTAAAGTGAAGTGTGTAATGATGGACACTTCACGCACTCAACGACCGCAGGTTTGCTTACGTAGCGGAAGGGGCGGAGCTATCAGGCGCACATGTTGGATAACTATTTATTTGGATGGTGAAAGCAAAATTCTCCTACGAGAGTGATTATAGCGCCTCCCGATGGTGAATGTGGTTATACTCACTGCAGGTATTATTTGATAATTCGGTCGTTTATTTCACTGATTTGGCAACCGTCAAATGTCATCAGGGAAACGGTTTGAATTTCCGCTTAGTTAAAAAAACATTAGTGTGCCATTTGGGACGACACTATATACTTATGCACTTACACACTCAACAGCATAGTACATGTATGTAGTGCATGAGTGCACCATTTGGGACGCAGCTTGTATCTCCAACTTGCTTCAACACACCTGCCAGGAGGTTTCTAGTATACTTAGTAAGAGCTTGGTTCAGGTGTGTTTGATTAGGGTTGGAGCTAAAAATCTCCTGGACACCGGCCCTCCAGGACCGAGTGTGGACACCCCTGCACTAGAGTCTTCAAACACTCATTTAAGCACAGACAGAACAAACGCACCTTCCCGCCGTCTCCGTCTCTCGGTGGACTCTCTTTAGAGGAGAAACACACGACGCTCTGCGAAAAACATCTGACATTCAGGACTGGAGGAAGATGAAGCTCATCGCACGCCGAGCGAGAGCGGCTGAAGACGTGAACACGAGAGCAACACACACCTGCACAACACAGCAGATGATATGGGTTAAAAAAAATAAAATAAAAATCTGCAAGTTAACCCTTGTGTATTTATTATTATTAGGCTGGCTTGTCATAGCCGACCTAATGTTATCCTATTTAAACTTATTATTATTATTATTATTACTTTTATTATTCTTCTGAGACTAAATTTGCAAGACTATCTCCTCCTGTAGCTTTCAAGCTATGACCACCAAACTATTCTGACTCGGGTTGCTATATCTTTTCCGACTGAACCGACTTTCCGTTTTCCGAAAAACGACCCGGGACCATCTGAAAAATCCCATAGACTTAACATTGGACCAAACTCTGTGACCTCGTAACTCTGCGTCAGACTGTCACAGACTTCTAGCTGGGCTCATTTAACTCAGACTACCTAGCTGCCAATAACTGACGAGCTTTTAACTTTCTGGCCACGCCCTAGCAACCAATTTCGGACCCTAGAAACTTCCCCATAGACTTCCATTCAAAAGACTGTCATTGACTTAACATTGGATCAAACTTTGTGAGCTCATAACTCTGCATCAGACTGTCCTACAGACTTACGGCTGAGCTCATTTAACTCAGACTACCCAACTACCAAAAACTGATGAGCTTTTAACTTTCTAGCCACACCCCTAACTACCAGATACTGCACCCTAGCAACTGTCCCATAGACTTCCATTGCAAGAGACTGTCATTGACTTGAATCAAACTTTGTGACCTCACAGCTCTCCATCAGACTGTCATACAGACTTATGGCTGAGCTTTTACTTGCTTGCTTGCTATCCATCCCTAAAAATCTACTAATACTTTTTCAAACTGTTTTAAACTAAATAAACTATTACCAACAGGCTTCGTCAAGCCAGCCTCAAAGTTTGTCTCAATGAACTTTAACAATCTAGTAATTATTACAATCTTTATTTTACCAGGAAAGACGCATTGCGATTAAAAATCTCCTTTACAAGAGCGTCATGGCCAAGATTAGGCAGTGTGCATGTCACATGGCTCTAAAAGACAACAAACAAAAAACAATGAACAGTAAACACTGACAAACAAACAATTCAAAACCTCTACAAGCCTGCGTTTCAATTTCTAAATCTTTTATACTCCGTTAGTGAAATCAATTCTTTAAACTGCAACTATCTTAGACTATAGAGCATACACTCAATGCATCACATATGAACAGCAGCTACGCTAATTATTCTCTTTAAGGCCCGTGCACACAGAGACGTTTTTTTGCTCGCGTTTTCGGTCTACGTTTAACACCTCATGACTAAATAAAGGTCGCCAATGTGATCGTGCATACTAACGCACAAAACACCAGGTGCAAAAGCGTCATTTTAAAATGAACGCCTGATGCATGTTTGTTTTGATGCACCGCATCAAAGCCTTCTCCACCAATCAGGTTAGCACTTTTGTTCACAAAAAACTTTTCACACCTAAAACTTGCCTACAGCACTTATTCATTGTTGCTCTTATAGTTGTGTAAATTGCTTCCTTGTCCTCATTTGTAAGTCGCTTTGGATAAAAGCATCTGCTAAATGACTAAAATCTAAATATTTCTGTATTTTTACAAGCACTGCTTAAACCACCATGCTTTGTGGCAATAGTTAATGCTACTGTGACATTTACTCTTATGTGCAATACTAAAGGTTTTTACATAACACTATTACGTCAAGAAAAAAAAGGGATCACTGTAACGGCATGTACTTGTTTGTCAGTGATGCTACAATGTTCATCTTAAACATGAACAAAGGTCATAAACTAACAAAATCAATAAAACTGGACCCTTACAAACAGCACTAGCACTGAGACTGAAACACTGGTTGTGTTATTGATGTACAAAATTATTAAAATATTTACACTGTATATACTTGTGTATACTTTAAGGTTTGCGTCCATAATTAGTTTGCTTTAAATTGATTTAATTAATTAATTAGATGTTTTAAAGTGATTTACTTATCATAATGTGTTTTTTTTTAATCAGCAAGAAAGCTTTAAGTTTTTAAATATGTTTAAAGTTTTAGTGAAATCATTCTAAAACATCATTATAATACCCAAACTGGCATTTAAATTAGGATTAAAATCATTTGTTTTCTAAAATTAGTAAGTATTAGTAGTATTTGCAACATGACTTGTAGTATTAATATTAGTAGTATTTGACGTCTTACTTGGCAAATCACTAAATTTTAAAACAGAATTGTCATATAAATGTTAGCATTTAGCTTTTTTATTATTATTTTTTTAAGTTTTGTTTTGTTGTTGCCATCAACTATAAAATAACGTTCCCAGAAATTAAGGTAAACTAGGTTTTAATTTTTAAACAGTGAAAATGTGTCAAAATCATAAATATAAGTGTAAAAGTGTAAATATATTACCTCAATTTCCCAGAAACATCCTAAAAACTTTCCTGACATACAATGACAGCTGAAAAATGAAAGTTTTGTGACAAATACCCTATTAGGAGCAGTTTTTCAGTTTTATTAATTCACTCACCTTTAGGAACTGACTTTATAATCACCCTCACTGCAGTTCTGCATGAGCAGGACATAATTAAACCAGATCTGATGAGGAAAAAATAACAAATAATCACAATTTAACGTTACACACGAACATTATTGACTTACTACAGTATATTCAAAACAAAGTAAGTAACGAAGTGTTGTCAGGCGTAATTAGTAATCAATAGAAGTCCTAAAACCACACATCTTGTGTTATCTGCTGCTCATAAACTCCAGATATGAACTTAACACACAGGTCAGTAGAGCTCCACTGCACATGCGCAGTGCGTGACTGAGTGACGGACGGCGGACATTTCTACTCACCGATGTAAAAATGTCTTCAGATGCGGGTTTTTCTCTGGCTTGATGAATTTAGGATGGGGTTGTGGTCTTAGAGGTGTTTCAGAGTCCGCTGTCCGACAGGAATTGACGGTGAACTCTGTGATGTGATGTAACCTCTGCTGTCATCGAGTGGGTCACGGTGACGTACAGGCCGCTGTTTGTGTCACGTGACGCCGACTGGGCGGCGCTTGAGCGGGAAACTTTATTGTTCTTTCTTTGAGGACAAAGTATGGCAAGCTGTGTTAACATTTATAGGTTTATAGACCGGGACGTGATGGTGGGGGAAGAAAACTAGGTGAAAGAAAAAAAAAAAAACAGATGGAGAAAAAAAAACAGTGATAGGAAAATAAATATTTAAAAGTTTTTGCGTTCCCTCAAAGAGCTTAGAATGACCTTGGCTGCGTTCGAAATCGCCTACTACTCAGTAGGTACTGCATTTGAATGTAAACGTACTACTCGGCCGTTAGAAAAATACGCTCTATACAGTATGAACGCGAAAAGTATGAATGGAATTCGGACGTACTACATCCGCCATTTTGTCATGGTCACGTGACCTACCTGCGTCAATTGCGTCGCTTTACTCCCATTCATGAATTTGCTCGCGGGGCATCATGGGATAGCTCAGCATGCCTGGGATGCGCAGTCTAGAATCAAGAGGCGACACTAGTGTAATTTGGGAAACAGCCACTAGAGGGAGAGGCGGCCATTTTGGATTGAAATCTCCAATGGAACAACAGCAAAAGTTTGTAAAAAACTATTAAAAGTGCTGATGATTGTGATCAAATGTGTTGTATTGTCATCTTTCAGGTTATATCGCAGCTTTAATGCACTTTTTAAATAAATAAAGCAGCTGCTTGCCATCGGGACAGTAATGAGATCCAATGGACGGCCGATCACTTTCACTGCAAAATGGCGGAATTCAGGGCTGTTGCTCGGCGCTGCTGTTGCAATGGAACGTTCTATTGAGTGTCGCCTCTTGGTCATTCTAAGCTCTAAATATGGTTCCCTCGCAAAGTTGTTGTTCCACAAACACTTCCTGTTTACTTCATACATGTCAACCCTCCTGTTTTTGCCGGGATTCTCCAGTATTTTTGCATTCTATCCCGCTCTCATCCTATCATTAAGTCTTTTCCCATATTTGTCATGTAGTTGTAATCTTGAAAGCACGCTAACATAAATATAAAAATGTCTGATTTCACTGCCTTTCCATTAAAGCTGTGCGTTGATCATCGCCCTTCATATGCAACCTCTGAATCAAATGTATACAGACGCACTCCATATGATAAAACTAAAATACGGGATAATTCCAGCAAAAACGGGAGGGTTGACAAAGTATGAAGTGAACAGAGTTTTTGGAAAAACAATTTTGCGAGGGAATGCAAAAAATTTATATTTATATATATATATATATATATATATATATATATATATATATATATATATATATATATATATATATATATATATAAAACTGAGTGAGGGAAAAAAACAGTGATTATATATATATATATATATATATACTTATCACTGTTTTTTTTTTTTCCCTCACTCAGTTTTTTCCCCCACCATCATGTCCCCTCCGGGTCTCCGTACGTTCTTATATCTATTTTATGAGTGCGTTTAAAAAATGTATTTCAAGCTAATGTGTATATATACATATTGACAATATTTCATGTCACAAATTTCCTTTAAGCCAATGTCAGCGCTAACTAAATGAGAGTAATAAACTAATTAAATGTTTATTCAGCTTGCCATATACAGTAAGGAGAATCATCATTAGAGGCTGTCAGATATGATCGGTCCACTTTTAATTATTTCATAATGCCTATTTTTTGTAACTTCATGTCAAATTTATAAACATTGTTTTTGTTACTATGCAAAGTATTCATATTAAAATGTAAAAATGTATATCTCTACATGACTAACATTCATTCATTTATTGTCCTTCGGCTTAGTCGCTTTACTAATCTGGGGTCGCCACAGCGGAATGAACTGCCAACTTACCCAGCATATGTTTTACACAGCGGATGCCCGTCCAGCCGCAACCCAGCACTGGGAAACATCCACACACACTCATTCACACACAAACACTATGGCCAATTTAGCTTACCCAATTCACCTGTACCACAGGTGTTCGGACTTGTTGGGGAAACCGGAGCACCCGGAGGAAACCCACACCAACAGGGGGAGAACATGCAAACTCCACATAGAAATGCCAACTGACTCAGCCGAGGCTCGAACCAGTGACCTTCTTGCTGTGAGGCAATCGCGCTACTCACTGCACCACCGTGACGCTCCTTAACTGTAACAGTTACCAATACAAGTACTTCATTAAATTATATGAATATTTTATTTAGATATATGTTTCAGCAAACCACTTTACTCTTTAAAGTATTAATGATAACAGCATTCAGAATAAACTGTATTAACGTTCATTTATAAATATTTTTAAATACTTGATATTTATCTTGCTTTTAAAACACTTTCTAATCTCTGATATCAATATTCATGAAGTCATTTTTATTGTTATTATCATCATTATGACCTAGAATATTGTAAATATTGCAAATAAATTATTTGCATTAATATTAAATACTTTTGGTTATATGGTTAATATTTAGTACATATTATTTTATACTTTATATTATTATTGGTTGGACTCACCGGCCACTTTATTAGGTACACCTCACTAGTACGGGGTTGGACGCCCTTTTGCCTTCAGACCCGCCTTAACCCTTCATGGCAGAGATTCGACAAGGTACTGGAAATATTCCTCAGAGATTTTGCTCCATGATAGCATCACGCAGTTGCTGCAGATTTGTCGGCTGCACTTGCTTGATGCCAATCTCCCATTCCACAACATCCCAAAAGCGCTCTATTGGATTGAGATCTGGGGACTGTGGAGGCCATTTGAGTACAGTGAACTCATGGTTGTGTTCAAGAAACCAGTCTGAGATGATTCACGCTTTATAACACACAGATATCCTGCTGAAAGCAGCCATCAGAAGATTAAGACAGTTCTCATAATGGGATGAACATGGTCAGCAACAATACTCAGGTAGGCTGTGCTCTTCTGCTGCTGTAGCCCATCCGCCTCAAGGTTGGACGTGTTGTGTGTTCAGAGATGCTCTTCTGCAGAGCTGGGTTGTGACGAGTATGACGATTTGCTATCACAGAACTGCCGCTCACTGGATATTTCCTTCATTCTCTGTAAAGCCTAGAGATGGTTGTGCGTGAAAATCCCAGCAGATTAGCAGTTTCTGAAATACTCAGAGCAGCCCGACTCAGACCAACAACCATGCCACGTTCAAAGTCACTTAAATCCCCTTTCTTCCCCATTCTGATGCTCTGTTTGAACTGCAGCAGATCGTCTCAATCATGTTTACATGCCTAAATGCATTGAGCTGCTGACATGTGAAATTTGCATTAACAAGCCGTTGGACAGGTGTACCTAATAAAGTGGCCATTACATGATCAGGACGTTTGTTACAATGAATGAAAAAAATACTATTATCATACAAAATGGCAGCTTTATTAAAAACATACGTGGCATGCAGCATTCGATTATAAATCATAATAATAATTACATTCCCACAAATCACAAAAATGTAACAGTGAAGGGTCATTTCAGTAACCAAAATAATCATAATCATAGCTTTTAATCTATGGCTTATGCTCCAGTTATAATGTTTGTGCTCAACTTCATGAAGTTAATTAATAATAAAAAAAATAATAATAAAAAAAAGGCTCGCTGCGGACATCATAAATAACATGATTATAATAAATCATAAATTGTGTAGTGTGGTTTATTAGCTTAACGTAAATCGCTCCAGTCTCAGCAATAGATTGTCTCCACAAACCATATAATGTCATCATGTGATATATTACATTGCCTTCATTCACAATCTCACAACCAGCATTAATGCTTTCATTATTAATGTATCATCCATTAATGGGGGAAAGAATGATGACTGCTGTAATGCATTATCACAGATGCATTGTATATGGCCGCCTCCTCTTCACATGGCTTTAAACCAATAATAAATAAATACTACAAAATAATAAGGCTAACATAATCAAGTGCTGTTTTGGTTCCGTCCTCATATGAGCTTCCATACAATCCGAATCACAGCTACATCTGAGATACGAGCTACATTTATGATATATTCACCACAATGAAAATTTCCCTTGGCTATTTAAAGAAGCTGAAATGGATTTCGGGTCCCTTTTCGTGACTAGTAAAGCTGTGGTCGCATTAAAAGCTGCTCGGAGACATTTTAAACACACTCTTAAAGGGACAGTTCACCCGAAAATGAAATGTACTCGCTACTCTGTAAACAAAACTACCATACATTCAAGTTGTTCAGACACAAATCGATTAACTTAGTGTGTTGAACATAAAACGCAAGTAAAAAAGCAAGTTTTCCCGAGAATTTCAGTTGTTTCAGCACATTTTTTATGAGTTAGTAATTGTATTAGTCTAGTTACTCTCCCTCAAGTGGTTCCAAACCTGTTAAGAGTTTCTGTTTTCTGTTGAACCCGAAAGGAGATTTTGAAAAATGCTGTAACTATTGACTTCCATAGTATGAAAAACAACATAGAAGATATTTGGAAGAATGCTGAAAACCTGTAACCATTGACTTCTCTTATTCAACTAAAGAAAGTCAGTTTAACAGGTTTGTGACTAATAATTAATGCCGTAGTTTTCATTTTTGAGTGAACCATCCCCTTTTTAAAGCATTTCCACGCTCAGCTACACGCTGGACTTGGGGTTTTTTGTGCACAAATTCACCTGATGCTGTTTAGTTTGACAGGGAGTTGTCGATGGCGGATTTATTCTGATGTTTTTGTGTGGAGATGGTGTTTAATTAAGCAGCGTTTCTCTCATTCTGCGGGTGGTTTTGTCTCGGAGCTCACAGTGTCGCATCAGATCTCGAGCCTCCAGTGGAAGAGAACTGCTCCAGAGCGTCAGCACAGAGTCCTCCGCTGAAAACACACACACAGGTCATCAATGACTTTCCTTGTGCTTTTGACACTACATTCACTATCAGAAGTATTGGCCACCTTGGCATATATGAGCTGAAGAATTCACAGACATTACCTTTCATTGTAATTAAAAATAACGAGGAAAATGTAAAAAAAATAATATTAATAAATATAGCTGCAAGCAGCAATTAAGGGGGCCCCAAGCACTTTTGGCCAAAAAGTGGCGCTGCTTCAGAAGTTTGAGAGTACTTTCAGGGCATGGGGTTGAAGATGTGTACCATGTTTTGTGATGATATGTGAAGTTGTTGTTAAAATATAGCATTTTTGGTCAAAAATCGAAATGGTCGACGCCCAAAATGGCTGACCTGTGAAAATCAGACATCATTCGACTCGACATGCTCTGCCGGATGTAATGAGACCAGTTTTAAGAGTTTCGGACGAAAGGTTGAGAAGTTATAAACCAAAAAAGCAAGTTTGTATCTCCGGACCACTAGGGGGCAGTGCATCAAAACTCCGCATAACCTCAGACCCTAGTTGTCATAACACACACCAAGTTTGGTGTGAATCGGTGCATGCGTTACAGAGATATCGACTCAAGTCCATTTTCGCAAGTTCTACGTTAAATTTGATCGCAAGTTAAACGAAAACGCTTGATCTAATCAACTTGAAATTTTGATTGTAGCCCATTCGGTTCAAAAGTTATGATAAACATACGTGAATGTTTGGACAAGTGGTGGCACTAGAGTTTGATTTTGAGACTTCATATTTGGTCTGATTAATGTTTAGACTGTCCTCTATGATTGTGCCAAATTATACAACTTTCCCGCATACGCCTATATGGGCTGCCATTCAAATCCGGCGAAAGAAACAGAAGATGAAGAATGCTAACGAAAGCAATAGGTGCCTATGCACCTACGGTGCTTGGCCCCTAATAATATAAATTCCCCAAATACAAAGTGGTCAAAACTATTAGCACCCCTAAACATTCTTAAAGGGCTAGTCTGTCATTACTCATAACTTGAGTATAACATTCTGACTTCTATTAATTAAATCAAAGGCATGGTTCACCCAAAAATGACCATTCTGTAAGTGAAGGCATAGTTAATACAGAATAGTTCATTGAAATCTCTTTGAATATATATTCATTCAAAGATACACTGCATCATGTAACGTTGTAACAACTACTTTTTTTTGAAGCTACATTAAAGAAATTGAGAGACCACAAAACAACTTTCAGAGATTCATGTGTATTTAGAAATGTATATGACAGCAGGTATGAATAATTATTGTTACACACTGGGGATATGAAATGATCAGCAGTCAACTCATTAATGATCACTATTAGACAGAAATAAGCATTCGATAAGTGTCTCTCATTGAATCCAGTATTTATAGCAATCCAAAAAAGATACCAACAGTCCTTAAGTGAATCACATGAAAGATCAAGTTCAGCAAACAGTTCATCAATGGCTGGCCACGGAATCAGTAGAAAAGTGGATGGAAAAAGTCTGTGGATATGAGGATGGATTGTCCAGGTCCTGTTTTGATGACTTAAAGTGGATACCAAAAAACCCTCTGCATATAAACAAACATACAATCAAAACCTTACCAACACCACACAAAACATATGTACAAAACCGAAATATATACAAAAAAACAGGCCTACTTACATCTGAGATATAAGAACAAAAATGTTCCTCAAATAAGGGCATCAACAAACAACAGCGCAGTGAAGAAGCCTTTCCATGTGCTAGGCACCATACTTCCTGCCTACTGCTTCTTCACTACCTCCTTTTAAGCAGATTGGAGACTTACTACCTAGATCGCCCTCTAATGGGTGAGATAGCTACTACATGTAGATATTTCAAATAGTAACAGGAAAACTGTTACACACCCCTTCCCCTAAAGAAAAGAGTTATACAGTTCCATAAAATTCCTTCAACTTTTCCACATGGTAAGTATCACATTGACTGGGTTTATCAAGCATTACCACTCTGTAGTTGACATTATTTACCTTTTTTACAATTTTGCCAGGACCTTGCCATTTCGGAGCTAATTTGGCCATAAAGGAATCTGCATCTCGAGACAGAGGGTGTGTGAGGATCCAAACCAAATCTCCTTCCTCAAAGGACTTTGGTTTTCTACGTTGATTGTAGTATTTTCCTTGTCTCTCTTGTGCTTGGCTGGTCTTTGCAATCACTTGCTCAAGGAAAGCTTTCTGCCTTTCAAGGGTGTTATATGCTAGATGGTCTGGATTAGGTGGTCTCTGGATCAGCCTGTCTAGAGGACCCTTCAACTTACGTCCCAAAGCAACTTCAGCTGGAGTGAAACCCGTACTTTCCTGCCATGCTGAGTTAATGGCATACCTGAACTCAGGGATCCATTTATCCCAGTCCCGGTGATTGTCATGGACATAAGAGGACAACATTGTTTTTAGGGTTCGGTTTATCCTCTCAGTTAAGTTGGTCTGCGGATGATAGGCAGTACTGAGCTTCTGAACTACTCCCCATCGCTTGCAGGTCTCATTGAGCAATTGGGCTGTAAATTGAGGGCCGCGGTCAGAGACGAGATATGCTGGAGTTCCCCATCGAGTGAACATCTCTTTTGTCAAGATGTTAGTTATGAGGTGAGTTTTTGCAGATCTTAAAGCAAAAAGTTCCACCCACTTGCTGCAATAATCCACAAAGACTAATAAGAATTCATTCGATCGATTACTTTTTGGGAAAGGACCCATTAGATCCACTCCCAGCATATAGCCAGGCTCTACTACGGGTGTTGACTGCAACAATCCAGACAGTTTCGAGATTCTCGGTTTATATATTTGACAAGTCTTACACTGGGTGCAAAAGCTCCAAACATCCTTACGGATTTCAGGCCAATAGACACTGTCAAGTAATCTCTTCAAGGTTTTCATCCTTCCTAAGTGTCCACTCAGTGGATTTGAATGGGCGAAGTGTAAAAACTGTTCTCTCAGTGATGCAGGGATGACTAGTTGGTAAACACACCCTTGATCTTTGTTAGGCACCCTGCGAAAGAGGTAGTCATTCTGTACACAATAAGCAATGCGGCTGGAATCTGTGGTGGCTTGCTTAGCTGCTTCCCATAGAGCTTGCAAAGAAGAATCAAGCTTCTGAGCTTTCCCAATTTCATCCCAGCTGACTGGCAAATTAGGATCAGTCTTGTTAGCCTGGCAGATGGCAATATGACCTACAACCTCTTGCCCTGGTATACCTCTGGATAGGGCATCAGGTACCACATTGCAGGACCCCTTACGGTACTTGACCAGGAAACTGAAACATTGTAGTCGTAATGCCCATCTGGTTAAGCGTGAAGATGGTTTAGGGTTATTGAAAACCCAAGTCAGCGCAGAATGATCCGTCAGTACTTCAAAGTTTCGTCCTTCCAAATACTGCCTCCACTTCTCTACAGCCCACACGACCGCAAGACATTCCTTCTCTGCAGTGGAGTATGATTTTTCTGCTCCATGTAAAAGACGTGAAGCATAGGCAATGACGTGTTCTGCACCATCAAAATCCTGTGTCAATACAGCTCCTAGTCCTATATCACTGGCGTCAGTCTGCACTCTAAAGACTTTGGTGAAATCTGGGGGCATTAATACTGGTGCTCGTTGTAGTGCATATTTGAGATCATCAAAGGCCCTTTGGCATTCAACTGTCCAGTTCCAGATTGCATTCTTACCTTTCAGTGCATACAATGGAGCAGCTCGCTCTGAGAAGTGAGAAATGAACCGATGGTACCAACTAGCAAGACCTAAAAATCTCTGTACCTCTTTGAGATTTTTTGGGACAGGAAAATCCTGAACTGCTTTGATTTTAGTGTCTTCAGTCCGTACTCCTTCCTCAGAAACAACATGTCCTAGGTAAGTAATGGTCCTCTGCAACATAGAACATTTCTTGAGATTGAGTGTTAAACCAGAGTCTTGCAATTTTGCAAAGAGTAGCTTGAGATGTTGAAAGTGATCTTGGATGGTTTGAGTAAACCACAATGTCGTCAAGATAGACAAAGCAAAACTCTCCCATGTAGTCTCTCAGAACATTGTTCATGAGCCTCTGAAAGGTTGCAGCAGCATTTCTCAGGCCAAAAGGAAGACGAAGAAACTCATATTGGGCATTTTTGGTGACAAAAGCAGTCTTTTTAATGCTGTCTTCATCCATTTTTACCTGCCAGTAGCCAGATTTGAGGTCTAATGTGCTAAATATGGTTGCTCCATACAAGGACTCAAGGATATCCTGAATTTGAGGCATTGGAAACCCATCAAGAGGAGTCTTGGAGTTCAAAGCTCTATAATCAACACAAAAGCGGGTACTGCCATCTTTTTTAGGCACAAGTACAACTGGTGATGCCCATGGAGATACAGAAGGTCTTATAATGCCTTTGTCAAGCATTCTTGCTATTTCCTCATCTATAAACTTCTGTTTGTTGACTGGAACAGGATAGGCCTTCTTTCGCACAGGAATTTCATCAATTGTATGGATTTGATGATGAATCAAGTTGGTTTGACCTAAAGTTTCAGTGCATACAGTGGGCCAATCAAGCATCAGTCCTTCTAGTTGACGTCTATGGGCTTTAGAGACATCAGCTCGATCCACTAACTCCTTTATAATGGTTAGATCAGTAGAATGTGTTGGTATTAGAGGTAGTGCAAGGTGCAGACTTACTATTGGTGAAGGGGAGGAAGAGGTGAAGGAGTGGATTACCCTATATTCTTCAGGTAAAGAATAGGAAGAATTTCTAAAATCGACTGTGATTCCAGACATCTTCAAAAATTCCAGGCCCAACAAAACAGGAAAAGCCAAGTCACAATCTTTCATTACATATGCTCTGATAGGATAGTCATGTCCGTGGATGGTAGCCTGCCAAGCTATCTTCCCCAAGGCTGATTGTAAACATCCATTTGCAAGAGAAAAGGACTGTCCTCTACTCGATTGCAAAACTTCATGATTTGACTTTAATCGTTTCCAGCAGGACTCTTGAATTAAAGAGTAAGTGCTCCCAGTATCCAGAATTGCTTGATATTGATGACCTTTAATGGTTAAGGGCAACGTTAATGTGACAGGAGATCTTTCACTGCTATCAGAACATACAGCTATGTGAGGGTTCGACTGTCGGCCCTTAAAAAATTTACTACCCTCAGTGGACTTTGCATTAGCTTCTTGGTGCCTCTGTCTCCAAAATGATCTTTCTTCATTGATATCTTTTTCTATAAGTGTTCCTACACGTACCAACTCATCTACAGTAGTTACAGTACCTCTTAAAATGCTTGCTATTCTTGGGTTACAGTTCCGTAGTGTCGCTTGGAGAATCTCACGCTCTGTCATGGAAGGTTTCAGTCTCAGACATAATGCTCTGTACTGGTAGGCAAATGTTCGAATACTTTCATCAACCCCTTGTTTCCTTTCTCTGATCCTTCTTTCCACTTCAACATCATGATCATCTGCTAAGAAAGATTGAAGAAAAACAGACTTGAATTGTGTCCATGTTCTTACCCTCTTCTTCTCGGCTACCCACCAGTCTTTAGCTGTGTGTGTCAATACAGAAGGAAGCATGGATATGATCTCAGAGTCATTTAAAGGTTGTACAGCCAGATATTCATCACATCGTTCCAGGTATGTAATAGGGTCTTCCCCATCTAAACTCCCAAATTTTGGAAACTCTAGCTTGATAGGAGTCTTAAAATGTACAGGACGACAAGATCCATGGTCTAATATGGTGTGGCTGAAGTGTGGAGTAGACGTTGCACCCCCAGAAGGCTGGATTAATGATTTCAATTGTCCATCTCTCCGTTTCAGGCAATCCATAATTGCTTTCCCCAACTCTTGAACCTTTGTTTCTAAAGTATCTTTCACTTGGGTACACTCCTTTAACATGGTAGATAACGAATTCTCGAGCTGTTGTACATCTATGGGGTGATCTTGGTACTGTTTTAGCATGTGCTGGACCTGACTCTCAATGACAGCAATCCTATTACTTTGTTCATTCAGCTGATGCTGAATGTCTTTGAAACAAACATCAGAGGAATTTTCAAATGCTTCAACTCTACTTTCAACTTTATGCATTCGTGTGGCCATAATCATTGTTAACAAGCTATCATCATCTTCAATTGTAGGAGGTGGAGGAGGTAACAAAGAATCATCAAAATCCCCTTCTTCTTGTTCACCAATTTCAGGTTCATTTTCCAAGTACAAGCTAGCGAGAGAATGAATAAGGTCTTGAATAGGCTCTCGATGTGTAGTGAAAGGCTCTGAAGAATAATCAGGTAACAAAGAATCATCACCCTCTGTCTCTTTAGCCAAGGCAGCCATTTTGAAGCTACTAAAGCTCTTCAAATAATGTCAACTTTAGAATGCTGAAATAGAGTGTAATGTTAGGACTTTTGAAATTATGGCCTCATAGACACAAACAAAAACATGACTCAAAGAAAGCAGAATGTATCTCTCAAGAATTCAATCAAATTTTGTCTTTTGTTCGGGCGCCAAATATGTAACAACTACTTTTTTTTGAAGCTACATTAAAGAAATTGAGAGACCACAAAACAACTTTCAGAGATTCATGTGTATTTAGAAATGTATATGACAGCAGGTATGAATAATTATTGTTACACACTGGGGATATGAAATGATCAGCAGTCAACTCATTAATGATCACTATTAGACAGAAATAAGCATTCGATAAGTGTCTCTCATTGAATCCAGTATTTATAGCAATCCAAAAAAGATACCAACAGTCCTTAAGTGAATCACATGAAAGATCAAGTTCAGCAAACAGTTCATCAATGGCTGGCCACGGAATCAGTAGAAAAGTGGATGGAAAAAGTCTGTGGATATGAGGATGGATTGTCCAGGTCCTGTTTTGATGACTTAAAGTGGATACCAAAAAACCCTCTGCATATAAACAAACATACAATCAAAACCTTACCAACACCACACAAAACATATGTACAAAACCGAAATATATACAAAAAAACAGGCCTACTTACATCTGAGATATAAGAACAAAAATGTTCCTCAAATAAGGGCATCAACAAACAACAGCGCAGTGAAGAAGCCTTTCCATGTGCTAGGCACCATACTTCCTGCCTACTGCTTCTTCACTACCTCCTTTTAAGCAGATTGGAGACTTACTACCTAGATCGCCCTCTAATGGGTGAGATAGCTACTACATGTAGATATTTCAAATAGTAACAGGAAAACTGTTACAACGTTATAAAATGCACTCACCGGCCACTTTATTAGGTACAACTGTGGTTAACACTAATTTCTAAATCAGCCATTCACATGGCAGCAGCTCAATGCATGTAGACATTGTTGTTGCTGCCAGACGGCTGGTCTGAGTGTTTCAGAAACTGCTGATCTACTGGGATTCACACACAACCATCTCTAGGGTTTACAGAGAATGAAGGAAATATCCAGTGAGCAGCAGTTCTATGGACGCAAATGCCTTGTTGATGCCAGAGGTCAGAGGAGAATGGCCAGACCGGTTCCAGCTGATGGAAAGGCAACAGTAACTCAAATAAGCACTCGTTACAACCGAGCTCTGCAGGAGAGCATCTCTGAACACACAACACGGCCAACCTTGAGGCGGATGGGCTACAGCAGCAGAAGAGCACACCGGGTGCCGCTCCTGTCAGCTAAGAACTGGAAACTGAGGCTACAATTCACACAGACTCACCAAAACTGGACAATAGAAGATTGGAGAAACGTTGCTGCTCTGATGAGTCTCCATTTCTGCTGACACATTCAGATGCTCGGCTCAGAATTTGGCCTCAACAACATGAAAGCATGGATCATCCTGCCTTGTATCAGCGGTTCAGGCTGGTGGTGGTGGTGTAATGGTGTGGGGGAGATTTTCTTTGGGTCCATTAGTACCAATTGAGCATCAACGCCACAGCCTACCTGAGTATTGCTGCTGACCATGTCCATCCCTTTGAGCACAGTGTCTCCATCTTCTGATGGCTACTTCCAGCAGGATAACGCAGCAGGTCATAAAGTCTGAATCATCTCAGACTGGTTTCTTGAACATGAGAAGGAGTTCACTGAACTCAAATGGCCTTCACAGTCCCCAGACCTCAATCCAATTGAGCACCTTTGGGATGTGGTGGAACGGGAGATTAACATCATGGACAAAATCTGCAGCAACTGTGTGATGCTATCTTGTCAACATGGAGCAAAATCTGAGGAATATTTCCAGTACCTTGTTGAATCTCTGCCATGAAGGATTAAGGCAGTTCTGAAGGCAAAAGAGGGACCAACCCGGTACTAGTAAGGTGTACCTAATAAAGTGGCCGGTAAGTGTATATTTCAAGCTATCTCTTCATACATTCATTCATTCCTATTGGCATTAAGCACGTCAGAGTGAGTACAAACTTGTATATTTTGCACATGCCTAAAAGCTCAATTTTAAACAGTTTTAGCATTAATAAACATGTTTCTCCATGAATGATTATATTAAAAACTGCCTAATTGCTAGTCTACATGCGTTTTTAAATGTACTGTACACACCTGATTGTGTTTTGAGCTGCTCTAGATGTATGCGCTGCCGTCTACCCAATACTAGAATGACATTCTTTCGGTTTAGCGTGTCTGTAAAAGAAGATATTCAAGAATAAATACGACAACAAAACACATTCATTCATTCATTCATTTTATTTTATTTTCGGCTGATTCCCTTTATTAATTAGGGGTCACCACAGCGGAATGAACCACCAACTTATCCAGCATATGTTTTACACAGAGGATGCCCTTCCAGCCACTGAGTAAGCTTAATTGGCTGAGGTGTTGAGTGTGTATGGGTGTTTCCCAGTATTGGGTTGCAGCTGGAAGGGCATCCTCTGTGTAAAACATTTGCTGGATAAGTTGATGGTTCATTCCACTATGGATACCCGATTAATAAAGGGACTACGCCAAAAGAAAATGAATGAATCTACGATTACACATTCAATTATAGTATACTTTCATTGCCGAAGCCAGGTTTGTTTCTGACTTGTTAGATGCTTTCGAACTACATTAAGAGAGGGAGACAACAATAATTTAATACCTAGAAGTATGGAGCCCATGCAGCGTATGGAGTGGCAGTGAGGGTTGATGGTCTGTAAAAGATGACAACTGGAAACCTCCACCAACAAAATGTGTCCCGCTCTCGTCCCGATCCACAGAGTCCCACTGTGCTGGACCAATAAGGCTTTCACAACCAACGACGGCACCATCGGTCTAGACTGGTCCTCTGAATGAACTTTGGGCTTTCTGGTGGAACTTAATCTGTTGTAGAGCGAGAGAGCGAGAGAGCGAGATATATATATATATAGGGGTTAGGATGGCCAGATTACACTACCTGACAGAAGTCTTGTCGCCTTTGCAAGTTTTAGTAACAGCAATAATAAGTTGACTTCTAGTTGATCATTTGGTATCAGAAGTGGCTTCTATGAAAGGCAAAGGCCTCTAGATTACGCTTGTTTAAGCACAATAAAAGATGATCATGCCTTGATGTTGAATGATTTCATTAGGACAGTGAGATCTGACTTTGCAGCAAACCCCTGGCATTTTCCCATCTATACAGGTAAAAGGCAGCTCTGGTTGGTCGGTTTCTGTGGGCTAATATTGTAGATTCTTCCACAAGTGGTATGTAGTTCACTGGATTTCAACTAAAAGTTTGATTTCATAAAAATGTACAAACGTTGGGAATTTGATGGCTGCAAATAAACATTTATATAATCTACAAATGTGTTGTTTCCTGCAGCGTTAATTTTGTCAGACTGCAGTAACAACTGAACTTCAGATGTGCATTTGACACTGTTAATTAAATTAAAAATTAATTATTAAATTAAAAAGTTTAATTAAATAATTTAATTAAATAATTTAATTAAATAATTTAATTAAATAATTTAATTAAATAATTTAATTAAATAATTCAATTTAATTTAATTATTTAATTTTATTTAATTTAAATTATTTATTTACTTATTTATTTTAATTTAATTTGAGCGTCTTTATCCAATTTATTTGACCAATAGGTTATATGCTGAAGCATGCTAATAGGACTTTTAATTTGCCAGTAACCTGGGTTAAGCGCTTCTAGTGAATTGTATGTGTAACCCCGTCGGTCCTACGCCACCCAACACGCTCTGAGCTGGTATCGAACCGGCAACCTTCCGCATGGGAGTCGGATGCCCTACCAAAAACGCTAAAGACCATGGTTTACCTGCACAGCACTTCACTAGCTGGCCTCCGCTACATATGCAATTGCAAAATCGCCGCGTTTAAGGTCTGTTTTCTTTAAAAGTCAGTGATCTTGTACAAGCACTGCATTACACTACATTTCCCCCGCCGTGTTTGAGCATTTTTTTTTTACACCAGTATATTCAATGAAGCTTGTGCGTTAGCCTGCCGATTCTGACAGGCGCGTGCAACCAAACAGATGTCTTGTTTTACGCTTGAGCAACTAAATAAATGCCAATGTCTATTTAACTGATAGTATTGTAATGATATTACAACATCGATGCTGTAAAAGAAACCGTATAAATGGAGAAAAAAAAAAAAAACTCGCAATAACAGGTCACCGGAAGATTCAGTATGGGAACAACACTAGCTCTGTATATTCTCTCGTGTTTTGGGAAGTAAAACTCAAAAGCCCATGCCAAAAAAACTACAAGTTGCATCAAATGTAAGATATACTGTATTGTGAAGTCATATTTCGGACAGTAGGTGGACTCTACCTTGTGAAAAGATGGATTCCTGATTGTGTGTGTGCTACATTACCCGAGTAACTGCATGCAGTCGATGAGGTTCACCATCCTCTCAGTCTTCTTGTCCCAGACCTCAACAGTGTGGCCTCCGGTTTTACTCACATACACGTGTTTGTCCACCGCTAACCGTGATATACAAGCCTCCCCGCTGACCCGAGCCTGCAGTCTAAATGACAAAATGAACACCTTTAAGAAGTGAACAAGAAATGTAATGGAAAATACTTATTTGTGTGCGTCTTAGACACGCAGTTGTTTTACAATAAAACATTATTATAAAGGCAAACTATCAATCTAACTAAACTTGTCTTCTGCCTTTAGCAGGAAAAAAAAAAAACAAACCACCAGAATCTCTAGTCTACCATATCAGATTTATACCTCACACGAGTTACACTTTACAATTGTAAATATTACCCAAATAGCAAATTCCCATTGCAAACCTTTAGAGTGCCACAAGGCTCAGTTATAGGACCTTTACTATTCTCAATATCCACAATCTCACAGTCTAATCATATGTCATTTATTTTTGCATCTATACAGATGAAAAGCATCTCTCCTTGACTTTTTAACCTGCTAATATTGTGGATTCATGAGTATAAATGACACATCTCTGCCTGCCTTTGTGTCTCATGATGAATTCACTATATACAGTAGCTACTCAAAATATGTGACCATCCTATTCTTACCAAACCTGTCTTCTGCCTTTAGCATGTTTAAATCACCAGAATCTCTAGTCTACCATATCAGATTTATACCTCACACAAATGACACTTTACTTTTGAAAACATTAGTAGTTTGCCAATGGGAATTTGCTATTTAGTTAGAGTCCCACTGGGCTCTGTTATAGGACCTTTACTATTCTCAATATACACAATATCTCACAGGGTCTAATCATATAGGTCATTCATTTTTATATCTATACAAGTGAAAAGCATGTCTACTTGTCTTTTTAACCTGCTAATATTTAGGATTAATCAGGCTGAATGACTTCAGAATGTTTCACATATCTCTGCCTGCCTTCGTTTCTTGTGGTAATTTCACTACATGCTGTACTCAAAATACCCAGTTCTAATCAACAAGAACTGCTTTTTTATAACATGACTATGCGGTTCCATTTTTTTTAAAAGCATAAACAAAAAGTGCCTTTCTGTTATAGTACATCACGTGCCTAACGCGAGTTAGGTAGGAAAGAACTTCTAAACTTCTTGTGAAGACAAGTCTGCGCAACTGTTCAACGGAACAGGTTTAGAAGGAATCTGAACGCCAACTAGCCCTTAGGGTATAGTGAATGGAAACAAAATTTCCCTAATATACAGTAATGTGAAGGTTTCCCTCAAAATAAAAGCTGTTTTAAAAGAGATACAAAGAATTGTAGGAATAAAATGCAATCTACTGCAACACATGGTAATCACTGCTGATTTCTTCCTCTAATATTACAAGTTTAGCCTCAAAATAGCAGAAGAGACGATAACAAACACTGTCATGTGATCATGTTTAGAGGCCTGTCACACAAAGCCACTTTGGGTTTTTACTTTGGCAAGTTTGCATTTAGTTAGAGCAAACTCTTGAGTTCTTAGGTGTTTTGATTGGGTTTTCATTAACATGGTAATTTGTTCTGGGTTAGAGTAAGGAAACCCCAAACTGGACCAATCCCTGTTTTTGGAAAGTCTCATTTTACAGCTCTTCTAGAGTTAAACCTCAGAGTTTGACCATTTTTTAATCCAGCCAGCCAATCTTTTTGTGTTTGGCGAAAGCACTTTTAACTTGGCTCAGCACAAATCATTTATTTGGATTAGATCATGAGCATCTCACTCCAAAAGTAAAAATAAATTTAGATAATTTGCCTACTTTTGTCTAAATTTTTTCTAGCTTGACTTTTTTGATGTTAACGATCTAATCGGATTCAATGATCTATGCTAAGCTCAGCTAAATGTGCAGATGCGGAAAACGGCTGATTTGATTCAAAAATAACGGTTTAATCCTAGGGAAGCTGTAAAACGAGTTTCCGAAATTGTTCTGTTTTTCTTCCACTTATTACATTAAAGAAACACTAAGCTATTGACAGGTGTAGAGACTGGCGAACTCACGAGAAGAGCGGTTTGGGTTTGGTGTCAATGCTTCTACAGACGTCAAATTCAACAGTGAATAAGATGATCCTGGTCCCACAGGCGGCCCACAGCGATCTGCGCTCCTGAGGATGACTGGATGGACCGAGACACATCAGCGGAGTGTTCACATCTCCAACCTCCAGCGTCTTCACTGGACCACCGTTCTCCACCTACAGCCAGAACACAGCAGAAAGGTCAAAAGTATGATATAATATTGTTTACTACAAGCCTGGGAAGCATGAAATGTCTTATTCCATACTTCCAAACACTTCAAATGGATGATCCATCAGTTAATGTATTTTAATACACATGTACAATCTTATAATATTTCGTTATATATTAATGGTTTACAAGTCGGATTATAAACAGTACAATGAATACATTACCATTAGAAGCTGACTTTATTCACACACTGCTGCCACACAACCGTGTTTAAAGCAGAGACTGTAAATATATGGACGTAGTATCCGTGACGTCACCCATAGGTTTCTAAAGAGCGCAAAAGAAGCCACAAGTAGGCGTGGCCAACCGTCGCCATTTTGATCACGCATCACACCCACGGCGGGATACCAAACAAGGGCAAAGAGGCGGAGAGTAGGCGGAGCTACAGACACCTGCTGGCATTTAGCTTGGACCTGGTTCAGACACACTTTACTTTGGGAGAACTCTTAATACTTTATCACCTGTGACTCGTTTGTATTCTGACCACTTGTGCTTGGTTGTACACTATATCAATAAAGTGTTTAGACTTTTAAAAACACTGCTGTAATACATTGAGCCACTAAACATTGTTCTTATGACGTTTTTCAACAGGAGGAAAACGCGAATCACTTCCAAACACTTCAGATATAGTCTGTGTTAGTAAATGCAGGACTATTGATGAAATCCAGCATAACACTGTATGACAACGCTTCAGATGACTGATCTAGAGCCCACAGCTAATCAATCTGACAGATTCTGGAGTGCATTACAGCTCTAAATATAAATATGAACGATAAATGATCTTAAATAAAACACATACATGTATAGAGATGGTATATAAGTATATAACTTTACTCACATGGGAAACGGAGGCCACGTGAATGGTTTGTGAGCACAATTAAGTGCACTCAGCATGCCATGCCATCTAATAATTGTAGGAAACAAGTCCAAAAGGCAGCTGACTGTGTAAAGCCACATAAAACAACACAGAAATATGATAAATATGCCGAGTTCAGTGGCTAATCTGCAGGATTCAGCTGAGGTGACGGCGAACAGCGAGACCAAGCTGTCACTCAAGTGGCCACGCCCTTAATTATGCAAACTTAATATAAAGGAAACGGATGAGTTATAAAAAAAATTCACCCCCCCTCACAGTTGTCATGAAGGGTAATATTAGCTGTATTACCTAAAATCTTTTTTTGTAGCAGGCTGTAAACACCTTTGTTTCTGCTGTAAAGTTGGCCATGCTAACAGTGGGCTCAATTGAAATTTGCTCTATTTTGGAGCCAGGAGCGGCCAGGACTAGCGGAATTTCGGATGAATTGCAGTTTTAGTTACTTCTGTATTGGCTTCCTGAGGGAGAGCGGGAGGTTGCCGATTGGTTTAAACAATAAATAATAATTTAAATAATCACTGCCACTTTTGATCTATTTATTGATTTTGCTAACTAAATTAAATTCATATATTTTTAAAAACAATCCAAAAATGTTACGATGTAATAATGCCAAACAGGGCAACGTGGTGGCTTAGTGGTTAGCGCTGTCGCCTCGCAGCAAGAAGGTTGCAGGATCGAGTCCCGGCAGGGTCAGTTGGCATTCCTGTGTGGAGTTTGCATGTTCTCCTCGTGTTGGTGTGGGTCCAAACACATGCGCTATAGAGGAATTAACTAAATTGGCCGTAGTGTATGAGTGTGTAAATAGGTGTGTATAGGTGTTTCCTAGTACTTGGAAGGGCATCCACTGTGTAAAACATATGCTGGAGTAATTGTCAGTTCATTCCGCTGTGGCGACCCCAGATTAATAAAGGGACTAAGCCGAAAAGGAAATGAATGATTGAACATTGCAAAACAATGATTCAATACCTTCAGGGCTGAATCTTCATAAATGACCAGTGTCCCGTCTGCTGTGCCCACCAAAAGATAACTCTTCAGACATCTGCAGACAAAAATAAGCATCATTTTTTCAATTTAAGCTAGATCAACCAAGCGTGTGTCACAAGCAGATTTATTAACCTGTGCTGGAGCTCGGTGTGAAAGTACAGAGACGTCACAGAGTCCTTCACACTCTTCAGACGGTGCAGGACTTTCGCATTAATGGTGTCCATGATAAAGAGCGAACCGGACTCTGAACCAGCCACTAGCCAGTCACTGCACGAGTCTGCAGCTCTGATGATCACCATGCAGAGGATAGGGCTGCGGTCCAGCTCCTGAAACACAGCATTAGGAACAGTACACTGTTATAGTAAATAGCTGGCTAAATGATGCACATTTCTAGCATGAATTAGCACAATATAGTTTATATAATAAACATGTCAGGAAGCATTAGCCATGTGTTAAAACATGCTAGAAACATGGCTATTGCCTCCTAAAATGTTTGTAACATTCTATTTGGATTCATTAAGATGTTGCTAACATGATTAAGACTATGATAATGTGAATTAGCATGTTATAGCAAGTCTTAACATGCTAATATGCTTAAGCATTCTGCTAGCATGTTTTAACACATAACTAATATGCTTTAACGTTCTGTTAACATGTTTTAAAATATTATGAACATACTTTAACATTCTGTTAGCATGCTTTTAAAAAATGGGAGGAGCTACTCTATGCCCCGCCCTCGATTCATGTTTCGTTTAAGATTGTCAAACATCGAATAAAAAAAAAAAAGTTCACATGTCAAAGCACGGGACCTTTAAATCTTGATGCAATAAATCTGCATGTTTTAGCACCTGGTTCAAACTCCCGCCGGTCTCCAGATCCACCGCAGTCACACAGCCCAGTTTCTGGCTGCTGCTGCCACCACCGATCCACACATGAGGGTTTTTACCTCCGTTTGCAGCTCCGCCTGAATTGGACACGACAAAACACTCGCCTGGAAAACCCACAACATTCAGCTCTCGCATCAGACACAACATCTCTGCAGAGTTCAGACGATCAAACACCTGAAACACATTTACAGTTAAAGTAAGAATATTATCCCCTCTGTATATCGTTTTCCCCAATTTCTGTTTAATGTATAGATTTTTCAGCACATTTCTAATCATAAGTTTTAATAACTCATCTCTAATAACTGACTAATTTTATCTTTGTCATGACGACTGCACATATTATTACACTAGATATTCATCTAGATGATTGTATTCAGCTTAAAGTGACATTTAAAGGCTTCACTAGGGTAATTGGGGTAAAGTTAGGGTAATTAGGCAAGTCATTGTATAACAGTGGTTTATTCTGGAGACAATCCAACACTAATATTGCTTAAGGGGGTGAATAATATTGACCTTAAAATGCCTTTACAACAATTAAAAACTGCTTTTATTCTAGCCTAAATAAAACAATTAAGAAGAAAAAAATATTATAGGAATTACTGTGAAAAATTCTTGAATCTGTTCAACATCATTTGGGAAATATTGGAAAAGGAACAAAATAATTTACAGGACAGCGAATCATTTTGACTTCAACACTACATAAAAACTACAACATGACTTTCAAGAGAAGGTGGAGGTCGGTGTTTGGGATGGTGTGGGAATATAATAGTAGTAATACTCCTAATATGATGGTAGTGTAAACCCAAGTCTCACCTGAGCAGACGTCGGCCTGTCCTGGGGGTTTTCTCTCATACATTCCCTCATGAGAGACTCAATCTCAGGCCATGGAGAACAGCCGTAATCCTTCACTGGATCTACACAACAGGTTATTTTAAGACAATTTTCTAATGAATAGGCATAGTAAAATAACAACAACAACAACAACAATAATAATAATAATAATAATAATAATAATAATAATAACAGGGATAGCATAATAGATTTAGTATAACAACAGGTATAGGGATAACATAATAGGTATAGTATAATAATAATAATAATAATAATAATAATGATAGGGATAGCATAATAACAGGTATAGGGATAATATATGATAGGGATGGTATAATAATAATAGGGATAGTATAGTAATAGGGATAGTAAAATAGGGATTGGGATAGTATAATAATGGTAGGGATAGTATAATAGGAACAGTATAATAAGAATAGGGATAATTCACCCCAAAAATAAAATGCTGTCACCATTTACTCTTCCTTCACTTGTTAAAGTTTGTTTTGAGTTTCATGTTTCTGCAAAACACAAGTTTAGCGGTAACTTCAGCGTTAAGCTCAATAAGGAGACTCAAAGATTTACTCACCCTTTACTTGTTCCAAACCTTTATTTTTGGGTGAACTATTGCTTTAATGCAGTGCTAACTGGCAAACATCTCACAGCATGATCGAGCATATAAAATGTATTTGTTTACATCTTGCTTTCAGGGGTCAGTAAGCCCCTCCCCCTTCCATAAGCCAACTCCGCTCTCATTGGTCAGCAAACCAAAGTCTCAGTTGATTGGTCTGTTTTATCCTGTGTCGAAAAGTAAACTAATATTTTTAGTGTTGATGTCGCGAAAGGTGGAGACTATGCAAATATGACTCCATTCTCTTTTCAAAAGAGGGCGGAGCTACAGATGCCTGTGTGTCATTAGCATAGGACGTCAGTCTTGTTTTTGAATCTGCCACTGCTCTGAGGGAGAGATGGGTACTTTAGGGGGCGGGTCTTTCCCCCTCTGATTGACATTCTCCCTTTGTATGATGTCAAAGCATTTCTGCAGTTATCAAGTCTGATATTAACAAATACAATAAATACTATTTTACAATTAGAAGCTGGTTATTTTCACACACTGCTGACACACAACTGTGTTTAACCCCCTAATTTAATATCATGTGGGCGTCTCGCCTCAAACTGAGCATTACCTGGTAGTTTGCCCTGCACGGCCACTTCATCGAACTCACTGGGAAACTTCATGCCATCTGAGATGCGCTCGCCGTATGTTAACAGATCATACAGCAGCAGACCGAACGAATAAACATCCGCCTGGACGTTGTAGATGACGTTTCCTCGAGCCACCTCCGGGGCTCGAAAACCTGCGCAAGATCAAGACTCAAAATCACAACACAGGTAAAAATCCTCAGTGCAAGTGTCCATTTTAAACCTTCAAAATTCTCTCCATCAATAGGCTTACAGCTGAAGGCAAAATTAAACATTCATATTATATTTCCCAAGTGATGTTTAACAGATGCTTTTTCAATGCTTATTTTTTCTTTATTTCTTTCAGTTTGGCTGAAATAAAAGCATTTATCTTAAAGGAGGATTATGGGTAAATGAGCGAGACCTGGTGTTCCTTCAGAGCTGCGGACGCCCATGCTGCAGCAGTACTGCGCGATGCCATAGTCTGTGATTTTAGCGACGATCTCAGCGTCCGTCTTCAGGTTGAACAGCAGAACGTTGTGCGGCTTCAGGTCTCGGTAGATGATCATAGATGAGTGCAAATATCTGTTCGGAAACAAAACGAGTCACAGATACCGTCCTATAGGTTGACATTGAACTGAGAAGATTTATTTAAAATGGCTGCGTGTAAGAATTGTGTATTAAATGCTTTTTTTTATTGCCAACGTGTCCTTTGTCGACTTTCTAGGTTTTTATCTTTATATAAAAAGGACATTTTTGCTAGGGAAAACAAGCATGTCACACATAATAGCAGTAAACGATGGTATTAAACTACTGGAACTACTTTCCCATTATGTTAATAAAAAAACACAAATGTAAGGCTCCAGTTCACTTAATGGCCACCGGTGTCGCTATAGTCACAAAAGTTTATCGGATTTCTACATTTAGTCTCTTTAAAAGGTGATTAATGCGTTTTGAAGTGCACCTACTTGAGACCATCAGCCACATGTAGTGCAATCCTGTGCTGTAATTTGCGACTTAAGCTGCCATTTTCACGCTCAAACAGCGAGTCCAGAGAGCCATACGGAGCCAACTCCATCACAAGTATATGTGGGTTACAACCAGCAGCCAAAAGACCCACCAAACTAGGATGACACAGTCTGCCGAGTACTGCCAGTTCCTGGAGATGGATCAGGAAGATGCATCAGTAACAATGTAGCAATAGTGGCGGACACACCAAGGTTCCTGCTGCATAACTCACCTGTCGTACCAGCCGGTGAACGTACAGCGCAGACGCATGTTTATTAAAAATCTTGACCGCAACTTCTTCATTCTTGTAGACAGCTTTATAAACCGAGCCAAAACCTCCATCCCCTTCAGTATAAAAACACACTGTTACTTTCGATCCACATTGCCTTCATGCTTGTCAGCTATTGGTAGATCATTGGAACTTATAGAATTTTGGTCATACGCCCACCCCTATATTCATATCATAACTATGTGGTGAAATATAGTATTTAAATAGGTGGTTATTCCAGAAAAAAACAAAAACAAAACAAGGTTATATTGCATAACTTCTTTCTTTTATGTGGATCATTTGTTTTCTTTATTTGTTATTAATGTTAAACTGCAGCCACTGAGTAAACGTCTAATAGGGGCAGGCACTATGACCCAGCAGGAGGCTGCTTTAAGAGTTTTATTGTAAAGGCTTAAATATAGCAGATGTTAAAAAGTCAAAAAAAAAAAAAAAAAAAAAAAAAAAAAAAAACACATTTTTCATATTCACAAAAATATTAAACATGACTTTTTTTTTTTTACATAACTTCACATTAGTTTTGTATTTTACGTTCATTTTCCAAGTCTAATCTGAATTATTAGTGTAACAGGGTAGGCATTAGGACCTGGGGGGCTGATTAACTTAGAGGGATATTGTACACCTAGTTATTCTGTACTTATATTCAGAGCAGTAGTAAGTCCAAAACGGTTACTGTACATCACAGGTGAAAGTTCCTGAGCTGACTATTACGAGCACTCCACTGTATGAGAGTTAGCCACGCCCACTTATATTACATAGTGTAATTTACAGAATATAAAAACATTTACTACAGTTGACAGTTTATTCGAAGGTAACAATATATGTGGTCATACTGCCCAGCCCTATATGGATGTTTGCATGAACTGACCCAACATATACTCTGCAGTGAGCTCCATCTCCAGCTGCTCTGGGTCCAGTATGGTGCTGGATGGCTGGTCACTCAGTACCAGGTCTGGAGAAATCTGAGAGATGGGTAAAGTACAGCTGGGGTCCTCGGGGTTCACCAGTAGACCATCTAACAGACAAGTAAGCAGTTAGAACTATTTATAATGACAGCTCTCCTGTACTTTTTTCTTCTGAATTTGAACAGACCTGCATTGGTGTTGGAGAGCAGGTCTTCCAGTAGCATCTTCTGGCAGTTTTGTCCATCGCTGAAGCTGTACAGAGCCCATTTCTTCAGCAGCGTCTCTCCAGTGCCATGAATGTCGGTGGTGAGAAGGCCTGGAAACCATTCCTCCAGCAGAGAGTCAATGTGGTCCACCACCTGCCCAAACAACACACGGCCTGCAAACAACAGAGGTTACACTGTATTTTTCAGCACAGTCATCGCCGGCTGACTATATCTATGCATGACTAGATCACCGCCACTATATTTCACATCAGCCCCACTGTCATCACCCCTGCTATCTCTATCATTACCAACACCAGTCATCATTAAGATCAAATAAAATGTTTCACTGTCATTACCAGCACCATAATTATCTCTACCATCAACTTAAGTGCATCGCTATCACCACCATGCCAGTCATTACTATCAGTGAATCAAATGCATTACTAATCAACAGTCTACATCATTACCGCCACAAACCCTATCATTACTATCAGTGATTCAAATGTATCCCTATCAGCAGCATCTTTATGATTACCACAACCCCAATCATATTTCTGTCAATGATTGAAATGCATCACCATCACCACCGTCTCTTTCATTACCACAACACCAATCATTTTACTATCAATGAATCAAATGCATCACTATGTACAGTATATCATTACAACAATCCCAATCATCATTACTATCAATAAATCAAATGCATTACTGTCAACATCTACATCATTACCGCCACAAGCCCTATCATCATTACTATCAGTGATTCAAATGCATCCCTATCAAGCAGCATCCCGATCTTTACCACAACCCTAAATCACATAACTATCAATGAATAAAATGCATCACTATCATAAGTTCACCAACATGTATAGCATTACCACAACCCCAATCATCATTACCATCAATGAATCAAAAGAATCACTATCATACTTTCACCACCATGTATATCATTACCACAACTCTAATCTTATTACTATCAATTAATTAAAATGCATCACTATCGACCATCTCTTTCATTACCGCAACAATCATATTTCTATCAATGACTGAAACGCACCACTATCACCACCATCTCTATCATTTCCGCAACCCAAATCATATTACCATCAACGATTAAAATGCATTACTATATCCAGTTCAACACCATGAATATCATTACCACAACTCCAATAATATTACTATCAATTAATAAAATGCATTACTACCAACATCTTCTACATCATTACCACTACAAACCCTACTCCCCCCAACTCCATTACCTCAATAACAATCGTCATTACTATCAATGAATCAAATGCATCACTATCACCACCAAAAAAGTAATCATCATTACCATTAATGAATCGCTATCATCAGCATCTCCATCATTACCGCAACCACAATAAGCATTACTATCAATGAATTAAATGAATCACTATTATCACCATCATTACCAAAACAACCATTATTTATATCAATGAATCAAATACATCACTATCATTACCACAACAAGCATTAATATCAGTGAATCTAATGCATCACCATCCCCACACATATCTATCATTACCGCAACCACAATAAGCATTACTATCAATTGATAAAATGTATCACTATTATATGCAACATTACCAAAACAGCAATTATCACCATCTATGAATTAAACTAATCACTATCATCACCATCTCAATCATTACCAAAACATTTCTCATTACTATCAATGAATCAAATGCATCACAACCCCCACCATCTCCATCATTAATGACCACAACATCAGTATTATTGTTGCCATGACATTCAATGATCATCAACAGCTCAACTCTTCATAAAAACCATAGCCATCATTTTTGCATCCTATCATTACCATCACAACCACAACTTTTAAAATTGTAGCCATCATTGCAATAACCAAAGTGTTTAAGATAGTCCAAACACTGCAAAACAAGTTTCTCTTTTACCTTTGCGAGAGCATGGAACGGTGATCTTGATGAAACTAGCTGGGTTTTCTTCTAAAGTCAAAGCCTCAACCAGACAGTAAGCTTCAGCAGACCAGCTCAAATAGATGCCCTTCCTCCAGTAGATCCGGTTTGGTTTTAATGCTTTTTCTATAGAGAAAAAAAAAAAAAAAAAAAAAAAAAAACACGTTACAAATCTTAATTCTTATTTAATTTTCCAGGCTTTAAGTGCTTTAATTTTGTTCTCGGAGCAACTAACAACCTACAAAACATAAAAAATGACAACCAATATCCTTGTTTTGGTAAGTCTACTTTCACATATGCAGTCAGATCAATGTAGGTTTGAAAAGACGAGTTATTATGGTTACCTTTTTTTTACGCTTCTGAAAAACAGCAGCTCATTTGCAATGTCACCTTTAATGTGTGCATAACTTTGGAATGGGTAGTTCAATGTTATAGGAAACTTTATGGTGATTTCCAGCATTTGTGTTGTATTACCTCTGCCATAGAGCAGGAATGCAGACACTTCCAGCAGACGGCTGATCTGTCTGGGCCAGTAGCCCATCGGAAAATATGGCATCTCATATAGTCGAATGATCACTTCTGAATTCTCACAGTGAGGAAGCTCAATCACTGGCCTGTGGTCTGACAGACTGTGAAGAAAAACAACAATATTAGCGCACATGTGTTCAATTTAAAGGGATCATGACTTACATTTTTGTACTGTTCAACTGTTATGCTGTGTTCACACCAGACGCGGAACCCGCGGATAAATCGCGGTATTCGCACGTAAATTGCCGCGTGAACATTTAAAGTCACTCGCTTCATTCGCGCGTCAAATTCCCTTCAGAACAGACGCGGATTCGCGTGATGGGCAGGGCTTCTGTCTGCCCAGTGACTGTAGCGTCGTTGCTAAAATGGCTAACATGGATTTTATGAAGAAAAAAAAAAACATTGTTTATGTACTTTATGAAGGCTGAAAACAGCGTCAATACGTTTAGGACAGTGTCTGAGTCCACTACATGCTTTCAGAGGTGCATCCAGCTCTGTGAGCTCAAAAACTCCTCCAGAAACTGAACCTGGATCACGGAGTCTTTCAACGGTGCTTCTGACTGAGCCAAGCCCAGTTTGATGACTTGTCGGTGTCGCCTGGAGGATTTCACCCAGGACACCATCAACAGGTTCTACGTCACAATCACGCCCCCACAAGAGCAAGCTTCTGATTGGTTAACGCGGCGCGAATGTCCGCTGAAGTTCAGATTTTCGAACTCGATTGATTTGCGCGAAACGCGCGTTAAGCGCATAACATGCGCAAACGCTCAATTCGCCCCGCGCCATTCGCGCATATCACGCTATTCCCACTGCGCCATTCATGCAATTTGCGTCATTCGCGTTGCGCGCCACAGGATGTCTATACGCGTGTTAGCATCGACTTAAGATGTATCACTCGCGCTTGACGCGCGTTCTGCGTCTGGTATGAACGCAGCATTACACTTATAATATTAAGTGTAAAATTATAACATTATAAATGTGCAGTTATATATTATAATTGTCCATTTTCTGTCCTGTTTTTGACCTCAATCAAAATCCTGTTTGAATGGGCGTGGCAGATTGTAGACTCAGAAGTAAACACCCACTGTTCTGATTGGCTTACAGTTCTGCTTATTACCAGAGCCATACAAACAGTGAAAAAAAGTAGATGTCAATCTTCAGTGGAGGTGGGGTTTATCCAACCTATTACATCATAGAGTAGAACATTCCAGAACCTGTTGTTTTAGCAGACTGCCTTTAATATAAGCTCATTTTAGAGCAACCACAAAGTTGAGCTTTAAAACTTTTAAGATGTTTTTATAGTAGTATAAGCTCCTAATGTTAAAAGATCAGGGGAATTTGGGTTTCTATGTTCATGACCCCTTTAATACAAAAAGCATTACCTGCTAGGAATGAGTAGCTGGTCATGGTCAAATGGCAGGGCTATCTGAAACTTCTCCAACAGTTTGAAGTATTGAATCATGTGATCCTTTGGGAAACAGCGGCTTTTCTCCACAAATTTCTCCACGGTGGAGCGCTGCACCACTCCTTTCGTGCTGTCCCATGGACCGCTGCTTTTCAGAGACAGCGTCTGTCAGTTAACACAACGAAAAAAGATGTTACAGATCTTTCGCAGTTGTTGAACAGAGGAGCTAGATGTGTTTTAGCATGTATAACCTGTGAGATGATCCTACAAAACCACTGTAGGTCAATGAAGTACAGATCCTTCAGCTGAAGAACTGGATCAAAGTGCAGCAAGACACCTGGAGATAAGTCACAGAGGGTCTGTTAATATTTTTCAGTCTCTTAAAAAGGAAATGTAGCATAGCATTACTACTAAAAATAAGCATTCATCAGCTGATACGACTGGTAATATTACTACTAAAAATAAGCATTTATCAGCCGATACTGATATGACAGGTAATATTACTACTAAAAATAAGCATTCATCAACCGATACTGATGACAGATAATATTACTACTAAAATAAGCATTAAGCCAATACCGATATGACAGGTAATATTACTACTAAAATAAGCATTTATCAGTTGATACCGATATAACAGATAATATTACTACTAAAAATAAGCATTTATCAGCCAATACCGATATGACTGGTAATATTACTACTAAAAATAAGCATTTATCAGCCGATACTGATATGACTGGTAATATTACTACTAAAAATAAGCATTTATCAGCCGATACCGATATAACAGATAATATTACTACTAAAAATAAGCATTTAATCAGCCGATACTGATATGACAGGTAATATTACTACTAAAAATAAGCATTTATCAGCCGATACCGATATGACAGAATATCACTATTAAAATGAAGCATTTTTCAGCCGATACCAATATGACTGGTAATATTACTACTAAAAATAAGCATTCATCAGCCATGCCGATATAACAGATAATATTACTACTAAAAGCATTTAATCAGCCGATACTGATATGACAGGTAATATTACTACTAAAAATAAGCATTTATCAGCCGATACTGATGACAGATAATATTACTACTAAAATAAGCATTAAGCCAATACCGATATGACAGGTAATATTACTACTAAAATAAGCATTTATCAGTCGATACCGATATAACAGATAATATTACTACTAAAAATAAGCATTTATCAGCCGATACCGATATGACTGGTAATATTACAACTAAAAATAAACATTTATTAGCCGATACCGATATGACAGGTAATATTACTACTAAAATAAGCATTTATCAGTCGATACCGATATAACAGATAATATTACTACTAAAAATAAGCATTTATCAGCCGATACCGATATGACTGGTAATATTACTACTAAAAATAAGCATTCATCAGCCGATACCGATATGACAGAATATCACTATTAAAATGAAGCATTTTTCAGCCGATACCAATATGACTGGTAATATTACTACTAAAATAAGCATTTATCAGCCGATACCGATATAACAGATAATATTACTACTAAAAATAAGCATTTATCAGCCGATACCGATATGACTGGTAATATTACTACTAAAAATAAGCATTCATCAGCCGATACCGATATGACAGAATATCACTATTAAAATGAAGCATTTTTCAGCCGATACCAATATGACTGGTAATATTACTACTAAAAATAAGCATTCATCAGCCATGCCGATATAACAGATAATATTACTACTAAAAATAAGCATTTAATCAGCCGATACTGATATGACAGGTAATATTACTACTAAAAATAAGCATTTATCAGCCGATACCGATATGACAGAATATCACTATTAAAATGAAGCATTTTTCAGCCGATACCAATATGACTGGTAATATTACTACTAAAAATAAGCATTCATCAGCCATGCCGATATAACAGATAATATTACTACTAAAAGCATTTAATCAGCCGATACTGATATGACAGGTAATATTACTACTAAAAATAAGCATTTATCAGCCGATACTGATGACAGATAATATTACTACTAAAATAAGCATTAAGCCAATACCGATATGACAGGTAATATTACTACTAAAATAAGCATTTATCAGTCGATACCGATATAACAGATAATATTACTACTAAAAATAAGCATTTATCAGCCGATACCGATATGACTGGTAATATTACAACTAAAAATAAACATTTATTAGCCGATACCGATATGACAGGTAATATTACTACTAAAATAAGCATTTATCAGTCGATACCGATATAACAGATAATATTACTACTAAAAATAAGCATTTATCAGCCGATACCGATATGACTGGTAATATTACTACTAAAAATAAGCATTCATCAGCCGATACCGATATGACAGAATATCACTATTAAAATGAAGCATTTTTCAGCCGATACCAATATGACTGGTAATATTACTACTAAAATAAGCATTTATCAGCCGATACCGATATAACAGATAATATTACTACTAAAAATAAGCATTTATCAGCCGATACCGATATGACTGGTAATATTACTACTAAAAATAAGCATTCATCAGCCGATACCGATATGACAGAATATCACTATTAAAATGAAGCATTTTTCAGCCGATACCAATATGACTGGTAATATTACTACTAAAAATAAGCATTCATCAGCCATGCCGATATAACAGATAATATTACTACTAAAAATAAGCATTTAATCAGCCGATACTGATATGACAGGTAATATTACTACTAAAAATAAGCATTTATCAGCCGATACTGATGACAGATAATATTACTACTAAAATAAGCATTAAGCCAATACCGATATGACAGGTAATATTACTACTAAAAATAAGCATTTATCAGCCGATACTGATGACAGATAATATTACTACTAAAATAAGCATTAAGCCAATACCGATATGACAGGTAATATTACTACTAAAATAAGCATTTATCAGTCGATACCGATATAACAGATAATATTACTACTAAAAATAAGCATTTATCAGCCGATACCGATATGACTGGTAATATTACAACTAAAAATAAACATTTATTAGCCGATACCGATATGACAGATAACATCACCATTAATCAGCCGATACCGATATGACTGGTAATATTACTACTAAAAATAAGCATTCATCAGCCGATACTGATATAACAGATAATATTACTACTAAAATAAGCATTTATCAGCCGATACCGATATAACAGATAATATTACTACTAAAAATAAGCATTTATTAGCCGATACCGATATAACAGATAATATTACTACTAAAAATAAGCATTTATCAGCCGATACCGATATGACTGGTAATATTACATCTAAAAATAAACATTTATTAGCCGATACCGATATGACAGATAACATCACCATTAATCAGCCGATACCGATATGACTGGTAATATTACTACTAAAAATAAGCATTCATCAGCCGATACTGATATAACAGATAATATTACTACTAAAATAAGCATTTATAAGCCGATACCGATATAACAGATAATATTACTACTAAAAATAAGCATTTATTAGCCGATACGACTGGTAATATTACAACTAAAAATAAACATTTATTAGCCGATACGACTGGTAATATTACAACTAAAAATAAACATTTATTAGCCGATACCGATATGACAGATAACATCACCATTTATCAGTCGATACCAATAAGACAGATAATGACATCATTAAACATAAGCATTTATCAGCTGATACTGATCGGACAAAGAATAGCACCATTAAAAATAATCAATTATTAGCCAAAACTGATATGACTGATTAAATACTATTAAAAATAAGCATTTATCAGCTGATACCGACTTGACAGATAATGACACCATTAAAAATAAGCATTTACCAGCTGATAGCAATATGATATTAATAAAAATTAAATATCAGCAAAGATTAATCATATAGCAGTCAATACCAATAACGTTACCGAAATTAAAAATAAGCATTACAAAACAAATAAGATGAAAGAGAGTGAATAGTGAACTGTTTCTGACCGGCTTCGCTGAGGAAGTGTATAGCGTGAGGTAACTCCCCCTCCTCCAGCTGTAACTGCGTCTCCTGCAGGATCTCCATCAGTCTGCTGTGTCTGAGCACTGGGAAATCAGCCGGAGCGCATGATCTCTCCTGCAGGAGTCTCTTCTCCAGCTCCACATAACAGTCTGGAACTAGCTGACCCATCACCGGCTGGCCCTGGATCTGAACACGGCACATTAACACACCATGCATTAACCCTTTTAAAAACTAACTAGATACTACACACATGAAATTAAAATGCACCTTGAACCCGATGAGTTCTCTGTAGATGGCTTTGCGTAGCCGGCCGAGTGACTCGGACTCCTCGCAGGCACTCAACACGTGGTTTTCTCTGATCGCCGGGAACCCGGGCTGAGACTGAAGCTCTTTCTGCAGCTTCAGCAAACACTCCTGTAGGTGGCGCTCTTCACACAAATCTGCATGAGTTCCCACCACAATCACTGGACATTGACCCGCTACAGCCTGGAGAAACACAGAGCAAGGTTTAATAGATCCACAAATTTTTTCACAGTATTTCCTATAATCTTTTTTCTTCTGGAGAAAGTCTGGTTTTATTTCGGCTAGAATAAAAGCAGTTTTAATTGCTTTAAACCCATTTTAAGGTCAATATTATAAGACCCCTTAAGCAATGTTTGATTTGGATCAAAGCATGTGGTGAAATCCTTCTCACCTTAATGTTAAAGAGCCAGGGTTTGATGGCGTGGATCTCGCTGGCTCCTTTACTGAGGTCGTAGAGCACTAGATAGACAGCTCTGGAGCTCATGAAGTGAGGGTGAATCCCACTGCACTCTTCACCACCTCAAAAAAAAAAAAATCAGAAATAATTTTTTTTTGATTGGATTGGAATTTCTTTATCGTTCCCGAGGGGTAGTTTGGTTCACAACAATAGCTGACACAAAACACACAATAATAATAATAATAATAATAATAATAATAATAAATAATACAATAAAAAAGATAAACAAAAGTAGTTACCAAACAAAGCACCAAACAATTTACGAAAATGTGCTGCATTTAACAACGCAAACAATTTACGAAAATGTGCTGCATTCTCACAACTCAAACAATTTGAATGCACTGAATGGAGCGCATTTTCATAAATTGTTTGCGTTGAGAATGCAGGGCGTTTTTGGAAATTATTTGAGTGGTGAGAAAATGCAGGCCGTTTTCATAAATTGTTTGCGCTGTGAAAAAATGCAGTGGGTTTTCGGAAATCGTTTGTGTTGTGAGAAAATGCAGGGCGTTTTTGGAAGTTGTTTGCACTGTGAGAAAATCCAGTGTATTTTCGGAAATTGCTTGCGCTGTGAGAAAATGCAAGGCGTTTTCGTAAATTGTTTGCTTTGTGAGAAAATGCAAGGCGTTTTCGTAAATTGTTTGCACTGAAAAAATGCAACACATTCATAAATTGTTTGAGTTTTTTTTTTTTTTAATGCAGGGTGTTTTCATAAATTTTTTTGCACTGTGAGAAAATGCAGTGCGTTTTTCTAAATTACTTGCATTGTGAGAAAAAGCAGAACATTTTCATAAATTGCATTCTCACAACGCAAACAATTTATGAAAACGTTCTGCTTTTTCACAACGCAAGCAGAGCAATTTATTGATGTATGTGTTGTGAGGATTTGCAGCATGTGCCGTCAAACAGATGAAGATCTTTTCTTACTTTACAGGGTTTTTTGTAATTGCACGCGTTTTCTTAAATTGCAGCATGTTAAGCTCTCTTGGCCACCGTAAAATTGTACTTCTTAACAGGAAAACCAGCAACAATCAAGAATGCATGATTATATACTGTCATGGCTTTGCAATCAAAAAAAGTGATTATATAGAAATCAATGGGGCAAAAACAGCCACCAACATAACGAAAGGGAAGTCAATTTACCCAGAGTGTATTGATGATTTTTTTTTTTTTTTCAAAGCGTTTTCCTAAAATACGAGTCAAAATAAGATGTCACCAAAACTCATCCCATTTGCTGAAACACAGAGAATATAGTAGCCAAATTAAATTTCAAAATCCCCTCGGTATGGATGAGAACACCCCCAACAGCACACAAGGGTTAATCATTACACACTGAAGCTATTTTTGCAGCTGACCTGAGAACTCCCAGACGTTCAGCATCATGTTCCTCTTGTCTTTGCTCCTGACGGGCCAGTCCCGAATGCTGACGCCTGGATCTGATCTCCATTGTGAGCGCCTGAGTCTCATCAGCTGCTGAATTAAAGAGCTCTTTCCGCTGCCGGAGCCCCCCAACACCATCAGCTTCATGCGGTGATACGGGACGGCCTTCTTCAGACGCTGCTGCAGGAACCTGGACAACCACAGCAGGAACGTTTACATCACTTTCACATTTCATCTGCAGGATGTACTAGTGTCTATTTTCATGCTACGAGTGCTTGGTAACAGCAGACAGCGCTCGCAGGCTAGTTTTTAAAAGCAGGCAGCCATCTAGGCTAGTTTATAACAGCAGATGGTGCTCTAGGCTAGTTTATAACAGCAGATGGTGCTCTAGGCTAGTTTATAACAGCAGACAGCGCTCTAGGCTAGTTTATAACAGCAGACTGCCATCTAGGCTAGTTTATAACAGCAGATGGCGCTCTAGGCTAGTTTAACAGATGGCACTCTAGGCTAGTTTATAAAAATAGATGGCGCTCTAGGCTAGTTTATAACGGCAGACGACGCTCTAGGCTAGTTTATAACGGCAGACGGCGCTCTAGGCTAGTTTATAACGGCAGACGGCGCTCTAGGCTAGTTTATAACGGCAGACGGCGCTCTAGGCTAGTTTATAACGGCAGACGGCGCTCTAGGCTAGTTTATAACAGCAGACGGCGCTCCAGGCTAGTTTATAACAGCAGATGGTGCTCTAGGCTAGTTTATAACAGCAGATGGTGCTCTAGGCTAGTTTATAACAGCAGACAGCGCTCTAGGCTAGTTTATAACAGCAGACTGCCATCTAGGCTAGTTTATAACAGCAGATGGCGCTCTAGCCTAGAGTGCCATCTGTTAAACTAGCCTAGTTTATAAAAATAGATGGCGCTCTAGGCTAGTTTATAACGGCAGACGACGCTCTAGGCTAGTTTATAACGGCAGACGGCGCTCTAGGCTAGTTTATAACGGCAGACGGCGCTCTAGGCTAGTTTATAACGGCAGACGGCGCTCTAGGCTAGTTTATAACGGCAGACGGCGCTCTAGGCTAGTTTATAACAGCAGACGGCGCTCCAGGCTAGTTTATAACAGCAGATGGTGCTCTAGGCTAGTTTATAACAGCAGATGGTGCTCTAGGCTAGTTTATAACAGCAGACGGCGCTCTAGGCTAGTTTATAACAGCAGACGGCACTCTAGGCTAGTTTATAACAGCAGATGGTGCTCTAGGCTAGTTTATAAATGGCAGATGGCGCTCTAGGCTAGTTTATAACAGCAGACAGCGCTCTAGGCTAGTTTATAACAGCAGACTGCCATCTAGGCTAGTTTATAACAGCAGATGGCGCTCTAGGCTAGTTTAACAGATGGCGCTCTAGGCTAGTTTATAACAGCAGACGGCACTCTAGGCTAGTTTATAACAGCAGATGGCACTCTAGGCTAGTTTATAAATGGCAGATGGCGCTCTAGGCTAGTTTATAACAGCAGACAGCGCTCTAGGCTAGTTTATAACAGCAGACTGCCATCTAGGCTAGTTTATAACAGCAGATGGCGCTCTAGGCTAGTTTAACAGATGGCGCTCTAGGCTAGTTTATAACGGCAGACGACGCTCTAGGCTAGTTTATAACGGCAGACGGCGCTCTAGGCTAGTTTATAACGGCAGACGGCGCTCTAGGCTAGTTTATAACGGCAGACGGCGCTCTAGGCTAGTTTATAACGGCAGACGGCGCTCTAGGCTAGTTTATAACAGCAGACGGCGCTCTAGGCTAGTTTATAACAGCAGATGGTGCTCTAGGCTAGTTTATAACAGCAGATGGTGCTCTAGGCTAGTTTATAACAGCAGACGGCGCTCTAGGCTAGTTTATAACAGCAGACGGCACTCTAGGCTAGTTTATAACAGCAGATGGTGCTCTAGGCTAGTTTATAACAGCAGATGGTGCTCTAGGCTAGTTTATAACAGCAGATGGTGCTCTAGGCTAGTTTATAACATATGGCACTCTAGGCTAGTTTATAAATGGCAGATGGCGCTCTAGGCTAGTTTATAACAGTAGACGGCTTAATTATTCATATAGCTATTTTTTTATTTTATTTTTATTTTATTTATTTGGAATATGTAATTAGAGGGAGGGACATAACTTACACAATCAAATATAACCTGTCCGCAATAACACAAACAAAATAAATCAAACAAATGTGGACAGATGTGCACCTGATGATGTCTTTGGTTTTGCTCCCGATGTGTTTGAGGTCCAGCTGGAGCTGCAGGCCATCCAGAGGCAGATCCCACAGATGCACCAGCTTCCCCATCTCATCCGGGAACGAGCGCAGACCCTCATTATGGCTCACATCCAGAGACGTCAGGTCCTCCAGCATCCCGATCTGAGGAGGAATCTGGAGCACAGAACACCTCAGCGTTGTCAGTCAGAGAACGGCCCGGACATCAGTGCAGAGCCGAATCATACAGTACCTCAGTGAGTCTGTTGAAGCTTAAGTGCAGTTTCTCCAGTCGGGCCCACTTGTACACAGGGCCGCTGAGGTCGAGTGCGGAGATGAGATTATGGCTGAACATCAGCTCTCTGAGGTTCACACTCAGCCAGACAGATGGACCCGGCAGAACGCCAACACTGTTATTCCTCATGTCCACCGAACGCAAGCTAATCACAGACAACAAGAGAAATGTTACAGTCTGTGTGAAATCACAACATCAATTCGTTTTCCTTAGGCTTAATCCCTTACTTATAAAGGGGTTGCCACAGCAGAATGAACCACCAACTATTCCAGCATATATTTTATGCAGAGGATGCCCTTCCAGCTGCAACCCAATACTGGGAAACATCTATACACACACACACACACACACACACACACACTACAGCCAATTTCATTCATTCATTTTCATTTCGGCTTATTGTCAGATTTATCATGGGTTGCCACAGCAGAATGAACCACCAACTTATCCAGCATACGTTTTACACAGCAGATACCCTTCCAGCTGCAACCCATCACTGGGAAACATCCATACACTTATTCACGCATACATTACGTACAAGTTAGCTGACCCAATTCCTATAGCACATGTGTTTGGACGGTGGGGAAACCGGAGCACCCGGAGGAAACCCACGCCAACACGGGGAGAACATGCAAACTCCACACAGAAACACCAACTGGCCCAGCTGGGACCCAAACCAGCGGTCTTCTTGCTGTAAGGCGATTGTGCTACCCACTGCTGCACCCTCATAAATACTGTGTAACATTAGTAAAAATGAACTTACCATGGCAAGTTGATGACTATTTCAGGAACCCTGGTGAAAGTGTTGTGTGATAATTTCACGGTGGTTATTTTGGAGGGAAGGTGTGGCAGTGAACCTGCATAAAACAAGATGCTTCTCAATGATAGCAACAATAAAGAACAGCAGTTTGATATATAAGACAATGAAGACATGTGTCTGAATTACGTAGCAGAACTCTTAATGTTATGCCACTGGAATTGATTATATGGTAAACAGGAGATTTTTGGAAGCTGTGAGAAACGGTGTGCTTGCATTGTATATGTTATTATGCTGTTTACACAGCGCTCAACATAAATGATTACACCCCTCACAAATCTCTCATTTAAATTCATATTTTCTATAGGAAGCTTTACAATATTATATGTTTGAGCATATACATTAGATTACTCCGATTAGCTCCAGGTATGGCTTCAGTACTAACAAAATAACTCATGATACCGGTCCAGAAATAGCACATCCAAGTTCATATGTCAGGGGAAAATATTAAATACAAAAAATTTAAGAGCAAAATTCAGGAGAAACAAATAAATGATTACATTTTGTAGTTTGTATTTTTTTTTTCCTCATGAATTTAAATGCATTACTGTATCTCTCCATTTCTAAAGATGTTTGATGACTAAAACATTGTTTAATTAATCTGTTTTGTTCGAATGCACCAAAATATCTTACCTTTATTCACTAAGAAATTGATAAACATTAATTTTCAAAATGGGGTGCACTCATTTATGCTGAGCACTGCATTACAAAGTAAATGATGTTAAGATTAAGAAAGTCTGCAGTATTTACAAAAACAGCCTTAAACATTAATACTAATTATTAATACTTTGATATTTCATTTGTGTGTTAATTCAGTAGAAGGAATTAAATATAATTAAAAATTAAAAAATAAAAAAAAAAAGCACCTCTCCTTGTTTATAAAAATAATCAAATTGAAATTACAAAAACAGAAGGCAAGCAAAAAAAGTATTATTATTATTGTTATTATTATCATCATCATCATCATCATCATCATCATCATTATTGTAATTATTATTATTAGGTAATTTATTCATATTTATTACCACCAACAGCCTGCATATGCAACAAAAGCCAACAAAAAAAGAAAGACCATTATATTTTGCTCATTATATTTTGCTTAAAGATTACAAAAGCAATTTTAAGACAGTAAAGAAAAAGTGATCCGAGTCAGGTGGACTTACTGATCTGGTTAACAGAAGCGATGAAAGTTTCCATCTTGAGGCATTCCGCAAGGAAGTTGTCTGAAACTATTTTAACCTGATTCTTACTGACGTCTAAAACCTTCAGCTCAGCCAGACAGAGCGGGAGGGAGAGTTCGGAGATCTGATTTCTGGAAAAGAGAGATTATATCGTCAGTTCACCTCTTTTGTGCACTTATTTACACTGACCAGCCACTTGATCAAGCACATTGCTTCAACTTAATACAAATAGCAAATCAGACAGCAGCAACTCAGGAGTATTAAAGCATGAAGACCTGCTTAAGATGATCTGAAAGTTAAACTGTAATAAAGGCCATGTACCCCCCATAATAAAGGCCCTGTAAACCCCATGAAAATGCCATGTAAAGTCCATAATAAAAGGTCCTAAAACCCCCATAATAAAGGCACTGTAAAGCCTATAATAAAGGCCATGTACCCCCTATAATAAAGACCCTGTAACTTCCATAATAAGGTCCATGTAAAGTCCATAAAGGCCCTGTAAAGTCCATAATTAAGGCCCTGTAAAGCCCATAATTAAAGGCCCTGTATAAGCCATAATATAAGGCCATGTAAAGCCCATAATAAAGGTCCCGTAAAACTCATGATAAAAGCCATGTAAAGCCTATAATTAAGGCCCTGTAAAGTCCATAATAAAGGCTCTGAAAATCCCATAATAAATGCCATGTAAAGCCTATAATAAAGGCCATGTACCCCCATAATAAAGACCACGTAAAGCCCATAAAAAGTCCATGTAAAGCCCATAATAAATGCCCTGAAATTCCAATAATAAAACCATTGTAAAGCCTATAATAAAGGCCATGTACCCCCCATAACAAAGGCCCTGTAACCCCCATAGTAAATACCCTGTAAAGTCCACTATAAAAGGTCCTATAACCCCCATTAAAAAAGGCCCTGTAAAGACCACGTAAAGCCCATAAAAAGTCAATGTAAATCACATAATAAAGGCCCTGTAAATCCCATAATAAAAGGCATTGTAAAACTTATAATAAAGGCCATGTAACCCCATAATAAAAGGCACTGTAAATCCCATAATAAAGACTCTGTACCCCCCATAATAAATGCCCTATAAAGACCATAATAAAAGGTCCTCTAACCCTCATAATAAAGATATTGCAAAACCTTTAATAAAGGCCATGTAAAGCCTATAAAAAAAAAAAAAAAGACCCCGTTACTCCCATAATACCCCTGCAGCCGCACCCCTCCAGTGAGAGCTCCTCCAGCCTCTGGGTGGCGCTGCGCAGCTGGAATGGGCAGACGGTGATCTGGTTGAAGGACAGGTTGAGGCGCCGCAGGGCTGGACTGCAGACGCCGGGCTCCAGCTGCAGGAGCGGACCGATGCAGTTGCGGGACACGTTCAGTGTGTGGAGCGCTGGTAAACTGAGCAGTTCAGATGGCAAACACTGCAGATGGTTTCCCTGCAGATCCAGACGAGTCAGACTGCGCAAACTCTGAGAGACGACACACAATGGGGAAATAGATTTCATTGTGTTTATCCCGTGTGTTTCGTTCACATCGATTCCCCTTTCGTTGTAATCGAGGGCGGTTCAGAGAAGAGCGGTTGCTAAAGAGGGAGGAGATATAGCATTCACTCACCTGACAGAGAATGCTGGGAAACTGTGACAGATTGTTGCCGCTCAAATCGAGCCGATGAAGGTTTTCAATCAGTTTCTTGAGAGAGTTCAGATCCGTCAGACAGGAGAGATCGTTCAGCTCATTCCCAGACAGATCCAGCAGACGCACCGGGTCTTTATCCAGGACCACAGGACTGGAGAAACTCTCAGAGAAACCCTGACCTGAGGACATCAGATAAAAAAAATGACAACGCTTTATTTGAAGGGGTGTTCATGTATAAAAAAAAAAAATTAAAAAATAAAATGGCCACAAAATGTTAATGGCCCCTCCATTGGACTTAGGTTGAGAAACCAAACAACATGTTTGGCTCTTGAAAAGCTCACATATGTAATAATAAAAAACATTTTGCAACCCAGTCTCATTCTGAACATGTACCCCTATACACATTTCTGTAGAGTGCCAAAAATGCCTCAGGAGGTGCGTTTTTCGCAGTTTTTGGTTTTGCGAATCCACCAGAGGCCGCTGTGTACACTGAGATCTCGAATTTCTTTAGCGCGAAAAGAAACACTGTCATACGGCCCCATAGCGTTCGTTTTAAAGAAGAAAAAAAAAAAAAAAAAAAAAAAATGCACCCATATGTACTTCTGGCTACATAATTCACGATCGCCAGAAATGTGTATAGGGCTAAGCTTTCAGAATGAGGCGATGTTGGAACTTGGTGATATCTGGGAGGTGTTTTTGAACTGAAAAAAAAAAAAAAAAAAAAAAAAAAAAAAAAAAAAAAAAAAAAAGAGATATTGAAGAAGTAGATTTTGAAATAAATAAATAAATAAATAAATAAATAAATAAATAAATAAATAAATAAATAAATAAATATGCGCGTTTGATGCGTCAACAATCAAACTAAAAGATTGTATTTGACTCGTTTTAGTGTTGTTGTTATCTGTATGTTTTTTTTCCTATAATGAATATAGGTCACACTTTACAATAAGGTTCATTAGTTAATTATGCATTTATTAACAAACAAATACTTAATAAATGTATTGTTCATTGTTTGTTCATGTTAGTTAACGTTAGTTAATGAAAATACAGTTGTTCATCGCGAGTTCATGTTAACTTACGGTGCATTAACTAATGTTAACAAGCATGAGTTTGGACGTTAATAATGCATTAGTAAATGTTCAATTATGATTAATAAGTGCTGTTCATCATTAGTAAATGCATTAACTAATGAACCTTATTGTAAAGTGCTACCACCAATGCCTCTGGTGTGGCATTAAAACAATTCGGCGAACTTCAGATGCAGGGAGGAGTTGACCACGGCGAGCGGGTTCGAGGCTGGGGAAGAGCGGTTCCAAAAATCAGGTAAGACGAAAACAGAATCCAAAAAAAAAAAATAAGTGAACGAGTTCATAACAGGGTGAGAGTGTGGTGAAATCCAAAAACGTGGTTAAAAAAAAAAAAAAATAAAAAAAATAAAAAAATAAAAAAAAATAAAAAAAAAAAACTTTTCTTTTGCTAGACGGCTTTTCTAAATTGTTGCTCAGACAGCAGTCTCTGGTGGGTTGACGCGAGAACAGCGCGGGCGCAAACGGAACTCATGAGAGACGTTCGAGATATGAAAAAGCGCACACAGCGGCCTCTCACGAATTCGCGAAAACAAAAACTGCACAAATATGTACCTACCGGGACATGTCGTTTTTAGAATGAGACTGGGTTGGATGTATTTTTTTTATGTCAAGTTGTCAAAACAATGTCATCTTTGCATTTAAAATGACAAAACGGAGTGAAAGACACTTTAGCATAAAATCCCATTCACATTCATGAATATAAAGGTTTAATGACAGTCTTATGAACACCTCTTCAAGTTTTACCCAACAAGACAAAGATAGTCAACTCTGTATGAACAGTTTAGGTAACAGCTTGTACCTCTGATGTTGTGGGAGTTGGCGTGCTTCTGCACAGGGACACTTGGATCCGCCTCTCCATGGTAGCCCTGCAGAAAAACAATCAATCCGAGACTACTTTAGAGAGTGAAAACTAAACCATAGACATCTAAAGCCCTGTTTCCATCTCATGTGATCAAGAGAATGACATTGTAAATTCCTGGGAAAATATAATCATTATGTTTCTAAACCAGGGAAACCGCTGTAGCTCTATTTTATTCCTCCATATAGAATGAATGGAATGAAACGGTCAAATTTCATCATTTACTCGCACTCAAAAGGCTCCAAGTTGAATTTATGTTAAACAAAACAAGATATTGTGAAGAATTTCGGAAAAACAGCCATTGACTTTCATAGTAGAAACAAAATATACTAAGGAAGTCTATGGCTGCTTTTCCACTGTGGCAACCCCAGATTAATAAAGGGACTAAGCCGAAAACAATAAATGAATGAAGACTACAACTCCCATGATTCCACACTCAGTCACATCATCATCAAACTACGCCTATGTTTGTTGTGAATACACTCCCTCTAGTAGCCAAAATTACACTCTGCAATTTATTGTACCCCCTTAGAAGATGTTTTTTCTTGGGCAGTGTGTGCTGCGTATACATAACCAGAACAAATCTATCGTGCATGATACACACTAAACATGCTACACAGGGAGGCTTACAGATGTTATAGCAATGGGTTGGGAAAGGGTTCTGGTGGGCCCCTAATAGCATCTCTGGGGGCCCCGAAACGGCATGGACCCTTAGAATCATCCATACCCCCCTTACCAGGCAATAAGAATAAAGACGATACAAATTGTTAAATGATGACTGCTAACCAGAACCAAGTCACCACTATCCATATCCTATTGGCCGTTACCATTCAAAACTCCAATGGAAGCAGTCGCTAAATGTTTATACCTGACTGAATCGACATTTGGACACTTTATACCAAAAGCATGTACATGGGGCAAGATATGAGCAGAAAAAGCAAACAGCCCACCAAAAGTGTGTGTGATCTGTTACCTCTGAACTGGTACGTCGGCTGTGGCTGCGACGCCTCCAGACGGGTCTCCTGCTAACTTCCAGAGAATCACTGATTAGCATGAATCCATGTGGAGGGCCGTCACTGCCTATGAGGTGACAAACGTTAATGCTATCAGATAAATACAGACTACTAGTTGAAAGAGTTTCTCAAGACAAATACTGATGCTAGACAGATTAGCATGTTTAATTTCAACATCCCAGAGTTTAAAGTTTTAGCTCTGTTAAAGTTTTCATTCCCTGTTAGCCATTTGCTATTGCTCATTTGTTAAAATGCTGATAGGTATTTGCTTTGCGCTAACATTGTAGCATGTTTCATAATGTTGCTAGCATGTTTAACATTTTAATAGCATGTTGCAAACATGTTTAACTTAGCTAGTACTTTACTAGCATGTTTTAATACATTGTTGACAGAACATGCAACAAGCATTGTAGTGCGTCGCTGTCATTTTCAACAGGTTTTAAAACTGTTAGCATTGTTAGAATACTTTAGCTACTGGCAGATTACTAGCATGTTTATAATGTTTTAACGTGCATGTTTTATGTATTTATCGTTTTTTTTTAGAAACGTGAGCATTTTTACCACATGGCTAGCTTTAGTCTAACATGTTTTACCTCATGTTTAACATGTTTTAGAACAACAGCCTTTCAACACATTGGCAGCATGTTTTCAATCCTTCCCAGCATGTTTTAGAATGTTGCTAGCATGTTTAACACCCCTATACAATGTAGCAAACATGTTTTAACTTTGCTAGCATTTTACTAGCACATTAATACATTGCTGTCTTAAGTTGCTATAATTTTAGAGCACTGCTAACATTTTACAATCATGCTAGCATGTTTTACCACATTGGTAGGATCTTTTAGCTACTGGCAGATTACTAGCATGTTTATAATGTTTTAACATGCATGTTTTATTTATTTACTAGTTTGTTTTAAAAAAGTTTTTGTTTTAGCATTTTGCTAGCTTTGGTCTAGCATGTTCAGCTCATTTTGCGCATGATTTAGAACAACAGCATTTATGCCAACACACTGGTAGCATGTTTTAAACATCTGCTGTGCTAAATCACATTAACATGTTTCAGCACATTGCTAATATAACTGAGCACATTATGCATTACATTGGTAGAATGCTTCTTACACTAACACGTTTTTAGCATATTTGTTTCACACTGATAAGCTATGCTAGCAACATAGATATCATGCAATTTCCCTTGGTATCATGTTTGAAAGCATTGCTAACATTTTTTTAATTTGCTACCACGTTTTTCCACATTGGTCTGGCATGTTTTCCTATTTTTAGCATGCTTTACAATGGTAACATCTTAGAATTTTCACTTCATCTTTTAAAAAAGCCAAACAATTTTAACACATTGATACCATGTATTAGCATCTTCAAGCATGTTTCTAGAATGTTGCTAATATGTTTTAAAATATTGATAACATGTTTTAGAACCAATATTTGTAACGCATTGCTACAATGTATTGCTAGCATGTTACCATGTTTCTAAATTGTTTTCATAAATGATGCTAACAGGTTTCAGAATATCCATAACATGTTTTAGAACATTGCCAATATTTGTAACACATTGCAACTATGTATTGCTAGCATGTTTCTAGAATGTTTTTATAATGTTGCTAACATTTTCCCAGCACTGGGTTGCGGCCGGAAGGGCATCTGCTGCGTAAAACATATGCTGGAACAGTTCATTCTGCTGTGGTGACCCAATATAAATAGGGATTAAGCTAAAGGAAAATGAATAAATGTTGCAAACATGTTTTAAAATGCTGGTAAAGTTTTACAACATTGACAATATTTTTAACACATTGCCATCATGTATTGCTAGCATATTCTACCATGTTTCTAGAATGTTTTCACAATTTGCTAACATGTTTTTGAATATTGGTAATACGTTTTCAAACATTATGGATATTTGAAACACATTGCTACCATGTACTGCTAACATGTTTTACCATGTTTCTAGAATGTTTGTATAATGATGCGAACATGTTTTAGAACATTGACAATGTTTGTAACACATTGCTATCATGTATTGCTAGCATGTTTTACCATGTTTCTAGAATGTTTGTATAATGATGCTAACATGTTTTAGAGCATTGGCATATTTGTAATACTTTGCTAACATGTTTAATATTATTGGTAATGTTCTAGAACTTTGCCAACATTTACTAACATTGCTAGCATGTTTTATGATGTTGCTATCCTACCGTCGCTCTCCAACTCATCGAACATAAAGACCAAGCTGTCCTCTAAGGAAATATGCGAGTCGTCACTTTCCTCATCGGTGAAATATCCTGATGTGCTGACATCACTCGATAATCTGCTAACTCCCACAATCCCCTTCTTCCTCTGGAGCTGCGAGATCTGTCTGGCCAAACGCTGACCTTTACCTTAAAAGGTACAAAAACAGATAGATTCAACAGATAGCATTCAAGCTAGCTTTAAAACTACAAAAATCAAGCAGAATCGTAATGAGTTTGTGCAGGTTAGGTAATGTTGTATATTACATTACTTTGTCGATTATACAGGGTCATTCCACCAAATATTGATGTATAATCAATCCAGAATAGATTATCATGTCATAAATAAATGAACAACTCCAGATGGCATTAGCATTAGCATTGGTGTGAACAGACTCACTGCTGTAGTGCGTGTTTGTAGATTGACTCCTGCGCTCAGACAGAAGAGCGCTGATCCACGAGGCCTTCATGTGTCCGATGCGGACGCTGCCGAGACACAGGGCGCTGTTGGTGTGGTCAAGTCCCAGACGGCGGAGGATCAGAGTGACAGCAGGATCATCCGACCTCCGCACGCACACACTCAGAGCTCCACGCAGATGCTGCTCATGAACGCCTGAAGAAACCAAAAGCTCCAGCAGAGCCAGGGGAGCCCCACGATCACACGCCTGCACACACAGATAAAAACTCAAGACTGTACCTTGTGTATTGTTCAAATTGACTCCCCCTTTCATTATGTTGGGGACTGTTTTTGCCCCATTAACTTCCATTATTCATTCATTTGTTTTCTTTTCAGCTTAGTCCCTTTAATAAGCAGGGGTCGCCACAGCGGAATGAACCACCAACTTATCCAGCATGTTTTACACCACGGATGCCCTTCCAGCTGCAACCCATCACTGGGAAACACCCATACACTCGTGCATTCACACTCATACACTACGGACAATTTAGCTTACCCAATTCCCCTATAGCGCATGTAACTTTGGATTATGGGGGAAACAGGAGCACCTGGAGAAAACCCACATCAACACGAGGGAGAACATGCAAACTCCACACAGAAACGCCAACTGACCCAGCCAGGACTGCAACTTGTCCAAACACATGCACTATAGGAGAATTGGGTAAGCTAAATTGTCTAGTGTGCGAATGAGTTTCTATAGGTGTTTCCCAGTGATGGGTTGCAGCTGGAAGGGCATTCGCTACGTAAAACATATGGTGGATAAGTTAATGGTTCATTCCGCTGTGGCAATCTAAAGTTAATAAAAGGACTAAGCCAAACAGAATGAATGATGCGTGTATCCACAGCCAATCACATAGGAAGGGATACAGCTTCCCATGTGATTGGCTAAGACACGCTACATGTGATCTAGTTAGCATTAGTAATACAGACATTTTAATCTTCCCCATAGTATAAAAAAAAAATAAAAAACTTGAGTGGCCTTTTGTTTATTATATTGAGTTGGCCAGCCTAAGCCACACCTGTGCAATAATCATGCTGTCTAACCAGCATCTCCACAAAGGAGAAGTGCCTAACTAAACAGATTTAGACAACTGTCAACAATATCGGAGAGAAATAAACCTTTAGCTTATGAAAATTGCTGCGTTTACTGAAAGTGTTTATATATACACTGTAGGTTTGAAATAAATTGTCAATTCAGAGTTTAAAGTTCCAGATTTCAGACCTGATATAGGAGTGAATCGCTCTTGGTTTTCTTGTTGACGTCGGCGCCCAGCTGAATCAGACACTCTGCCATGTCCACGTCTCCATCCTCACACGCTCTCTCCAGCAGAGCATACAGGATCTCTCCATCCGTCACCATCTTAGACAAGCACAGGCAGCTCATTCCCTGCAGCTGAAGACGAACACAAGCCGAATTTACAGGAGGACTCGCTTTTCTTAGAGAGACAAACATATATACAGTTTTCATACAAAGATATTCTGAAGAAAGCTGCAAACCTGCAACCACTGACCTCAAGAGTAGGAAAAAAAAAATAAACCTGTAACCATTGACTTCCAGTTTATTTATGACATTCTTCAAGGTATCTTTTGTGTTCAACAGAAGAAAGTCAAACAGGTTTGGAACAAGTGAAGGGTGAGTAAATGATCGATTTTACATTTGAGTGAACTGTGTCTTTAAAAGGGGACCTACTACACCCCAAGATCTAAAATAAGTCTCTGATGTCCCTAGAGTGTGTGTGAGAGAAGTTTCAGCTCAAAACACCACATTAATAATGATTTCTAACACTCCAAATCTGACCCTTTTAGGCTTTGATCTTAATGGTGGTGTTTTGGTGACTATCGCTTTAAATTCAAATGAGATTGTGCTCTTTTCAGAAGAAGGCGGAGCTACAAATGCCCATGTGTCAGCATAGTGGCAGATTCAAAAACAAGATTGACACCCTATGCTAATGAGTAAGAGATGGTCACTAGTGGGCGGGGCTTTCCCCCTCAAAGGGATACTGTCAATCTGATGCTGCGCCCCAATTGGCATACTATCCATCCTATATAGTATTCAAGAACAGAATTAGTATTAACGATAGCATGTTGAAAAGAGAATGCCAAAGCTTCCTGGATGGTTTACCATTTCCGGTAAAAACTCCAATACTACATTATTGCCCACAATACATTGCGCATTAGATGTGAATTTGTTTAGAACTGCAAACATTCGCTGGTAAAGTGTAAACAAACTACAAACATGGCCGACTCGCAAGACCAACAGTCAAGTAGCAAGGCTTCGGTAAAGTTGTTTGAATGACTATATCTAGCCAACTGGAACACATTTAAACCGCGTTTTCCTTAATATATTTCATCTGCAACAACAATGTGAACATAAAGATAAATTTGGAGATTAACTTCTGAATGCATAATTACCCAAAGACATGAGATTTCTTTGCATGTAAGACTCATGGATGGCAGATTATCGTGCTGCTGCTTCAATAAGGTAGGAAATTAAATGACAAATGTGGAAGATTGACGGGGGACATGACTAAGCAACATGCCTGTTAATGAGGCAGTAGTATATCCCAAAACTTTTATACTCTTGTTACACACTCAAAAGTATATACTTTTCCTTCACACAAAGTGTAGTATATGCATGTGAATTGGGATATGCAGCAAAAAATGTTTCTACAGACGGTTTATCAAGTGGGATTATAAATGATAAAAATTCATACATTTTACTATTAGAGGCTGCTTATATTCACTTAATACTCCCATAAAATTGCATTTAAACTACTTTAAAAGTGTGACTTTTGCATAGTAAGTCCCCTTTAATCTAGTAGCGCTGATAATTGTAGTAATGCCAGTGCTCAACACTACAGTCTGAGTCATTTATTTTTCGATCTCTTACCGGATCTCTGCGCTGATCGGCCGTGTTCTCCCGCAGGATCTGGAAGATCTCCTTCTCGAACGCTTCTTTCTGCAGCCACACAGCAGCACTCGAGCAGGTGTCCAACAACTTCCACACCACCTGTAGACCCTGGTGGACAAAAAGCACACACTGTTCAGTCAGGTTGTTTATTTCACAACAAAGGACAGTGTGCATTAATCAAAGCTCTCCATGCACCCAAATCAGCCTAAAGACTAGTTTTCATTGAAGGCCCCGTATGGCATGTTTTCACTGAGTGTTCAGGTACGGTACGGTTTAGTACACTATTATGGCCATTTCCACTGTCAAAAGGTTCCTAAAAGCGAACAGGGGAACAGTATTTCATACGTCACGACCAGTGTGTGAATTAAACACTTATAATGGGGGGGGGTATTTATTTAAATTGCATCTAATTTATTCATGAAATGAATCTTAATGTTTTGTGGGATAGACTATATTTAGTGTATTCTGACCTGATTAGCCCAGGCATGTCCAAACTCGGTCCTGGAGGGCCGGTGTCCTGCAAAGTTTTGTTCCAACCCCATTCAGACACACCTGGGCTAGCTAATCAAGCTCTTACAAAGCTTTTTAGATACATCCTTGCAGGTGTGTTGAGGCAAGTTAGCTAAAATCTGCAGGACACTGGCCCTCCAGGATCGAGTTTGGACACCCCCCATTTCAGCTTACTTTAGGACAAACTACGTAAACATTGCATCTGATTTGAGTTTACTCTTAGGCAATGTGTAGAAACGAACACCCATTTAATCAGAAAACGTGGTTTTCTCCATGTCTTGTGAACTTACGGTGTCTATCATGCTCAATCTGCCGGTTTCAGACTGTTGAGTGACTTTTCTCGAATGGACCGACTGGCACGATTATGCATTTACTATGGTATGAACCGTTATAGGGGTGGTCAAATGGATAGCTATTATTTTACCTATTAACATTATGATTTAAAGGCGACCCGGTGGCACAGTAGGTAGTGCTGTCACCTCACAGAAAGAAGGTCGCTGTTTCGAGCCTCAGCTGGCATTTCTGTGTGGAGTTTGCATGTTCTCCCAGTGTTCACATGGGTTTCCTCCAGGTGCTCTGGTTTCCCCCACAGTCCAAAGACATGCAGCACAGGTGAATTGGGTAAGCTAAATTGTCCGTAGTGCATGTGTGAAAGTGTGTGTACGGGTGTTTCCCAGTGATGGGTTGCAGCTGGAAGGGCATCTGCTGCATAAGTTGGCGGTTCATTCCACCGTGGCAATCCCAGATTAATAAAAGGGACTACGCTGAAAAGAAAAAATGAATGAATGATCATTTAAAATACAGATTAGAGTGAGTTTCAAAAGGTAGACCCCCCCACACATCTTGTTTTGATGTTTCCTAGGGGGATCAAGCCTTAAGTGTGTCAATCACCCCAAACCCCCCTGTAATTCGCACCCTGGTCAAGGCTCTCCCTGCGTGACCAGCTAAGACCAGGCTGGAAGTGGCCAAAACCCCTCTAAAACCAGCCTGGTCAACCAGTTAAAACCAGTCAACCAGCTTAGGCTGGTTTAAGCAGTTTTTCAGCAGGGATACACATTCTCTAACAAACCGTAGTATCAAACTCCACTGATGTGATGCTTTAAAAAGAAACCCAAGCTTGACCAAAAGAAGCTTTTCTGAGTGGAATAATGCACCCGCAGTCACTCAGTTTACTCCTGATTTAAACTGAAAACAACAGATTGAAGGGGTTAACATGAGGAAACCAGTTAGTGCTAATGATAACTGCAGTGAACTACCTTTAGCAGCATGACTGAGTCCTCTTTGTGTTTCCGCACAGAGCTGACCAACACAGACGCCAGCACAGGAACCATCATACGAGACAGTTTCTTCTTAGAGATCAGGTGGAAGAGGAGACTCAGACCCCAGTAGTGAATATCTGCCAAAGATAAGGCTTTCAGTTGCTAAACGTATACATTCACCAATTTCTGTTTAACGGAGAGATTTGACACATAAACATGAGTTTTAATTCATTTCTAATAACTGATTTATTTTATCTTTGCCATGATTATAGTAAATAATATTAGACTAGATATTCAAGACACTAGTGTTCAGCTTAGTGACATTTAAAGGTTTAACTAGGATAATTAGTGTAAAGAAAGGGTAATTAGGCAAGTTATTGTATAACAGTGATTTATTCTGGAGACAATCCAAGCTTGAAGTCTTTTCCAAACCGTAAAACATGTTATCATTCCATGGGAACGCTGTCTACAGATGGAGAAGTGACTGGACTCACCGCGCTCCTGTGGAAACATCTGTAGCGTGTGCAGAACGGTGTCTATCGCCCCCTGCTGGCACATCAGATCTACAGCTCCCGAACTGTCGGCTAGCGCTGCCAGGACGCCGAGACCACACTCCTGAATCGACTCGCTGCTGATAAACTTCACACAAATACAGCACATTTACTGCACTATTATAGTTCTACATTCGTGATCAAACATTGGTCCAGAAGTTCTACATAAAGTGAGAAATATTATCGCATATGTTAGTTATGCATAAGTTTTTAAAATAGCTCTTATGGCCAGTGTTGTCTTTGCGAGACGCAACATTTTATTCCTCTCCTCTCCTCGTCCACACATGACAGGAATGACTTGATCAACGTTTTCAGAAAAGTCGTCCTATATTGTGATAAATTTCATTATCAGGATTATGAGATATTAATAATAATCGAACATATGATAAATAATCATAATAGCCCCTTTCACACAGTGATACCGGTAAATATATGGAAAATTTCCGGAACGACTTCCGGAAAAAAAAGCGCTCAAATTCAAATTCAAAAAAAGCGCTGTTCACACAGGCGAGAACGTTACGGAAATTTTTCCGGAAAAAGAGCACACACACACACACACACATCCATTCCAAAATACCGGCAAATTCTGACATCATTAACCAGAAATGAGCTCGAAACGGCTGCGCTTGTATTTGTAAACACTTGACTACATCACAAACTCTGTGGATGGATCAGTATTGTGAACAACTTCGGGCACACGCAAAGCTTGAAGGTAAACAAACAACGGCTTATCATAAGCATCTCATCGATAATTAATTACACGGCTGGCATTAAGATGAACATATAAACGTGATCTGACTAACTTCTAGCAGCTAAATGTGTCTGGGAAAATATTTAAAGGCTTTTATTCTCATAAACCGCGTGGACGTGAATGCGTCTGACTGGTTCTGATTGGCTAAAGCAGACGTCTCACTTCAGCACGTTCTAGACATGCACACGCTCTTTCCTGCAATCTTCCTTCACACAGCACAGATTCCGGCAAACTACCGGTAATGTTACAACTTCTCTTTTCAGAAAAAAGCCAGAACGAATTTACCGGTATTTTCAAAAAGGGCCTGTTCACACATACACACCTTTCCGGAAAATTGCCGGTAATTTTCCGGAAAGGTGTGCATGTGTGAAAGGGGCTAATGTCATGTTGCTGTCTTAGGGTGCTTTCACACCTACACTTTTGGTTCGGAACACATCTCGTTTGCCCAGTTAGTGCGGTTCGTTTGGCATATGTGAACAGGGTAATCGCGCTCTGTTCCGCGCCAAAGTAATCTCTGAGATCGCTTGAGTAAGGTGGTTTCGGCTCGATTGAAAGGAACCCTTGAGCGGTTTGATTGCAGTGAGAAAGCGATCCGATCGCGGTTATATCACAGCGTTTATGGATATGTAATAGGCTTACGGCTATATGAAGAGAGAATTATGAGTAGGGCGGGAAGTTTCGCGAGTCTCCGTATGCCCGCAAACGAGTGATGATCTCCCGGTAATCTCGCGTCTCCCTCCCGGTCCTCAAATAGGCATTGTCGCGCACCCCACTCACCCCTCCCCACCGCATCTCTCCTCAGACACGTCGCGCGTGCACCCTGTCAATCACCACCAAATCACCACCTCTCCTGACAGCTGAGCGGGACGCGGCAAAATAAACCCTGACACTCTGACCAATGTGAGGAGAGTTTACTCGCACGTGACTTGCTTTAGCTCTTTTGGTCCGATTAGAAACTTTGCAGTGTGAAAGCGAACCGCTCCAAGAGCAACAATGTAACAATTGTAATCTCTGTTTCGGAACAACTGAATCCATTCACAGGTGTGGAAGCAGCCTTAGATTTACATCATTTCATGCAGTTGCTTTAACCTCTTAAGGCTCAAGGTTTTATTTTTACATGCATTTATTTCTCTTTGCCATTTGGGCTTATTGGAAGCTAATTAGAATAAAACCTTAGTATGATCTTCTGATATGATGTACTCTCAGAGAAAAATGATGTCCATACATGGACTCGTGGTCCGAATTTACATAACACTTTATCCTGACTGTTTTTAATGCATATTTAACATATAAATGTTTTTTTTAACATGTTTTGATTGAGTAAAAAAAAAAAAAAAAAAAAAAAAAAAAAAAAAAAAACTTTTGCCAATTCTGGAAAGTTAAAAAAAATAGTTTGGGACATTTCACATGCAGCAAAACCGTTGCATACAGACACTGTATGTCATTAACAAAATATAAAACATTTAAAATATTTTAAATAGCCACTTAAGAGCTATTTATATAATATTGTTCGACTTGATTTCATTGTGATCAGGGCCGGAGCAAGCTGAACTGCCGCTCTAGGCAGAGGACGATCACGCCGCCCTCAAGCCCACTGTGAAAACGAAAGTGACCGGTTATGAAAATGAAGTGAGGTGTCGCGGACCTCTATTCTGCCGCCTTATGCGCAGATATAACTGAGCATGCACGGGTGTCGCAGACCTCTATTCTGCCGCCCCATGCGCAGATGTAACTGAAGACACGCGGGTGCTGATGGAGGTGTTGCTGCCGCCACCCTCTCTATTCTGTCGTCTATGCGCGAATATATCTGAGGACTAGGGTGGTGAGGGAGGTGTCGCGGACATAACTGAGGATGCAGGTGGTAAGGGAGGTATCGCGGACACCACCCTCGGCAGCCGCCTAGGTCGCCTCAATGGATGCGTCAGCCCTGATTGTGATTTTAAGTTCTGAGCATGAGATTAAGCCCTAGTTTAAACGTTAAGCTACTTTTTAGCTTGCAAGAAAGTATTTACCCTATTAAGTGCTTGCAGATAGACAGTGTGAGCTCCCTCTAGGACACACTGGTTCTTCAACACCTGTAGAGAAACGTCCACCATATCAGGATCTGCCACCGAGACGCCATGCTCTCTCAAACTCCTGTCTGAACACACACACAGAGGCAGAAATCGTGTAGGCATCGCAATTTGATGAACTATTAGCAGTATGTTTTAGAAAGTGGCTAGCATGTGGTCTATTAATGAACAAACAACACCAAAGCTCAATTTCATTTCACGGCCACCAGGACATGGGCAGACATTTCACCTGGATTAAGAAGAACTAAACTTGCTCGCAGACCCTCCAGCTGAACTTCAGGAAGGAAGTTGTGAGTCTTCAGAGCGATGAGGATCTGACTGAGAATCAGGAACCCGTCGTCCAGACTGGCCCTCCTGATGATTACACTATTATTACAGCAGAGTCTTCATCATATGAATCCCTCATTGAGCAGAGATGGAAAAGTGTGTGTGTTTATGTGGTCTGAGGACACAATTTTTGGGCAGGGCAATAGACTACTTCAATGTGTTCATGCCATTATGCCATGAACATTCTCCACTTAAACTATTTTATAACAGTAACAAGAGAAGATTCAATCATAAACTAATGTTAAAACTGCTATTATAACATCATTTATCAATATGTGCCACTTTTTGGATTCTCAGAAGCTATTGACATTAAAAATGTAAAACAGGAAATACTTTGGGACCTTTTTTGTTTACATCCCTCAAATTGGTCTATATAATTTGCAGTATATACAGTATTGAACACATTACGCCTATGCAGAGTCCTCACAAGTCATATATTCAATGCGTGCTTGTGTGTGTGTGTGTGTGTTCAGGTATATGTGGTTTATGAAAACAGAAAATTGTATAGTGGCATGGGTATGAGCGGGTTGTTTTCTATTAATATGATTATTAAGGACAAGTCTTATGTCCTTGTAACCCGAAAAAAAAGCCAAAAATCGTCCTCAAGGTCTTTTGACATGCAAAATTTGCTACACGTGTCTTGTGAGGGTTTGGTTTACATATTAAGCAGTGTATAGAATATTAAATACATTACGCCTGTGAAGAGACCTTGTAAATCATATATACACAAGTGTGTGTGTTCAGGTTTGAGGACACAAAATTGTATATTGACATGGGTATGAGCTGGTTGAACTCTTAAGGTGGTTTATGAGGACATGACTTGCGTCCTTGTAATTCAAAAGCCTAAAATCTAACTTAACATAGGGCCTTAACATCAACTTTTGATGTAAAAGTTGCCACGTTTCCTGTGAGGGTTTGGCTTAAGGGTAGGGATGGTGCAGGGCCATATAATAAGCAGTGTATAGAGTTTTAAATACATTACGCCTGTGCAGAGACCTTGTAAATCATATATTCAAGCATGTGTGTTCAGGTTTGTGGTTTATGAGGACACAAGTGTTTAATGATAGGTATGAGCTGGTTGTACTCTTAAGGCGCTTTGAGGACATGCTTTGTGTCCTTGTAACCCAAACTGTTAAAATATAGCTTAACGAGGTCTTGTGACATGTAAAATTTGCCACTTTTCCTGTGAGGTTCGGGTTTAGTGGTTGGGCAAGGCCATATAATAAGTTGTTTAGCTGTGAAGAGTCCTCATAAGTCACAAATATATGTGTGTGTGTGTGTGTGTGTGTGTGTGCTTACGCTCCCTGGAAGAGTGTGTGAATTAGTTTGCAGGCACTTTCACACACAGCGCTGGAGTTAGGGTGTTTCCGCATCAGCTCCACGATGTTGAAATGAATGCCATTTGAGAGTAGTGGAGATCTTATCCTGCCTACAGGCACAAAAACACAGAATAAGCCATTTCTAAACTACACTTAAAGTCCAAAACTTATTTTGGTAATCTTTAATCGAAATCTGAGCATATGCTTTTGATTTGCATTGGCTCTCTGATGATGACAGTTTCACACTTTAGGCAGAATGTTCTAAGCCCCGCCCCTCTTACTGTTAGTTTGTTATGAGGGATCGATGTGCTAAAGAAAGCCCCGCCCCCTACTCAATATTCAGATTCCGCTGGAAGTACATCAACATACTGAAATAAAAGTCTCAGCAACTTCAGGTTCATGCAGGCTTTAAAAGTGTGTGAAACTCACAGTGGCGCTGTATTAGCGTGCGCAGTGTAGAGGAAGCAGCTTGGAAAACCTTCACGCTGGATGAGTGCAAAAGCATCGCAGCCATGATGAGCGTATGAAGAGGAGGCCTGTGTGTGAGAACAAAAGCAGCTCATTAACATATGACCAAGTACATTTGTATATCATCGCATGATCCTTAGTCAGAGACTTGGCCCAGGTTTTAATAGTTTACCAAAACATAAGACATTGGTTACATTTTAAAAAAATAAATAAAAATAAAAATTGCTTGAAACATGAGAACATGGATTTAATTCATGCTAGTGAAATGTTAAACAAAAGCACTACTACATTCTTAATCCATGCTAGTAACATTAATTCATTCATTCAATTTCTTGTCGGCTCAGTCCCTTTATTAATCCGGGGCCGCCACAGCGGAATGAACCGCCAACTTATCCAGCACGTTTTTACGCAGCGGTTACCCTTCCAGCTGCAACCCATCTCTGGGAAAATGCTAGCAACATGTTGAAACATGCAAATCCATGCTACCAATTTGCGAAATGATATTAACCAAGGGTTAAAACATGCTAAAAACTATAATAAACATGCTAAGAGACATGCAAACGTTATAAGAAAACATGCTAATTCATGGAAACATGAGAATGTCAAAAAAAAGCTGGCAACATAGTATCTTAAAACATGTTAATAACATGCAAGGAAAATGTGAAGCCATGCAAACATACAATTAAACCTTCTAGTAGCATTTTAAACATCCTACCAACATGCTAAAATGTGTTAGCAAACTGCTGACAACACATTAAATCATGCTACCAATGTGTTAAAACATGCTAAAAACTATAATAAACATGCTAAGAGACTTGCAAACATTATTAAAAAAAAAAACATGTTAATATGGCAGGTCAAAACACACTAGCAACATGCTACTTCATGTCAGAAAAATGTGAAAACATGTTAATTCATATATGCTTTATGGTAAACTTTATAGAAACATGCAAGGAAAATGTTAAAATGCAGTTAAACCTTCTAACAGCATACTAAACATGGTACCAGCATGCTAGAATGTGTTAGAAACTTGCTAGCAACGTGTTAATTCATGATACCATATAGTTAGCCCTTCTAGCACCACACTAAACAACAACAACGAAACATGTTAGCTACAAATTATTTCATGCTATACTAGGTTAATTCAAGTTTAAAAAGTATCCAAACATGCTGTAAATGTTAAAGTTTTTGTCTATTTACTTCACCCTCAATTTAAAGCTTGCTAATGTCTTTTAAATATTGTTTTGTTTAAAATAACAGGCCAAGTTCCTGAATGCAAATCTGTAATGTAGCGCATGACATTAAGGAACGCTAACCTTCCTTCCAGTTCCACATTGTTGGATGTGTTGCAATGGAGAAGCAAACTATTTAAAGCCCAGCATGCAGCTTCCTGATAAAACAACCAGAAAAAGAGTTTGAATTAGCAATTATAGTATAATTAAAAGAATGAGATGCTAAGATATTATCTTGTAGGCTAAAACATGTCACCTGTACTTTGACGTCTTCAGCATGTCTTTCAAAAGCTGTATAACAGGCTTCTCTCCAGATTAGCATCTCCTCCGCCTGAGCGGCTTCTTTCTTTACCAGAACTTTCTGTTCCTCCTCGTCCTCCTCATTCCACTCTTCATCCAGTCCTCCATTTTGTACAATACACTCCGCTGAGGGGGGGAAAAAAAAAAAAAAAAAAAAAAAAACATGAGCATGGAGGCCTTCGAAAGACAAGTAGGCCTCAAATGATTAGGCTTTATTTCAGGCAAACACAAACACTAAAAATTCAGGTTTATCATTGTAAGTAAAGCGTAAAGTTTAATCATCAAGGTGTCTTGAAATCAATTATTCAGTGAGAATTAATTGTACAAATTAAAACGTCCTATAGGTGGCGACAAATCCAAATGATTGATTCATTGATTAAAGCAATTCAATAAAAATGCCTAAAATGATTTAGAACAGCAGCAAGTTGCCATCTTTATTAGTGGATAATTGAATTATAGACTCAATTCCTAATGATTCTGTGCATTTGGAGTCTCGAAACATGTTTGTAGCTATCAACTGGCTCAAAAATACATAATTTGTGTTCAATGTGGGCTCTAAGGGATCCAGCGGAGAGCCAGGTTCTCCATTTATGTTGTGCTATCATGTTCAAATTCATAATATTGACTCACCAAGGGCACTTGGACAGGACAGAGCTGCAGTCTGCACTACAATATTACTGAGCCATGTCAAATTTTATAAAAATAAAACAAATCCATACATGCATATACACACACACTTATTTATTTGCTTTCATAACTGGAATTATAGGCTCACTAACTAGATTCCTAATGGATTCAGTGCTTTTAAATTCATGTTTATTTATTTTTTTGCAAAGTAAGGGATGTCCACTGAACCCAAATTACATCATTTGTATTAAGTGTGGGCTCTAAGGGATCCAGCGGAGAGCCAGGTTCTCCATTTATGTTGTACCATCATGTTTAAATTCATTATATTTACTCAAAGGCACTCGGACAGGAAAAAGCTGTGATCTGCACTGTTGCATTATCAGTATTAAATACAGGAGTAATCCAGGAAGGAATCTGAGACATTCAAATGTTTTAATCGACAAAACAAAATTACAATATTGTGTCTAAAATGTCATTGACTGCATATGAACACATTTGTGATTAATCTCATGCTCTGATATTTAGGAAAATAACACTTAGTTATACGATATTACTAAGCTAAGTAAAATTTTATAAACATAATACCCAAAACCCATACAGATATTTATTTATTGGCTTATTATAGGTTCATTCTAGCAACATCCCTAATGATTCAGTGCTTTTGGAGTCTCAAAAGATGTTTATTTATTTATTTTTTTAGCAAAGTTAGAATGTAAGCTATACACTGACCCAAAAGTACATCATTTATGTTGAGCGTGAGCTCTAAAGGCTCCAGCGGAGAGCCAGGTTCTAAATTTAATTGGTGCTATCATGTTCAAATTCATTATGTTGACTCACCAAGGGCACTCAGACAGGAAAGAGCTGCGGTCTGCAATGTGGCATTGTCAGGATAAGAGACGCATGCCTTCACGGCCACTTTATGGACACCGTTCAGCACCAGCATATCATAGTAACCCTCTGTTAAACAAAATAATTTAAAAACATTATCCAAACTAAGTAGTACTTTCTAAATGATGTCAGAAGAGCATCATTTGAACTTACTTGATGTAAATTTCCATAGCAAACAGCAACCAGCCTCCTGTATCGCCTCAGAGTCCAGCCACGTGTTCATAGCCCGACATGTTAGACTATGGCATTTCACAGTTTTGGACATCAGGGTCTCAACATTGCTGGCTGGAACCAAGAAAAACAAGCTTGTTAAATACAGCTCATTTTATTAAGGAAAGGAAAGACCATGTTTTTGAGCACTTAGTTAAAAAAAAAAAAAAAAAAAAAAAAAAAGATGTTGTTTGGCAAGTCTGCAAATAGTGTTGGATGATCACAGTTGCTGTAATAACTGCGTTTTTTTGTACATCATTACTTATTTTATTTGAACTTTTTAGGCATCATGGCTGTCTTTTGTTGTTGTTACTCTCCCATGTATGCTTGTAATGTAATGTGCAATATACTTGTATGTAACCAACAGTTTGTGAAAAAAAAAGGGTCCCACTATATTTTTTTGATTCAAGTACATAGTTGAGGACACTTAATATAAAGTGGGACCAAAAATTGTATACTGTAAAAAAACCATATTAAAAAAAAGGGTTTTGAAGACACTGATGATTACAAAAATGCTTTTGAAAAGTGTGTTATACCTGGATCAGCCAGTGGTATGAGGACCTTCAGAGCTTCAAGTACCACATTTTCACTGTCCATAAAGCATCCGAGCGCGTTCAAAACCACCTCATGGTCCTTCTTCTCGATGAACTCCGCCAGGTGATACTCAGAAACTAACAAATCACACAGGTCAAATGGGCAGAACTGACACTATTCATGATATGACATTTTACTTTACAGTAGGAGTGTCAATTTTACACATACTGTTCAACTTCTTGCTATTTTTTTAAACAGCAGATGGCACTCTAGGCTATTTTTAAAAGCAGATGGTGCTCTAGGCTATTTTTAAAAACAGACGATGTTCTAGGGTAGTTTTAACAGCGTATGGCACTCTAAGCTAATTTATTAACATCGGATGACGCTCTAGGCTAGTTTTTTAATAGCTAATGGCGCTCTAGGTTACTTTAACAGCAGACGACGCTCTAGGCTAGTTTTAACTGCAGATGGCGCTCTAGGCTAGTTTAACAGCAGATGGGGCTCTAGGCTATTTTTAACATCGGATGACGCTCTAGGCTAGTTTTTTAATAGCTAATGGCGCTCTAGGTTACTTTAACAGCAGACGACGCTCTAGGCTAGTTTTAACTGCAGATGGCGCTCTAGGCTATTTTTAACTGCAGACAGTGCTCTAGGCTAGTTTATAACAGCAGACGATGTTCTAGGCTAGTTTAAACAGTGAATGGCACTCTAGGCTAATATTTTTAACAGCGGATGACGCTCAAGGTTAGTTTTTAAACAGCAGACAGCGCTCTAGGCAAATTTTCTTGAGAGCAAACGGGGCTCTAGGTTAGTTTTTAAACAGCAGATGGAGCTCTAGGCTATTTTTAACAGCGAACGACGCTCTAGGCTAGTTTTAAAAGCAGATGGTGCTTTAGGCTACTTCTAACAGCAGACGGCGCTCTAGGCTAGTTTATAACAGCAGACAATGTTCTAGGCTAGTTTAAACAGTGAATGGCACTCTAGGCTAATATTTTTAACAGCGGATGACACTCAAGGTTAGTTTTTAAACAGCAGACGGCGCTCTAGGCTAGTTTTAGCAGCAGACGGCGCTCTAGGCTAGTTTTAGCAGCAGACAATGCTCTAGGCAAGTTTTAAAAGCAGACAACGCTCAAGGCTAGTTTTAAAAGCAGACGGCGCTCTAGGCTAGTTTTTTTTAACAGCAGACGACGCACTAGGCTACTTTTAACAGCAGATCACGCTCTAGGCTAGTATTTTTAACAGGAGATGGTGCTCTAGGCTAGTTTTAACAGCAGACAACGCTCAAGGCTAGTTTTTTTTAACAGCAGACGACGCACTAGGCTACTTTTAACAGCAGATCACGCTCTAGGCTAGTATTTTTAACAGGAGATGGTGCTCTAGTCTAGTTTGTAACTCCTTATGAGGAGGCGTGCTCATGAGGGGTCCAACCTAGTACTAGAAAAGTGTAACTAATATAGTGTCTGGTAAGTGTATATCACCATTTCAAATTTGAATAACTAATCCTGGTCACCTGTCTGCAGCAGTGGTTGTAAAGCTGTACATCCCTGTAGCTGAACTTCTTCTCTGTCACTGAATGACTTCATGGCCTCCAGAATCGAGTAAAACACATCCCATTCCTCCTCATCCAGAACCTGCATCTTGATCTCACCTGAGCCACAAACATCAAACACCTCCATCAAAACACTTTCAGAAACCGCTGCTCTTTAATGAACGAAATAGCAGGCGTTATGTAGAAACAAGACTTGCCTGACTTCAGCATCAGAGCCAGAGCTCTCAGGGCCACCATCATCATCTTGGCGTCTTTATTATGGTACTCGTGAAGCACCTTCAGAATCTGCCTATAAACAAACATGCATCAAAAAGAGTCGCTTAATTAAAAATCAGCTGCAATTTTACAAATTACGAGATGTAAACAATTACAAAGAACTTATTTTCATGCAGTTATTTGTTCATGACACTGGCCCGGATTAAATCTCTCTGATAAATCTGTAGTTTTTGCTCAATTTCATTCATTCATTCATTCACCTTTGGCTTAGGCCCCCTATTGCCACAGCGGAATGAACCGCCAACTATTACAGCATATGTTTTACACAGCGAATGCCCTTCTGGCTGCAACCCAGTACTGGGAAACATCCATACACACCTATACAATTTAGCTTACCCAATTCTCCTGTAGGGCATGTGTTTGGACTTGTGGGGGAAACCGGAGCACCTCGAGGAAACCCACACCAAGACAGGGAGAACATGCAAACTCCACACAGAAACACCAACTTAACCAGCCGGGACTCGAACCAGTGACCCTCTTGCTGTGAGGTGACAGCGCTAACCACGGAGCCTCCGTGTTGCCCTGGAATGCATGCACATGCTTAAAAATATTACACTCCAACTTACTTGTGTGCATCTATAAATTCATAGTCCACCGGTCTGGCCAGATTATCCAGAGTGTTGGGACAGATTTCCATCAGCCGACACAGCAGAGACCAGCCAACCTAGGATGAGCAGCATAATAAATCACTCGCAATTACTAACACGAAATCACCATTATTGTTCCGAGTTAAGATAATAAAAAATTAAATAAAAAAAAAAAAAAAAAAAAAAAAAAAAAAGATAGTTGGATCTCCTCAAATATTATTAATAATAATAATAAACTTTATTTTAGATAGCACCTTTAAAAGTAGCATCTCAAGGCACTTTACAGACAAAATGTGCAGAAGACACAAGGATGAATGCAAAAAGTTATAATAAAAATATTTTAAAAACACATTAAATAATAATATTAATTATTAAAAATATTTAATATCTGGCTATAACGAGGAGACTGACACGGAGGGATCCATTTTGCAGTATTTAAAAGACACAGTTCAATCACAAACATACAACACGCACTAAAGTGCGAACTCACATCAACAGCATTCAACATAGATCGTGGGGCTGGCGGCTGACAGACACAGAGTGATTTACCAGGCATGGATCAGTGGCAGGCGGCGTGGTTCAGAGTCCGTATAACAAGCGTGGGTCGAGGGCAGGCAGAAGGCAACTCAGAGTCAGAACCAGTCCGGGGTAATGCACAGAAGATCAGGCAGTGAATAACGCTCAGAAGTGTTGACCGTGGCTGAACAAGACTTCGCAATGAACTGGTGTTTGAGTGTGGCTTATATAGGGAGCGCGGATCGTTAACGGGATTCAGATCAGGTGTGTGCACAATTAGTCTAGGTGGATGATGTAATGCTAGAAGTCCGGGGATGGCGGCCTCTGCTGGCCAGCGAGGGGAATGACTGGGACCGAGTCGGTGACACTGGCTTTTGTTTTACTGCGAACCGAATCTTTTCTATTCTAAGAGCATGTAATAAAATCAAAAACCCTGCTGCTGACTTATAATTCATATTTTTTTTTAATTATTAATAAAGCCATTCCCTTTCAGTTCCCTTCCAGTTTCAATATGAATAAGAGCAGTGTGAACATTCTTCTCAATATCTCTTTTTGTTTAACAAAATAAAAGTCACATGTTTTGAAGTGGCTACAGTACCTGCTGAACTTTGATGCTGGCGCTTTCGCTGCATTTCAGCAACACAGGCACATGGACATTTTGATCCGCAAACAGCTCAACTGCAGGACAAAAGAAGAACACAAGTCTAAAAATAACCCAGCAGATGTCTCGCTGGGGAAAAAAAGGCACACACACACCAATTGAGGTCTCTGAATGTTGCATTGCTGTCAATATGACTGTATCCATGCATTATACGCATCATGAAATGTAAATAAAGCACATTTTGGAGTGGTCAGGACTCACCACAGTGCTCAGTATGGGACAGGAACAGGAGATCCTCTATGATCTGCACCATTGTCCCCAGCTGCTTCCCATCCTGAAGATTCAACCTCACCAGTAGCTTCTTCAGTCTGATGGACAACTCCTCTATTTCTGCCATGATCTCCGAGTTTCTGACATCAAACTTGAACTTAAAGGCACTTTCTGATCCTCCATGTTGACACATTAACATCCCCGCAGATTTCACACAGAGGCTCTGCCATATTTATGCCGTCCTGACTAACTAATATTGAGTTCCTGGTGTGATACTCTGCGGTTTAGGGAAGAAATCTCGGTCATGTTGGCGCCTGTGTAGTCCAGGCTGCGTTATGAATCATATGACTGCAAAACAATTCAACAACTTCCTGTTTGAGCGCAACAGTGAAAGCAAAGACACACGGATCAATACAAACACTCTGAAACGAGATTAGCTGGTAAGTTTACTGAGAGACAGCACAAATATTTGCGCATTTTATGTCATTTTATGTTCATATGTGATGAGGCTAGTTCGTTTTTTGTAGCATGTTAGCATCGCTGTGTACAGTAGATGTGTACGCGCTCATATCATGTAGGAAGTTGTTGATGTTTGTTTTATGTGTGCTAATATAAGAGTCTGAATAAAAAATAAAACATGAGGGGATTTTAAAACATTATGTAGTTCGCGACCTTATTTAGATGGAGTTTTGTATAAACATACTAGATATTTTGCGATTAATTTATTTATTTTTAACGTGTAATGATTGAAGTTTAAAGTAAAAAGGTCAGATTTCTTACTGAATCGGGTCGTTCGTAAATAATAAAATATAGTAATAGAAAAATAAGTAGTTAATAACTTATACATCGACCGGCCACTTTATTAGGTACACCACTAGCTTGCTTATTGCTGTCAGAAGTGCTTTGCTGGCTAATATTTAACATGCTGATGGAAACATTTTCATGCTGATGGTTATTTTGCTGGAAGTAAACACCAAAAGATGAACAGCAAGAAGAATACCAAGATTGTCCGCTGTATTTAAGCATTTTCCATTCATTTTGTTTCCCTGGAAATTATATTCACTCACTGGCCACTTTATTAGGTACACCTCACTAGTACCGGGTTGGCCCCCTTTTGCCCTCAGAACCCCCTTAATCGTTCGTGGCATAGATGAGGTGACATTGAGGCCAAATTCTGAGCCGAGCATCCGGATGTGTCAGCAGAAATGGAGACTCATCAGAGCAGGCAACGTTTCTCCAATCTTCTATTGTGCAGTTTTGGTGAGTCTGTGTGAATTGTAGCCTCAGTTTCCTGTTCTTAGCTGACAGGAGCGGCACCCGGTGTGCTCTTCTGCTGCTGTAGCCCATCCGCCTCAAGGTTGGCCGTGTTGTGTGTTCAGAGATGCTCTTCTGCAGAGCTCGGTTGTAACGAGTGCTTATTTGAGTTACTGTTGCCTTTCTATCAGCTGGAACCAGTCTGGCCATTCTCCTCTGACCTCCGGCATCAACAAGGCATTTGCACCCACAGAACTGCCGCTCACTGGATATTTCCTCTTTGTCGGAGCATTCTCTGTAAACCCTAGAGATGGTTGTGTGTGAAAAACCCAGTACATCAGCAGTTTCTGAAATACTCAGACCAGCCCATCTGGCACCAACAACCATTTCACGTTTAAAGTCACTTAAATTCTTCCCCATTCTGATGCTTGATTTGAACTGCAGCAGATCGTCTTGACCGTGTCTACACATCTAAATGCATTGAGTTGCTGCAATGTGATTGGCTGATTAGAAATTTGTGTTAACAAGCAGTTGGACAGGTGTACCTAATAAAGTGGCCGGTGAATGTATAACATACATTTAACATAACAGTAAACAGAATCTATTAATAATGTAAAATAATGCTTAAATATGACATAAATATATGACATTTGATTCAGTTAACCCTATTAAACTTTCTAAAACACTAGCAGAGTTGACATGTTTCAGCATGTGGTGCTTTAGCTCAAGATAACTCAAACGTGGCCAATTAAAACAGACATTTAGTTATGCTTATGGACAGTTCACTCAAGGAAATTAAATCTGTCGTCTGTATTTACTCTCCCTTAGCTTGTTCCAAATTTATACTATGGAAGTCAATGCCTACTAAGTAGTTTTAACAGCACCTGACCTGACGTATTGACACAGTATTCATGCACTAAGAGTTTAAGGTGTGTGCACACTGCCAGCGTGCTCTGGTTTATGGCTGCAATCATGTGATGATCTCAAGATGTTGTCTTTGTGATTCAGGACACAATGTGCATGATCTCTGGAGGATGGAGGATCAGAGAGCGTACGCTAGAGTTGAAGACGAGAGCACTTTAATAAAGACAGCATCAAAGCGTGACCATGAACTCCAGCCGGGCCCTCCGTGTTTCGTCTACACGCTGGCCTTCTTCTCGGCTCTGGGAGGATTTCTGTTCGGCTATGACACCGGAGTGGTTTCCGGAGCCATGCTGCTCCTCAAGAGGGAGAAGAAGCTCAGTTCTGTGTGGCAGGAGCTGCTGGTTTCCATTACTGTCGGTGCCGCTGCTGTTTCCGCTCTGGCCGGAGGGTTTCTGAACGGACGATTCGGACGGAGGGTCTGCATTCTGCTGGCCAGCTTCATCTTCTGTGCTGGAGGAATCATACTAAGCGTCGCACGCAATAAAGAGGCCCTTCTGTGTGGGAGGCTCACGGTCGGGCTCGGGTTAGGTGAGATCTGCATCCAGACAACGAGGAAGTCTGTTCAAGGCTGTGTTTATTTAAAGTAAAATACACTGAATGCAGAAATATTGGACAATTCAAGTTAAAGGGGACCTATTATGCCTGTTTGTCAAATAAGTGTGTATGTGAAGTTTAAGCTCAAAATAACACACAAATAATGTTTATAACCCTTTTAAACTCACTCTTTCAGGCTTCGATCTTAATTGTGGTGTTTTGGTGACTGTCGCTTTAAATGCAAATGTGTTCTTTTCAAAAGAGGGCGGAGCTACAGATGCCTGTGTGTCAGCACAGTGGGAGATTCAAAACAGGACTAGTGTTCTATGCTAATGAGGGAGAGATGGTCACTAGTGGGCGGGGCTTTCCCGCTCTGATGATATCAGACTAAGGGAGAATGTCAATCAAAGTGTTTCTGCAGACTGTTTATATCAAGTCTGATTCCAGGAATCGCGTCGATGACGGTGCCCATCTACATCGCTGAGGTATAAAACACTTTCAATAGTGTTTTATGAAAATTCAAAGGATTTTCTTTAAAATAACACCTTTAAAATACCACAATTTTGCTTTTACACCTCTGCATGTGGATTTGGGAAGCTTTTAAATTTGGGTAGGCAAAATCCAGGCGTAAATCACAAAATAGCACCATAGTTTAACTGGTTAATAATGTCATGCATAGATGAATTTTCAGTCACATTTTATAATACGGGACACGTTAATGTTAGTTAATATATTTACTATAATGAACAAACAATGATCAATATATTCATTAAAGAGGACCTATTACGATATGTAACCCAGGCTCGTAGCCAGGGGTGGTGCGGAAGACCCACCCCTCACTGACAAGGGTCCAGAATTTGTCTCATACTTGAGCTCATTTGACGTGTTTTGATTGCTATTCCACATACATAATGAAAAGGTATGTGGTAAAACAATACAGGAATATACAGCACCATCAAAAAGAAATCTCAGCCAGACTAATGGAACAAGAAACAAAATAAAATGACACACGGATAATGATTATAACCCTCTGAAACGGACCCTTTTAGGCTTTGATCCTAATTGTGGTGTTTTGTTGACTGTCGCTTTAAATGCAAATGAGATTGTGGTGTTTTCAGAAGAAGGCGGAGCTACAGATGCCTGTGTGTCAGCATAGTGGCAGATTCAAAAACAAGACTGACGTCCTATGCTAATGAGGGAGAGATGGACACTAGTGGGCGGGGCTTTCCCCCTCTGATGACATCATACTAAGGGAGAATGCCAATCAAAGTGTTTCTGCAGACTGCTTATATCAAGTCTGATTCCAGGAATCGCGTCGATGACGGTGCCCGTCTACATCGCTGAGGTTTCTCCTCCAGATCTGCGCGGTCAGCTGGTCACCGTTAACACTCTCTTCATCACCGGTGGACAGTTCATCGCCAGTGTTGTGGACGGAGCCTTTAGTTACCTGCCTCATGACGGCTGGAGGTCAGAAAAACATTCATTTTATTGTGATAGAGGCATTGTTTTTACACTCGAACAGCATACGCACTGAAATTCTCTGATTGGTGGAATTTTCTGCACAGCATTATGGGTAATGTAGTTCTTCAGGATGAGTTCTGTTATTTAAAATAGGCTGAACAGCTCAGAAGAACAAAAGGCTCAATGGGTTTGTTTTTATAATGAATATATTTTCAGATAAAGTATATGTGTTTAGTATTTGAGTTATAGTCAATATTAATATGTCAACATGAGTTTAGTGGCTTTTATTAAATTAAATTTGCACTATTGGGATCTTGTTGTGTTTTTTTATTCAATTTTAGATTTAGGGTTTTATTTTTATTTATTTATGTGTGTTATTTCACGGTTATAAACGTCTTTTATTAGCTAGTTTAGTTTATAGTATAAACTGTGCGTCAAACGTGTGGACTGAGGCCAAAAAAAAGTCAAGAATTTGTTTTAAATAGTACCTATGGGAACAATAAATGAATAAACAGCACTGATGTAGTATATAGAGAGGAAAAACTACAATCTCATGAAGTACTGCAAATCAAAAATTAATAAAAACTATATTTTGGCTTTAACTAAAGAAAGATTTATAGCAATATATGTGTGTAAAATACAAATATTTAAATATTTTAAGACTTGATTGGTGCTTCAAGACAGTGGGTGGAGCTAAAAGTCTCTTTTTAGCCATTGTGATTGGTGGAATTACCTGCAGAGCATCATGGGTAATGTAGTTTTTCAGAATGAATTCTGTAATTGAAAAAAAAGGTTCAATTGGTTTTATTCATTAATATTTAAGATAAAATATAGGTATTTGTCGGCGCCAGTAGCCTAGTGGTTAAGTGTGCTGACATATAGCACCATGGTGCTCACAGCGACCCAAGTTCAATTCTTGGCTTTAGGTCCTTTGCCAACCCTTTCCCTCTCTCTGTTCCTAATACTCTCCTGTCTGTAACGTTTACTGTCCTATCCAAATTAAAGGTGTAACCCCCTAAAAACATTATTAAAAAATATATATATTTATATGTATTTAGTATTTAATTTATAGTCAATGTTAATTTAAAACAGACCAGAATTTGTGTAACCAAAAATCTTATGTCACCAGTATTATTATTAGTGTTTGGACTATTGGGATCCTATTGTATTGTTTATTGATTGTTTAAATGACATTTAAATAAAATACAATTAATTAAACAAGTTTATTAAATAGGTTGAACAGCTCAGGATTGCATTGATGAACGTGTGTGTGTGTGTGTGTGTATGTGTGTGTGTTTGTGTGTGTGTGTGTGTGTGTGTGTGTGCAGGTTTATGTTGGGTTTGTCGGTGGTCCCTGCCGCTCTTCAGTTTCTAGGATTCCTCTTCCTCCCTGAAAGTCCTCGTTGGCTCCTGCAGAAGGGATTTACCCAGAATGCACTACTGGTGCTCCGTCAGATCCGCGGCGATGTGGATGTGGAGGAAGAGTTCGAGAGCATCCGCTGCAGCATCCAGGAGGAGCAGAGAGACGTCGCAGGTCATTAATTAATTATTTATTCATCACTTTTTGAATGGATTGCTAATGGACAGCAGTGATGATCTGACTGGTGGTCTTTCAGGGGGTCCGGTTTTGTGGCGTATGCTGGCCTCTCCTCCGGCTCGTCGAGCTCTTATCGTGGGTTGTGGACTTCAGATGTTCCAGCAGCTCGCGGGAATCAACACCGTCATGTAGGACATTAGCAGCACAACACTGCACATTATCAACACTGCATTAAGCCCCATAACACACATATAGCTTCCAGAACTGAGCAGGGAATTGCACTTTGCAGGTATTTAAACTTGTATTTTGTGTGACTGTGCCAGTTGGAAAAATTCATTTCCCTCTGGGATTAATAAAGTGAAATCAATCAATCAATCAATCAATCAATCAATCAATCAATCAATCAATCAATCAATCAATCAATCAATCAACAAATCAATCAATCAATCAATCAATCAATCAATCAATCAATCAATCAATCAACCAACCCTTCAATCAATCAACCAACCAATCAATCAATCAATCAACCAACCAATCAATAAACCATTCAATCAATCAACCATTCAATCAATCAACCAATCAATCAATCAACCAACCAACAAATCAATCAATCAATCAATCAACCCTTCAATCAACCAACCAATCAATCAATCAATCAACCAACCAATCAATCTGTCAATCAATCAACCATTCAATCAATCAATCAATTAATCAACCAACCAATCAATCTGTCAATCAATCAATCAATCAACCAACCAATCTATCTGTCAATCAATCAACCAATCAATCAATCAATCAATCAACCAATCATTTAATCAATCAACCAACCAATCAATCAATCAATCAATCAATCAATAAATCAATCAATCAATCAGTCAATCAACCAACCAATCAATCTGTCAATCAATCATTCAATCAATCAATCAACCAACCAACCAACCAACCAATCTATCTGTCAATCAATCAATCAACCAATCAATCTGTCAACCAATCAATCAATCAATCAATCTGTCAAAATTAATGGTATAGTTTACCCAAAAATTCTGTCATCACTTACTCTCCCTTATTACAAACCAGTTTGAGTTTTCTTTTGGTTGTGTTGAACACAGAAGATATTTTGAAGAATGCTGGAAACTTGTAATCGTTGACTTCCACAAGTCAATGGGAACAAAAAACAAGCTCAAACTGGTTTAGAACAAGTATAGGGTTAGTAAATAATGATCGAATTTTCATTTTTTGGGCGAACTGCCCCTTCAACACCCCATTCAATTGGGGCGTCAGCGTCAGCGTTTCCTATTTACTTTGAATGAGTGACGTCAAGCGTTGCCGAACTGCATTGTGGATCCATTGGCACCGTTGCTCGCTGCAGAAGTTGGGACTTTCTCAGCTTTTCAAGCGGCAACTGAAGCGTCAGCCAATCAGATTGCTTCATGCAAATACACCAGCTCAGACAGTAACCGATTGTGGACTAATTTCATTGGCTGGCGCTGCTATGATGATTGCGTCAGCCCCAACTTCAGACACGCCCTCGGTCAAGCGTTGACGCTGAAGCCCTGTGTGAATGCACGGTAAGGCCAAATGTGCGTTTACACTTGCCAGTGTTCCACAAAACTCGAGTGCGTGTGTTAGTTTGACTTATAGTGCTTTATGTCAGTGGGCGGAGCTACAGATGTATTTTTTCGCAATTTTACTTACTGAAATTCTCTGATTGGTGGACTTTTCTGCACAGCATCATGGGTAATGCAGGTTTTCATTAATTCAAGAGTTCTATTGTTTTAAATAGGTTGATTTCGTGAGAATAGATGGGTTGGACAAAAGCAAATACTATTCATTTACCTCAGAGCGCACATTTTTTTAAATAATAGTTTTAATAGTTAACTTGTTTTATCTTTGGCATGATGACAGCGCATCATATTTTACTAGTTATATTGCAAGATACTAATATTCAGCTTAAATTGACATTTAAAGGCTTATCTAGGGAAGTCATTGGACGATTCATTCATTTTTTTTATTTATTTTTTATGACGCCACTTCATACTTTAGTTTCCTTATCAAATCTTCTGACCAATCAAATGCTCTTTAGTGCCTGACATGCCCCGCCCTTTTTTTCTCATTGGCTTTTCATTTGATGCGCTTGAGCTCAATCACTCACAGACAGAGCTTTGATCAAACAAAACGCTATTGGCTGCTTTTTAAAGGGGAGGAGCTACATTAAGCCCCGCCCGTTCTTTATATTTCGGTAGAGATTTTGTCAATCCTCGACTAAAAATTGCACATTTCAAAGCACTTCCTGCGACATTTAGTTTTCTCATTTAGTTCTCTGAATGCTGCAGGTACTACAGCGCCACCATCCTGCAGATGTCAGGAGTTCAGGATGATCAGATGGCCATCTGGCTGGCCGCCGGCACAGCCTTCACCAACTTTCTGTTCACTCTGGTGGGCGTTTGGCTGGTGGAGAGAGTGGGCCGCAGGAGGCTGACTATGGCTAGTCTACTAGGTGAGGATTCAAACACCGCCATAGACATGTGTGTGTTGTAGGGTTGTCACGATCCTGGAACCTCGAAAAATATCGATATTCGATACCCCCCCCACACACATCCCCCAAATCACACACGCGCACAAAACTATTCATTCATTCATCTTCCTTCTGCTTAGTCTCTTGTTAATCAGGGATTGCCACAGCAGAATCCACCACCAACAATTCCAGCATATGTTTTACGCAGCAGATGCCCTTCCAGCAGCAATCCAGTACTGGGAAACACCCATACACCTTCACATTCACACTACGGAAAATCTAGTTTATTCAGTTCCCCTATAGCGCATGTGTTTGAACTGTGGGGATAAACCAGAGCACTCCTCACAGAAACGGCAACTGACACAGCCGGGACTTAAACCAGCGACCTTCCTGCTGTGAGGCAACAGTGCTAACCACTGAACCACCATGCCGCCATGTTTGAAATCGAATAAATCAAGTCATTGTACACGCTCTGACCAATAATAACCAAAAGCAATATTCCTGTATTGACACTTATCGGATTATTGATATGTTTGATAGCTCGAGTGTGTAGTGTGAGAATGATGGTGTGTGTGTGTGGGAATGATTCAGGTACTGCTGTCAGCCTGATGGTCTTGGCTGCAGGATTCCTGCTCTCGGCTCAGGCGTCTCCACCTGTGACCTTTCACCCGTCTAACCCCTCCATCCACAACTCCACCTGCGGAAACTATGGGTGAGAAATGTGTTAAAAACGTGGGTTAAACATGTGCCAGCTGACATGATCAACTTTATCCCTCTAAAACGAGCATGTTTATGGTCGAAATGTTGAAGTCATTGACTGGAATGCAGTGTGAAGGAGCCTTTAATTCAAGTGATGAAGTGCTAAATGCATCGGTTTGTGTTTTAATGTTTATAACTTATGATATAGTTCAGTAACTTCAAACAAGAGTGTGATTTTCCCGAATATCAGCACAAGTGCAAATGTTTTCTTAATGTTATACACCGTTCAACAAAAAAGAAACTGATATTGTGTAAGTTACATTTTAGACACACTATTGTCTGTTTTTTATTTGTTTGTTTGTTTGTTTGTTTGTTTGTTTGTTTTTACCAAAGAGCAGGGCCAGACGGAATCTGCAGACGTTTTTTGCTATTTTTTTTTTTTTTTAGAATATGCAAAAAGGTACATAAATTGGGATCATACAAATACAAAAAAAAACATCGACAAAAAACATAACAAAACAAAAATAAAAAACAAAACAAAAACAATATAGTCAGGTACTGTTAGGTGTGTGTGTGTGTGTGTGTGTGTGTGTGTGTGTGTGTGTGTGTGTGTGTGTCCATGTAAAGGTAACTTGGTGGAAAGGTCAGATTACATACATTAGGAACAATATCAGCCAATAAATGAATCAAGTATTGCAGATACAAGTAAAACAGATAAAAAAGAAACCAGTCAGAGTTAGGGGTGTCACGATTTCGATTTTTTATCGAAATCGATCGAAATTTATGCTCAATTTCGATTATCGAATCAAAAAATAGAATCGTCGATGCTGCCACGCCCCCATGTCACGTCAGCTTGGCTTGCAAAGCGGGAAAAAAAACAGGCTTGTTGAAGTGCTTGTTAAACTGCAGAAGCAGGAGACCCGTCGACAGAGCTTAAACCCTCTCCTCTTCTAATAAAGTCGCCGGTGTGTAAGCATTTTGAATTTCCAGTGAGTTATGTTGACAACGTCCGTATTGTCGACAAAAAAAAACACAGTTTTGCAAGCTCTGCTATGTACGTATTACGTACGGTTCTTCTGATAGACAACACCGGCATCGCGATCCTCCGCCCGCCCCTGTTGCAAATCCGCTCGCGAAAAGTACACACTCAGGCCCTGTTTACACTGTCTTTGTTTTTAAATGGCATTTTAGAACGACAACGATTTGACATCCACAGTGGCGTGTAGCATTTCTGAGCAGCCCTCCTTCCTCTCTACCTCTGAAAATGCACATCACGTGACCACACAGACGCACACACACACACAGCCATGCGCTCGAGACAGCAGGTCCAGGCAGTCAGAGGACTGCTTCAATCCTTCACTCACTTGTACGAAGTCATTTTAGCGAACACCTCAGATACTGTTGGCTGGTTCCTGTTGGTTGTGCGTCTTTTTTACCGACGCCATTATAACGACACAGATCACTGCCTGTTCACGAGTCCCGCAGAAAAAGTGATTGACAGGTGGTAATTATGTGTGTATCTTGCCTTTATTCATTTACTGTATGATTTGTTTATGGGTAAAACAAAGACCATGCAGGTCAGGTAGTTTAAACGGTAGGCTACAAATAATTAATTGGTCATTAATTAATTAATTACTCATAATCGAAAATCGAATCGTGCCTTTAGAATCGACAATGTAATCGAATCGAGGATTTGGAGGATCGTGACACCCTTAGTGTGTAATGAGTAATAATTCTACAGTGAATTATTTGAGTCAATGATTCATGCATAAACACAGTCAATACATTTAGAAATGAATCAACCGTTTTGAACGAACGCTTTAAAGAATCAGTCATTAAAACAGGCTCTTATCGCCATCTACTGGTGCTGTTAGAGTCATGTTTATTCATAGCAAGAACCAGCCACAAATCCAATGTGGCAAAAACATAATTTAATTAGTTGCTATTAATAAAAACACTCTAAAATATATTAGGATATAAGAGTGACTGGACTTTTTTTCTGTGTGTTCCTGAAGGTTCTGTGAATCCTGCATGTTGGATCCAGATTGTGGTTTCTGTTACGGTCTGAACGCTACAGCTGTGGTTCAGTCCTCATGTGTGCCTGTAGATCCGGCGAACACAGAGACGGCAGCATTGGGCAGGTAATACAGTAACACAGGTGATAAACACAAAGCATCTTTACTGTTTTAGCAAGTGGTTAAAGTTTTAACATACCTTTAGCATGTTTATTCATGTTGCTAGCATCTTTACTGTTTTAGCAAGGGGCTAGAGTGTCATAACATCTTAGCATGTTTTAACATTACGCTAGCTTGTTTACTGTTTTAGCAAGGGCTTGGTGACAACAAATCTTTAGCATGTGTTAACATGCAGCTCGCATGTTAACTGTTTTAGCATTGGGCTAAGGTTTCAACAACTTTTTAGCATGTTTTAGCATAGCATAATAATCAAGGGTCTTGCTGTACCACTGCAGCACTGTTTCCAGGCACTTTGTAATATTATTTTGCTTGCTTTAGCCATAATACAACATCTATGTCCCTTGATTATCACACCAGAATGAGAATATGGTAATTAAAATGAGCCTATTTCCAAAAAAAGCAGAGTATATTTTAAATAAACATTTTGGATTAGTCATCAGATGGTTTTGGTTCTTGTTCTTGTTTTATTAAGGTGTTTCAATGGCACTCAGAAGGCTTCCAGTGTTTTCTGGGCCTACAACTACTGTCCTACACCATATTCCTGGGTTGTTCTGCTGGGTCTCATTCTCTATCTGGCCTTCTTTGCTCCAGGTGAGTGTTCAGTTCTCCAAACCCAAAAGAAAAAATACTATAGCAACGTATAGTAGATACGATAGTGTTTTTGAAGCATGCTATAGTGAAGTATTTGAATTAATCTGTTGTGGTGATTCTACAGTTGTTTTGGTAATGCAAGGTTCAATGTGCAGTAATGATGTTTAGTTGACGTCAGGTTGTGTGTTGGCGTAGGAATGGGCCCGATGCCGTGGACGGTAAACTCTGAGATTTACCCGCTGTGGGCTCGCAGCACTGGAAACGCCTGCTCCGCTGGGGTCAACTGGATCTGCAACGTCCTCGTATCGCTGACATTCCTCCATGTGGCCCAGTATCTGACATACTACGGTAAAAAAACACAGTATACATGCAAGAGGCTGATGTGGAAACTGGCTGAAAGATGCTAGCAGAGTGTCGTTACATAAAGATGCTAGCAACGTGCTAAAAGCTAACAGTGTGTTAATCAAGTTAGAAACATGTTAGGAGTGTGTTCAATATGGCAGTCTTCACAAAATGACTGTTTTAATGTTAATTCAAAAGTCTTAAATGCGCTAACAGCCTTTCAAATAGTGCTAGCAACATGTTACTTTCTTAAAAGGGTACAAAGACTATACAAATACTAGCAATATGCTAAAACATGCTAACACTCTGCTGAAACATGCTTGCAAATTACATGCTAAAGAGACATGTTGAAATCATAGACCTAAAACGGTAAACATGATAGAAACATGTTAAAAACATGCTAGCAAATTGTCAAAACTGCTATTAACAACATGTTTAAACATTGGTAAAAAAGCTAAATTATGCTAGCAGCATGTTAAAACATTCAAGCAAGTTGTCAAAACATGTTAGCAGCTTGTTAAAACTGAAAGTGCATAAATTAGTATGTAGCTAGCATGTTAAGTGTTTTAGCATTGGGCAAGAGTGGCAACACATCTTTAGCATGTTTTAACATGTTGCTAGCATTTTTACTGTTTTTAGCAAGGTGCTAGAGTGTCAACACATCTTTAGCATGTTTTAACTTGTTGCTAGCATGTTTACTCTTTTTAGCAAGGGGCTAGAGTGTCAACACATCTTTAGCATGGTTTAACATGTTGCTAGCTTGTTTACTGTTTAAACAAGGAGCTAAAGTGTCAACACATCTTTAGCATGTTTTACCATGTTGCTAGCATGTCTACTGTTTTAGCAGGGGGCTAGAGTTTCGATACATGTTTAACATGTTTTTAAATGTTGCTAGCATGTTTACTGTTTAAACAAGGAGCTAAAGTGTCAACACATCTTTAGCATGTTTTAACATGTTGCTAGCATGTTTACTGTTTTAGCAAGGGGCTAGAGTGTCAACACATCTTTAGCATGTTTTAACATATTGCTAGCATGTTTACTGTTTAAACAAGGGGCTAAAGTGTCAACACATCTTTAGCATGTTTTAACATGTTGCTAGCATGTTTACTGTTTTAGCATGGAGCTAGAGTGTCAGCTTATCTTCAGCATGTTTTAACATGTTGCTAGCATATTTACTGTTTTTAGCAAGGGGCTAGCGTGTCAACACATCTTTAGCATGTTTTAACAAGTTGCTAGCTTGTTTGCTGTTTAAACAAGGGGTTAAAGTGTCAACAAATCTTTAGCATGCATTTAACATGTTGTTAGCATGTTTACTGTTTTAGCAAGGGGCTAAAGTGGCAACACATCTTTAGCATGTTTTAACATGCTGCTATTAAGGGGCTTTATTTTAACACTTCTTTAGCATGTTTATACATGTTTCTTAGCATGTTTATTGTTTTAGCAAGAGGCTAAAGTTTTTGACTTAATGCTACACACTCATTTTCAGACTTTCTCAGTCCAGCATTAACATGAGTTCTGTGGAGTCAGCTGTTAAGCTGTTTTCTGGCTGTTGTTTCAGGAGCGTTTTTCCTGTACGCTGCTCTGGCTCTGCTGGGCTTCGTGTTCGTGTCGGGGTGTCTGCCGGAGACCAAGGGTTTGCGCTTGGAGGAGATCGAGTCTCTGTTCAGCAGGCGACTCTGCAGCTGCGGAGCCCACACAGATCAGTACATGCGGGTAAACGGAGGAAACTCCCGCTCTGATGAAGACGAGGATGAGGAGGAGTGATGATGGTGTGAGCGATGCTGTGGTTCTCATTCCAGAGACTCGTACTGTAGACACATTAAACACACCGTAAACAAAAGCGCAACGCTGAGATTCCCTGACGGATCCTGCGCTGATTGTATTTGCACATGTACAGATGACTGTTGTTTATTTAAAGCGTGTTCCTGGCACAGCAGGGCTGACTGGATTCACGCTGACAGGAGGAGAGATCACTATATTGATAAGCACTCTGGAGTGCGGCCCACATGCATATGCGCTTTATTAAACAAATGGGAGATGATCAAATAGAGTTTGAAGCTCTGTTATAGCATGAATATTTGATCCAAAAGTCAAATTCTGTCTTCTTCATATCAGTCCAGACATGTTTTTAGTATTGTAAGGATCTTCGCTTGGTTTTTATTTCCGTGTTACTCATAGGAGCTGTAAAGTTACAACAACATTTAGAATATTACCTGGTAAATTCTAATTAAATGCAAGCACTTTAACGACTCAAAATAGCCGCAAATTGGTATAAAAAAGGACAGAATTGTCATCTTTGGCTTAAGTATTCTTTGGAGTGGTTTCTGGGCTTGTGGTTTTGGTTGTTTGTTAGATTGATTGTCTTGATTTTAGTCTGAATCTGCTGGTGTTTGGTGTTTTAGCGTCTGGAGTTTGGAGCGTTGCATTACGCCACTTCGGAGCCAGAGGGCAGAATTTCCTACATATCAGTGAGTACCAGCCAAAAAAAAACAAAGAGTTTGATTTTAATAAGTGTTTTATTTCACTCTAGAAAGAACATCGAACACAACATTTTTGTATTACCTTTGCATTTTGAATTTACTGAAGAAGTCGATTGAAATATTTGAGTGATTGGAGGCACATCTGCCTGTTGAGCAGAAAATCATTTTGAAAATGCAGTGAATGGGTCACAGAACTATAGACACTTTGCTTTCTCTCATCAAGTTAAAGTTAAATACAACTTTTTGTTTCACAGCTTTTTACAATTACGGATTTGATTTTGCTATTCTGGTGTAAAATAAAACTTCAAGAAAGCCTGAAAATATCATTTTGAGAAATAATATTTGAGATTTTAAGCTGAAAAAGTTGCAAAAATAAAGATTATTACAACTTTTATTACATTTTGAATTCTGTACGTAATTCTGATGTAAAACCGTCTGCAAGAAAGCCTAAAAACACAATTTTAAGATGATAATATTTGAGATATTGAGCCAAAAATGTTGCAAAAAATAAAATAAAGATAACTCTACCTTTTTATTTCACAAATATTCACGATTACAGATTTTATGTTGCAATTTTGATGTGAAACAATCTTCAAGAAAGCCTAAAAGCATCATTTTGAGAAATAATTTTAAGGTATTAAGCTGAAAAAATTAGCAAAAATAAAATTAAGATAAACATTTTATTTCCTTTTTTTTCAATTATGTATTTTAAGTTTCAGCTCTGATGTGAAATAAAACCTTAAGGAAGCCTAAACATAATTTTAAGAATTGAGATTTTAAGCTGATAAATAAATTTGCAAACATAAAATAAAGGTAAATAAAACATTTTATTTCACAAATTTTCACAATTACATTTTTTATCTTGTAATTCTGATGTTCAATAGTCTGCAAGAAAGCCTAAAAACACAATTTTAAGGAATCATATTTAGGATATTAATCCAAAAGTAGCTACAAAAATAAATAAATAAATACAACTTATTTCAGCATTTTGGATTTTATCTTGTAATTCTGATGCCTAAAGCCTAAAAACATCAATTTTCAGACATACTATTTGAGATATTAGGCTGAAAAACTTTGCAAAAATTGTTTCAAGATAGATCCTGTGTTTTATTTTACAAATTGTCACAATTATAGATTTGATCTTGTAATTCTGATGTAAGATATAACTTCAAGAACGCCTAAAAACACAGTTTTGAGAAAGAATATTTAAGATATTAAGCTAAAAATAGTTGCACAAATAAATTCAAGAGAACTCCAACTTTTTATTTGATCATTTTTCTCAATTACAGATTTTATCTTGTAATTCTGATGTAAAACAAAACTTTCAGAAAAGCCCAAAGAAATTATTTTAAGAAATAATATTTAAGATATTAAGCAAAAAAAAAAAAAAAAGCTAAATGGGAATTTTTATTTCACAATTTTATCTTGTAGTTTGCAAGAAAGGATGAAAACATACTTTTGAGAAATAATATTTGAGATAATAAAGATAAATCCAGCTTTTTATTTCACAAATATTCACAATTACAGATTTTATGTTGTAATTCTGATGTAAAACAGTCTGCAAGAGAGCCTAAAAACTGTTTTGAGAAATAATATTTGAGATATTGAGCCAAAACAGTCACAGAAACATGAATAAAAGATATGGTCCAACTATTGTGAAGAGCATAAACATAAACATATGAGTTCAGAATTGTGAAAAAGTCCATAAACTGAGGCCTATAATAATATAAATAACTTCAGAATTACAAAATAATAGTAAAAATGCAAACAATTAATCCAGAAAAGCTATAAACTGTAATTAAATAATCAGAATATAAAGAAAAATCCAGAATTTATATTTAATTAAAAAAATAAAGCCACCATGTATAAATTTAAATATTAAAAATAAAGCAAATTTGCAGAATTAAATAAACCGCACTGATCTGGAGTCAGTGTGTTAATGGACCGTGTGTTTTGATGTGTTTCAGTTGCAGTAATGCTGACTCTGTACGTGGATTGGAAGATTCATTGTTTGGAAATGATCGAACTCTTACTGTACCGATTAAACATGTACGTTTGTTTGCTGGATTTGTAGATTTGTGAGATCAATAAATGTTTCTGACTCTCTGATCTCTTTCTGGCTGAAACCTGTTCACTCATGTCTGACCTCTGACCTCTGACTTTTAACCCTGAGCTGCCTGAAGTCTGAACATCTACATCAGATTCGATTTGCACATGAGCATATAGTTCAGATTAATTCATGACAATAGAAGAGACCGTGTTAAAGCTGTTTATTGGTTTTCCTTTAAAAAAATGTATTTAAAAAAATGACAGTGAATGATCATATTCTTATATGCTTATTTGATGAAGTTTTACTCAAATTTAGAGTTTTAATGTTCATTAAAATGTTCCTCTAACGTCTTATATATATATATATATATATATTATATGATGAATGTAATGTAATGAAATATGTAAGTATCCCACAGTAGGGAATAAACAGATGTTCAGTGATTATTGTCGGCTTCATGAGATCAAAGTGAGCTGAGCTGTTTTATTTTCTGTTGGATTTTACATTTACAAGGTTTGCAAAAAATAAAACATTAATGTCAGTGTGTGTGAGAGTTCAGTGTCTGTACTGGTGAACATGTGCTGTCCTCTATATACTACTGTACTGTACTCTACTGTTCTGCGCAGTACTTTCCTACTCTACTGTACATTACTATACTGTATTTTACTGTACTCTACTATATAATGTTCTGCTGTACTGTCCTACTACACTGTACTCTACTGTACCCTACTATAAGGTTCTGCAGTACTTTCCTATTATACTGTACTCTACTCTATCATACTATACTGTACTCTTCTGTACCCTGTTATACTGTACTCTACTACACTACTCTACCATACTATACTGTACTCTACTCTATCATACTATACTGTACTCTTCTGTACCCTGTTATACTGTACTCTACTACACTTCTCTACCATACTATACTGTACTCTACTCTATCATACTATACTGTACTCTACTCTATCATACTATACTGTACTCTACTCTATCATACTATACTGTACTCTACTCTATCATACTATACTGTACTCTTCTGTACCCTGTTATACTGTACTCTACTACACTTCTCTACCATACTATACTGTACTCTACTCTATCATACTATACTGTACTCTTCTGTACCCTGTTATACTGTACTCTACTACACTTCTCTACCATACTATACTGTACTCTACTGTACCCTACTATACTGTACTCTACTACACTGTTCTGCAGTACTTTCCTTCTATACTGTACTCTACTGTACCCTACTATACTGTACTCTTCTGTACTCTACTATACTGTTCTACAGTACTTTCCTACTTTACTGTACTGTACTCTACTGTTCTGCAGTACTTTTCTACTATACTGTAGTCCATTGTACTGTACTATCCTGTACTCTACCCTACTTGGCTGTACCCTACTATACTCTACTCTACTGTACTCTGCTGTACTCTACTATACTGTACTCTACCCTACTTTACTGTACTCTGCTGTACTCTACTATACTGTACTCTACCCTACTTTACTGTACTCTGCTGTACTGTACAATACTGTTCTGCTGTATTTTCCTACTATACTGTACTCTACTATACTGTTCTGCAGTTCTATACTACTATACTGTAGTCTATTGTCCTCTACTGTACTTTACTATACTGTACTCTGCTTCCCTCTACTATACTGTTCTGCAGTGTTTTCCTACTATACTGTACTCTATTGTAGTCTACTATACTGTACTGTTCTACAGTACTTTCCTACTATACTGTACTATGCTGTACTTCACTGTATCCTACTACTGTACTGTTCTGGACGGTACTCTACCCAACTGTATTCTACTGTAATTTACTGCCCTGCACTGTAGTCTAGTGTACCCTACTATACTCTGCTGTATCACACTACACAGTTCTGCACTGTACTCTACCCTCTTTTGTTCTACTATACTGTTCTGTTCTGCACTGTATGTTACTCTGCTGTTCTGTACTGAACCTCACTGTACTGTACTGTAGTGCTGTAGAAGTGTGTGTGTGTGTGTGTGTGTGTGTGTGTGTGCTGCTGTGGTAATGTGAGAGTGTGTAACAGGACTCTACAGTTTAGCAGGAGGTGGTGGAGACCCTGAGCTCTTCTCTATTAGCAGCTCTGCACAACTCAACACACAACACACACCGTTCACACAGAAATCAAACACTGCTTTTACTGTAACTGTACTGTGCTCCACAGCTGGGAGTCTCTTAAACAGCACAGATAGGTTTCAGTTCTAACATAAGCTTTATTGTATTGCATTTTAGTGCAAATGACTAATTTATATAAATATATGTACAATATATCTATAATTATGAACACTAGTTATTTATATAAGTTTATGCTTTTATTTTCATATTTATAAATGTATGTTTTGTGATTTATTTTAATATAGAAAACATTAAATTGTTGTTTTTGAAACTGAAAGAATGGTTCAAATAAATTAGTGAAAACTAAATTCATTTTTGTTATTTAAATTTAAGATTAAAGAGCATAAAATTTCTATATTTTCATTTTAGTAAAATTTAATTCAATTCATCTTTATTTATATAGGGCGTTTAGTTCTAGTAGATGCTGATTTTTATTTGGTTTGATCTAAAAATATTTTTAAACATTTAAACGCAGGGAAAAACGCACATAAAAGTAACTAGAGTTAACAAAAAATTAAGAAAACAGAAAAATACATGTAATTAATAAAAAGTCAATGATACTAAAACAAAAGGGCTTTTATTTGTATGAAACTGACCAAAAATAATTAGTCTCAAGCATAAAACTGAACAGACAACACCATCTGCAGAAAATCAGAATACAGAATAACATATATGACGATGAGGAATATCCATTATGTCTCATAACCACAAGTCTAATGCACTGATTTGGATGCGCGCGATGACGTCACCCTCGGGGGTCTGCGAGGAGGCGTGGTTTGGTGACGCATTGCGGCTGGTCCTTCATGCTGGAGTGTGCGTGGATCAGATGAGCCCCGGACTCGAGGTGAACATGCGAGAACAAGTGGCGAATAAACACCGACACATGGCCGAGCAGATGCGCCCCTGAGCCGGACAGCAGACCTCCAGAAAGCCCGCTCCGCAGCTCCGGCGCTCCGTTAACATCATGGACGACAGCACCGTGCGGGTGGCGCTCAGGTAGGGCACTAGATAGTGCGCGTTACTGATGGACACTCGCCTGTCTGTCACCTGCTGCACATGTGCTCTACATATATCAGCCTGCAGTTAGTAGAAGTGATGGTTTGCATTGAATATGATGCTGAATTAATATGGATATGTGTTAATAGTGATGTCTGCTGTGTGTCACAATGGAAAGTTCCCATCAACAAATCACACGTCGGTGCTATTCTCTAAAGAAAATGACAGCCAATCAGGATAGCTCATGTGTAGCTGCATACATATTGTGGGATTTTTAACCAATGAGCTTGATTAGTGGGCGGGGCTAACTAGCATGACTAGGTGGAAATATTGAAATGAAACAAGAGGCAAAATAAGGTGTCGTCATCACTGGACTGTAAAAGACAATCTGGCCATCAGGGTGTTCCTTCTGTCGTACAAAAGTGAAGCCAAAAAGTCCCCAGCTAGCTGCTGCCATCTTTTACTTGATGACATGGAGCCAAGTCTGTGCATTAGGGATTAAATATGATCAAATTACCGCCCAAAATCCTGCTGAGCCATCACAGATGCTAGCAGGAGGCCACACCCATTAACCTTTTAGCATCTAAAACGCTAACTACTTCCATACTATACAGTACGCTAAAATCAGTATGTGAGCCGAATGTCTGAATTTATAGTATTTGAAAAACAGTATGCGAGAAGTACCCGGATGACTTACTACTTCCGGCGAGATTCTGGAGTGCGCATCCCATGCACGCTACGCTATCCCATGATGCCCTGCGAGCGAATTTATGAATGGGAGTAAAGCGACGCAAATGACGCAGGTACGTCACGTGACCATGTCAAAATGGCGGATGTAGTACGTCTGAATTCCATTCATACGTTTCACTTTCATACTGTATACAGCGTACTTTTCTAACGGCCGAGTAGTACGTTTAAATTCAAATGCAGTACCTACTGAGTAGTAGGCGGTTTCAGACGCAGCCTTGGACTGCATCCGAAACCGCCTACTACTTGGTAGGTACTGCGTTTGAATTTAAACGTACTACTCGGCTGTAAGAAAAGTATGTTGGATATACAGTTTAGCTGCGTCCCAAATCGCATACTTATGCACTATTCTACGCCATTTTGTAGTATGAATAGTGTAAGTAGTGCGTTCACACTGAAAACTTTAAAAACATTAAGTGCACTTTAATTACCCGGATGATGCACTCATTCAGCCGCTAAAGTGAAGTGTGTAATGATGGACACTTCACGCACTCAACGACCGCAGGTTTGCTTACGTAGCGGAAGGGGCGGAGCTATCGGGCGCACATGTTGGATAACTTTATTTATTTTGGATGGTGAAAGCAAAATTCTCCTACGAGAGTGATTATAGCGCCTCCCGATGGTGAATGCGGTTATACTCACGGCAGGTATTATTTGATAATTCGGTCGTTTATTTCAGTGATTTGGCGACTGTCAAACGTCATCAGGGAAACGGTTTGAATTTTCGTTTAGTAAAAAAAACATTAGTGTGCCATTTGGGACGCCACTACATACATATACTATCCTGTTGAGTGTGTAAGTGCATAAGTACATAGTGCAAGAGTGCATAGTGTATAGTGTGCCATTTGGGACGCAGCTTATGAATGGAATTCGGACCTACTACATCCGCCAATTTTTTCATGGTCACGTGACCTACCCACGCCAGTTGCGTCACTTCACTCCCATTTATGAATTCTCTCGCGGGGCATCATGAGATAGCGCAGCGTGCATGGGATGCGCTCTTCAGAATCTCGCCGGAAATAGTCATCCGGGTACTGATTTTCGAATTCTATGAATTCGGACATACTACTCAACTCGCATACTGTACTGTACAATATGGAAGTATGCAGTTTTGGACGCAGCCTTGAACATAAATCAGTTTGATATTCGCTGCGTGAAATGAATTTTTGGGGCAGGAATTATTTGTTGTGTATACTTTTTTGTGGCATTTAGTGGGCGGGGTTTAACCTGTACTGCAGCCGGCCATCAGGGGGCGATATAAGTGTTTTGGCTTCACTTCTCAGGTCTTGTATAGGAGAGTCTACACTCCACAGTAATACATTTGTTCTTGATAATAGTTTTTTTCTGCCTGTACAGAAATGCATTTTGTTAAAGGTGCAGTATGTAAGCTGTAAACTAGGTATTGCACTCCTGGATGAAATTTAGATCGTTTACATATCTGTGAAAAATGTTTTAGCAAAGCCAGCAAAGGAGTATCTGCTATATTGGCTCAGTCAGATAATAATGACTGATCATCACTAGCTATGTTTCCATCCACCATTTTGCAAATGCGCATAAAAAAACCAGTCGATGGAAACGCCATGATGCGCATAAATTTTGAAAATGCGCATAAAAAACGTATGCGCCTAACTGGGTAGGATAAACTTTTTATTCGATAAGAAAAGATGCGCATAAACTGCGATGGAAACAGTTTTACCGCACAAACTCCAGCATGCGCATTAAAAAAGGTCATGTGATTTTGTTGAAAGAGGTCATGTGATGCTTAAAATGTGTGTGAATGAATTAAACGTCAGGCTGAGCACACTATAAAACATCTGAAATGTTTTTTTGGTCATTATAATGTTATAATTAATGTTATTATATTATTAATGACCTCCAGAATCAAGAGCGCCTGTGCTCCGCGTCTGACACCTTCAAACGCCACTGCGCGCTCACTGCATGTTAGGTTTGTCTTCTGAGGCGCATTCATTTAGAAAAGATTGATGCAGCTTCTCCTACTGCAGCAAATGCAGTTTTTACTGTTGATATTTGGCGCCGGTTAATCAGGAAGTGACGATTTTTTTCGCTTTGACTCGTTGGATGGAAACGCTGCTTCATTCGCACATCTTTTATGCGATAATCCAGTTTTGCGCATAAAGTTTATTCACATTTTTGGATGGAAACATAGCTTATGATGACTGATTGAAAACTCTTCAGTCTATTACAAGGGTGGCCAACCCTGTTCCTGGAGAGCCACCTTCCTGCAGATTCCAGTTGCAACCCATATCAAACACACCTGCCTGTAATTATCACGTGGTGTTCAGTTCCTAATTAATTGGTTCAGGTGTGTTTGATATGGGTTGCAACTGAAATCTGCAGGAAGGTAGATCTCCGGGAATAAGGTTGGCCACCCCTGGTCTATTATATCAAATTGGCGAACGTAAACAACATTCCCCATTCGCCCGTCTCGATCGCCATATTAGACTTTAAATGAAATAGTTTTAGATGTGAATCCATCTACAATTGTACAATTTTTATCAAAAGAAATGTTAAAAAAACAGTTTTCGATTTTTATCTTAATTATTCATTCGTTTTCTTTTCGGCTTAGACCCTTTATTAATCTGGGGTGGCCACAGCGGAATGAACCGCCAACTCATCCAGCACGTTTTTACACAGCGGATGCCCACAGCCGCAACCCATCTCTGGGAAAATTTTTATCGTATATATTATCATTATTATTATTATTATTAATGTATATTACTTTGTGTATTATTTGTTGCTGTTGATGACTTTTAATTGTTAGAATATTTTTATAATTATAGAAAATTGGTATTTATAAAATGTGGTAAACGTGATTGTTTTTTATTTTTGCCATGACATAAAAGCTGAAATGGCAATAAAATTAAAACTCTTTTTCTCTGATCACCATATTTGTGAAATAGTTTACACTATTGTTTATTTCCTAAAGATGGGTTGCAGCTGGAAGGGCATCCGCTGCGTAAAAACGTGCTGGATAAGTTGGTGGTTCATTCTGCTGTGGCGACCCCGGGACTAAGCCGACAAGAAAATGATTGAATGAATGAATATTTATTAACAATATCTATAAAAATATATTGATGACGGTGTCCGAGAAGACGTTAATAACATTAACATCTGTCGTAACCATATACATGGCCCACCCCTGCCTAGACTGTGTGTGCTGAAGTGTGTGTGGGTCTACAGCTGGATATTATTGCCTCAACCATTAGTTTGCTAAAAGATGAGAGGGGGAGCATAAATATAAACCCCGCCCCCTACTTAATATTCAGTTTGAGTTGGAAATACGACTTTCCATCATACTCATATACACCACTACGCTGATACACAGGCATCCGTTGCTCCGCCCTCTTTTAAAAAGAGCACAATCTCATTTGAATTTAAAGCGACAGTCACCAAAACACCACAATTAGCATCAAAGCCTAAAAGGGTCCGTTTCAGAGAGATATAAAGCATTTTTTTTGTGGTATTTTGAGCTGGAACTTCACACACACACACTTTAGGAACATCAGGAACTTATTTTACCTAATAATAGGCACCCTTAAAGCCTTATTCACACCAAAAACACTACACAACAACGCATGATAGCATTCTGTTCATGATTAACACGCTGTAGTTTTGTTTTACACGTGTACACCGCTGTATCTGCATCAGCATCATCAACATCAGCGTGGCATTTTCAACCAGAAATGCTACTTCAGACGCAGGAGTATCAGTGTCAGCTGTGTGTGTGTGTGTTGTTTGAGTGGCTCCCTGTGCTAAAAGTAGACAGAGAACAGACAGATGATCAATGGAAGACGGGATTTATTGATCATTTATTGACCATCATGTCGTTTACTGGCCACGAAGTGAAATAAAGCCCAGAGAGCTTACAGAATTAGCACTTGAGGCTATTTTGCAGCCATTTAGGTAACCTGAAATCAAAATTTAAGTGCATTTAAGATGGATTAGCTGTGCGACACGGTGGTTAGAACTATCACCTCACAGCAAGAAGGTTGCTGGTTTGAGTCCTGGCTCAGTTGGCATTTCCGAGTTTGCATGTTCTCCACGTGTTGGCGTGGGTTTCCTCCGGGTGCTCCGGTTTCCCCCACAGTCCAAACACATGCGCTATAGGGGAAATGATGAACTAAACTGGTCGTAGTGTACGAGTGTGTGTGTTTACGGTGAGCTGAAACCGATGTTTGTGATTCATACAATTTAAGTCAATGGCTAACGGCACTTTGAGCGTCAAAGAAACA